TAGAGTGGTTAGACTCCCAAAATTGCGCAATATGTAATTGAACTCACAGCAACACCAGTTTGCCATGCTGCCACGCCAGCGCAGGAAATAGTCCCAGATGTTGTTGTGGGAGAAGGACTTGATATTGTGCTGGTGCTCGTTGTGGTAGTAATCGGCGAAGTCGTGGTCGTGGTCATGATTGTGGTCGTAATCGTCGGCGTGATCGTGGTCGTAATCGTAGTGGTAGTCGGTGGAGGGGAAGACGTACCGCCTAATAGTGCATCCTTGACAGAGATGTCGTATCTGTCATTTGCTGAAGACAAAATTCAGTCATAAGTGTATAGAGGCAGTATATCACCGCTTTACCGTACGCCTGAGACGCGTCCCATAGCATAACGCCTCCGAAAGATGAATATTCGGCCATTGTTTCCTGGATGATTGGGGTAAACGTCGATGGACTGACATATCCGGATCCAGCTGCGCTCGATGATGCTGGGGCACCAATGTAGACTTTGACATCTGGATTAGGGGATACCGTATGTGCCCAATTGTCCCTGTGCTTTGGTCAGGCAAAGAAAACTTCAGTCAACCAAAATGCGATCATATACCATGTTGCAAAGTCCCAAGCCTGCGGTTCACATTGTTAGTCAATGATAACAATCGGCCTATGGGATGCTCACATTCGGGTTGTTGTAATTCGTCAATCCGCAATAGTTGTTATCTAAACGTGTGTAAGATGTAAACTCAAGCTGAAAATAGCACTCACAAAACTGGACATATACAGCATCAAATCCAAACTCGTTCAGAGTAGTACCAATGTAGGCATCGGGGTAAGGACATTGAGGCGCTGATAAATCTCACAGTATTAGTAACAGTCATCGTGTGAAGCACCAAGACCGAACCCGCAGTGATGTAGTACCTATGAAAAGGCTATTAGAAAGCAAATCAAAAGCCTGTGGAATGACGTACGGCTTACTGCCACCATCCATCAAGGTACGAAGGGCAGACAAGAAAGATACAAATCCAGTCTGAGAGCCACCTTCGATGTCCATATCAATGCTGGATCTAGAGTCAGATCGTACATTCTTAAGAGGTTGATGCATTATTACCCATCCAAAATGGCGGACCCGAAAGGACGCGTGCTGCTCGAACCTCCCAGGAAAAGATCCCAGATTGTCTGTGCATATGCCGCTGCTTCGGTGTCATTTGCAAAGCCATTAGAGCCTGTTGCTCCTCCCAATGAGATCGTCACGATTTTTCCTGCAGCTTGACAAGTCTCGATGCCTGATGCGAGGAATGAGCAATTGAGGAGGTTTGTCCCTGAAAAAAGAGAATTATCGCCTGTGTTGCAAGTCTGTTGCAGGGTTAGATAGGTTCGGGCAATCAGAAACGAGAACTTGCGTTTGCAAGGTCGATGGACGGGAGGTTGTCTGTCGAGTAGAACTCGTCTAGAAAGGCTATCGGGAAGGTGTCGATTATGGCGTCCTGCAATCAAGACATGAGCCAATTTTTCCAGTATAATATGGGATTAGGCCGACATTGCAATAGTAAGAGATGGGCTGTTGCCATTGTGCGGTATTGTCCGGATTGACAGCTCCATATGAGTTCTGACCCCAATACCTGCAACCCGTAGGTCGTTGGTAATGGAGAAATGTGTATTATGCTCGTGATCTACTCACACAGCCAGCTAGTCGAAATTGTCAATCACGCGTCAAGAAACAGGAAGACTGACTGACATTCTGATTTGATGACATGTCAAACGCCGCAACAGTGCGGGTAACGAAACAGAGAAACGGCACATATGTCAGGGTGGATTTGGAGAACATCGCGATGATCTTCGTTGCAGTAGAATAGGGATAGTAGGATGGGGAACAATGACAGACAACATATTATTGCACAAGACCACTTTCTCTTTATGCAGCACGGAATGCGGATGCGATGGCAGATAGAAGTCTCAACGAACCTGATACGGAAAGGGTTATGCTTCATGGTAGTTGGACTGCAACGATTGTACCTGCGATATCGGTGATGAACAACTCAGCTGAACCATTCGAGGCAGCTGAGGCTTGCTCACACAGGAGTTGAGTCGCATGTCGATTGGATGAAAATGGAGTTCTGTTTAACCATCCATGTGGTACGACCAAGAACGCCTGGAGAGATGTGAGTATCCAATGGAGGCCACCTGCTGAATTTTCTTTACCTCTGTGAGATCCAAGAATATAACATCTAGCACTTGACGCGCCTTTGGCTACGGCACTGTAACAGTGAAATCCATGGTGCTTAGTTAAGGGATTTCTTCTCTAGTGATTTCCCCTAAAAATACACGAGGCAAGGACGGCATACCTTGGGGAATCTATAAGGCCCCCTTCGTCACGTCATGACTTAGTATAGACCGGGACCCCCAACTATAGCTGTTAGAGCCAAGTATATCAAGCCTAGTAATTTCCCTGTTGGCAAATCCGAACCAACTACAAGTTGAACATCCGAAGCACATGGTACGACCACGAAATACTTCCGGCGCGCATCAGAAGATCCGAGGAGTGCTCCTATAGGACCCATAATGGAAGTACGTAGAGATGTTGTGGAAACGCCAACTGCCAGTATCGTTGTTAAACCGATCTTCTCGGACTGCCGCCACTTGGGCTGAGCGCCTAGTACTTGATGGAGTCGATATATATCGGGAGGTTGCATACAATCGGCAAACCATCAGGTACCACCTCTAAATTTGGTCAGCGTGCTCGTGCCGGTCGAGCGTGTGCGTGATTCACAGCGTGAGCTGGGTGAAGCTCTTAGCACCTAAATCTACTTATGTAGGTCTGTTCCGAAGATTCTCGGCGACAGGAGCCTGGTCATGGATGAAGATCTAAACCTGTTAGAACGACTTACTATTCCAGTCCCACCCATCGGTCGGATGAGAGTGTGAGTCAAGTATACCGTAGTACCTGTTTGCCTTGCCAAACAACGACTTACTCATCATATGCCTATATATACGTACTGTGCTCTCTGCAGAGAACGGTAATAATTCAAACCCGAACTACGTATCTAAGCATGGAACGATTGATCCTGCGGACGCAATCCGTGTCTGTACTTCATGTGTCTTCTGAGCTCCGAGTCCACATATGTGCGATCGCTCATTTCCCTCGAGCTAACTATTATTACTTCTGTTTTTTCACCACCGCAGTACAACGAAATAGAACGTCTGAAGGTGAACGAATCGCTGGTTGTATCATATTTCAATCGAGTCAGCTGTTATCGTCATGACTGCGAGCTCAAGCTATCCCTAATATTGCCAAACGATTTCAAGACGATCAGCGAATGCGGCTGCTGAGTGTGATTTATGTAAAGTTTATACTTCGGTCCGCGTGAGCGAGCCGATCACGTCTTTCCGCCATCATGATATGTAACCGAGTCTCGAACTGCGCTCAAACCACCTATCCGTGTTTAGCTAGGAACTTGAAGGAACACTGTAACAAGGTCTAGAAGACGTTCGCGATGCACTCGTGGAGTAGTGGAAGCTTTGCTGATGAACCAATACAAGCCTTGCGGCACTTCCAAACTTGATTGGCATCCAGATTGTATTCCTTTGGTTGGCAGCTGTTCAAAAGTTCAAGTAGGGATTCGGGCTTGCAACTGGAAAGTACCCTGGTTCAACGTTTAACATCGTCACTCCTTGTTCTACAATTCCTTCAAGTTTTTTTCCATCGTTTTTAATCACGAATAAAAAATGGACCGCAAAACTGTCACAGTGGTGAGTGGGTTCGCTCAGCGTGAGTCAAGGTCATCATGGCCTTCTAGGTGGTGGATGAATCGTCAGATGAGGAATACTCACACGACTTGCACGTTTTCAAGATGCTTGTAGAAGTATTAGGTACGCGTTGGCAACTCACGTCCGAGTCAGCACGAATTCATTTGATTATTGCAACCTATAGGCAACTCCCAGTCCGCTCAACCATCAGCAAAACACCCTAGAGAGAAACTTTTCATTTCACAGGAGATACCGCCTCGAGCACCTAGGGCGGATGCGCGTTTACAAAGACGTGTGTCGCCTGACGAGGAGATGCACGAGATCGCCGAAGGTACAGTGTTGAGTTTGCTCAAATGTATTGGTGATCTCTCCTTACTAACCCGCACTTTATTCTTAGTATCATCCAAACCAGCGATAGAATCAGACTGTGATTCCAGGTCGGTACCGTCGACCGACCAATCTTGGCTGTTCTCAAGTCGCACGACCTCGATGTCATCTGTTGGATACATGGGCCTGAAGCGTGCACCAGACTGCTCGCTACCTCCCTCACCAGCGGTTACATGCGAAGTCTCACCGTGCGCACCAGTTGCAAGTCATTTTTTTCCCATCTAACGTGTTCTCACAATACTGCAGGTGAATCTGCCACAAGTCGAGAAAAGTCGAAAACGCAGTTCCTTCGAGTTCGGTGTCGAATTAGATATCGTCGGCATTGCTCACTGCAAGAAGGCTCAGCCAGTCCTCGATCGACATGAACTCGCATGGGGAACGATTTTCGAACTGGCACGAGGTGTCACTCATGGCATGTGGACATTCCAAGACATGACGGAGCACCGTCTACGAAAACTCAAAGGTACGAATGCTCAATCTGCCTGGAAAGTCGCCACCGTCATGGCAGACAAAGAGCCATCTGGGATGGGAGCGCCATCAGAACTTTGGTATTAGCTTCATTCGTCTCAAAAATCGCGAGCTAAATTTGATTTCAAGGCTCGAATACGATCGGGAGCAGCTCGCGATCGTCGAAAACAAGGGTCGCGGTTTGGGAACTATGGGGCAGTGGGAGGGAAAAGACTATTGGTACGGAGGGAAGATCCAGCAAGTTGCTCGTGTCGTGAAAGCTGGAACGTCTTTTAAACTCGAACTCGAGAAACCAGAGATTCGGAGGTCACATCGATTTTCTCGGTTTTTGGGGTCTCGGCGCATCCTTCAAGCCCGCGTGCCAGATAACCTTACCTATGATAAAGTCGGCTCGGATCTTCGGGAATTCTTCATATCTCGTAAATTCGTATTGTGTGGCCGCGTCTTCGTACCATTCCATGCTAAGGAAGGGAGCGTGTACCTTTTTGAAACGAGCCAGAACATTGATCGGCAGACGAACCTTAGCGAGGGCGACAGTCACAGACTGACACTCTACCAGTTTGTGAAGTGGCATAATCCTCTGGGGTTGAATTCGATGCAGGTGACTACGTTTTTGTCCGCATTATGCAGCTCTGACGCGCTCCCTGAATAGCCTATCAGCAAGTGGTCTACAAGATGGGCGCTCGGCCTATCAACCTCGATACCAACAATTGAATTTTCTGCAGAAAACATATTTTTCATTGATGACCAATGTAGCATTTCCTCTAGCTTCTACACTACGAGATACTGACTACTCGCGTATTGTAGATGCTATGGACTGGGACGAGGGAAAGCCGCCGGCGGAAAAAATCATGACTGATGGGTGTGGTTATATCAGTGGTGCGGCCTTGACGGCCATCATGCGCGTGATGAAGTATTCAAGTAGACCGACCGCCGTACAAGGACGCATTGCCGGTGCCAAGGGAATGTGGGTTCTGCACCCAGATCCTGCGCATCAAACCCACGATGGACCACTGAACATTTGGATACGTGACTCACAGAATAAGATCAAGCTTGGCTCGCTACACAAGGTCGGTAGGGCGCATAGGATTTTCGACCTCCTTTCGCCATCTCGGGTAACCGGGCCAAGCCGTCTGTCGAGTCAGACACTCGTCAACTTGGCGCATGGTCATGTTCCCTTTTCTGTTCTGAAGGATCTCATGGCAGAAGGGCTTCACGAGGAAGTCCGTCAACTGACGGAATGGAGTGGACCGGACAGCATGCTTATGGTCTGGCGAGCTGTAGAACAAGCTGGCCGTGTCGTAACATCGAGACTGCGGCGGCGCATTGCTGGTCAGGCACGAGCACTTGGTCTTGGCCAACTCCGACCCCACGAGGAGCTCGCTGGCGGAATTGATGGTTCTGACGATGTTGCAGTGAACCCATCACTGCATGACTCGGCTAATCAGGGCCGCAATCCTCGCAGCGGTGAACCACTGACTCTACACGAGTCTGTCCTTGAACTACTGCAGGCCGGTTTTCATCCTCTTAAGCTTGACCAACTTTTTTACAAACTTGAGTACGTGGTGACCCAAGTCCTCGACGACTACATCAAGAAATTCCACATTCCAGTCGAGGAGTCCCTGGAAGCATATATCATACCGGGCGAGTAGCTTCTTCCGTGATCATTTTTATAGCTCATCTAGCAGCAGATCCATATGGGGTCCTCGAGGAGGGGCAAATCCATTTTCGCTCTTCAGAACTAATCGCTGACCCCGAAAGCGGAGCCCGGATGAATACTGTGACTGGGCCTGTTTTGGTGATCACTTCAGTCCATTGCAATGGACTGTCCTAATGCGTTGATAAACAGGTGTGGAGGAATCCCACAAGACTCCCCTCCGATGTCCAGAAGGTAAGGAAACCAATACCTCGTTGGATGATCTTATCAAATATGGATCAGGTCACTGCTGTCAGCCACCCAAAATTGGGTGAATACTTCGATGTCATCGTGTTCCCTGTGAAGGGAGAGCGCTCATTGGCAAGCTATTTGGGTGGAGGAGGTATGCACTTACTTCCACCCTCATTTTTTGGGCATCAGCTGACGTGTTCATTCTGTAGATTATGATGGAGGTGAGTTTATGTCACTTATATTGCGTCATTCAATAATTGCTTTCAAAGACACGGTCACGTTGGTCTGGTCCAAACGGCTTGTCGAAAACTTCAATACCGCTCCACTGTGTATGGCGCCTGCAGGTTTGAGTGGCAACTTTGAGCGAGAAGTTGAACAGGTTGAAGAATTTATCGAACGAACATTCAAACTCTCTCCAAAGGAGGCTCAAACCGCGTTCCAGAAGGTCCTCCTTCTTGGACTCGCAGACACAAAAATCGGATTATATTCGAAGTTTCATGACCTCGCCGTGTATGAGCGCGGCTATGCAAGTGCTGCCGCCATTCGACTGGCATACATGTGAGAATTTTCAGTCTATTGCTATGGTACTCGCCTTATGTTGTACGGTGCAGGTTCACTACCTGCCTCGATGCGAGCAAGACGGGGCTTCAGGTTAAACGCCGTGTCTTCGAAGAAGATCGCAAAAATAACGGAAAACGTAAACCGTACTACATGGCCGCACTCGAACAGAACACCGAGGGCCAAGAGGTTTCGAAACGCAAGGGCTCGACACCCTATCTTCTCGACGCCCTTGTTGACGAGGGCTGTCGTCTCCGCGACGACTTCCTCACACGTTATTCCGTCCTCCGGAATCCTTCCACCAGTGCTGCAGACCACGACCTTACCTTACCTTACCTTCGTGCGTCTTGTAGGGCAGCAGAAGCTTTGCAAGCCGGTTTTCACGGCCTGCAAGACAACTTGAGCGTTGTCCGAGCCCATGTCAAGGAAGCACATGGGAAGTGGCAGGCCGCCGTTTCTCTCCAGAAGAAGGCTTCAGAAGGGAGGGGGTCTTCGGATCCCAAGACACAAGCGATCCAAAAGTCAGTACAACGCTTTGCACAGTGGCCAGACTCGAAGAAGACATTATTTTTTTCTGACGAGGACCGCAAAACTATCATGGCATCCTATGCATACACTCTTAGTGGTTCGTTCGGCTTCTCCGCTGCCTTCGCAGAGCTCTGCGCCATCAAAGCACGAGCTCAAGGTGCTGTGCTTTTTGCAGATAGATTCGCGGAAGTGATGTGCATACCTAACAATACCCTACGTGCCCTTTCACAAGCACAGGATGACGTGGATGAGTGAAATTTTGCATCTCTGTCTGTCATACATACTTCACCGTATAGCACACCCTTACCTCGAACATATTTTGATCATACTATCTCGATTTGTTAGCCACTATCTCTGCACTACGTAACGACAATCGACAGGCCCGAATTCTCCCAGAGCGATTCTTTTCATCGATGAAGAATGTGGTAGTCTCTGGACTACTACTAGTGCTAGTGCCTCAGACTCGAATGTTGTGTTGCAGATAGGCATGGACCATCACTTGTGGGAGCAGATTGACATATATATCCCTCAGGCCTCAGGATCCCTCAACGAAACTACTAGAGCAGAAGTCGTATTTATCGACACCCCACGACGTCGCGTCAATGCTAGGCTGGGCCTTGTTAGACTATGGGTATGGGTCGTCATCATCTCAGATACCAGTATGTCCTGTCGGATTGATTTATATAATAACCGCTTTGCCATTCAAACATGACCACTAAGATGAGTTGGAGCCTCAGGTGACGAGACATTCACCCGCCGCCACCTATCTTGGGTATATGTTAATTGACATGGAATCGCACTATTGCTGTCAGTTCGATTTCAACCTGCGTTGAGGCGATCAGGTTGCATATGAACAATGAATTAGTCAACGCCTCGCTTCCGCAGTTTGCTGATCAACCGCCTTTTGCGTCAGAATCGCTTCATCTGTGTTACTCCCCAACCCGCACTTCCCGCTACCGTGATAGAATGCGGCTGGTCATGAGTCTAGACGGCGAAGGTGTTGACCTAAATTACGTACAGCCTTCGCAGAGATGGTTCTCTTCTTAGTTGTCGAACTCACTCATCGTGACTACATAGGTCCGAGTCGAAATTCTCACTCGCCTTACGACAAGGCTCAAACCCGACTAAGTAGTCTTCTTCCGAGCTTCATGACAACAAAGCCGACAGTCATGCTTTTGTAAGGTATATTTTGGAGTTTTCCGAGGAGAAATATGGTGGAGGTGATAACAATCGCAGATATTGAAGGTCGCGATCGGTCATTGCAAACTTCTAAACCAAAGGTGAAGATATCCATAACGATTCAGACGAAGGCAACGAAGATTTTGTACTGCAATGTCAATCACGCACGCACAGACTTATACTTATTTGATTTGTGTAAGTAGTATCCTATCGTATGTGAATCGTGATCCTCAATTTCAACATCGCTTATCTACGAGAACTACTGATACTGAGAATGTTCACTGACATTTAAACTACCTAGAAGTTGTTGACCTTTGAGAGCATAGTAAGGAGAAATTTACTAGGACGTTGGTACCCCTGGCGATGGGGAGAAACCATTGAGGTATGCAGTCAAGCACGAATAACTGTCAGTCCTCTTCTTGGGTGGTATTGCGCGTTTCTGATAGGTGTTGATCGCGAATTCGTTTGTTGAGCAGATCCTTATCTGATGTTAAAGCTTGTTTGACCGCTATGTCATAGCGATGGTTGGCTGAGGCAGTGGAATTATGGAAGGTTATGAAGACAAGGGAGGTTCGACGCACCGTACGCGTCTGATATATCCCATAACATGACCCCTCCAAAGGAAGAGTAATTGGATTGCGTTTGCTGAATTATTGACGTAATTTTTTTGGAATTAACATAGCCAGACCCTGCAGTGGATGACGCGGGAGCACCAATATAAACCTTAATGTCAGGATTGGGTGAGACATTGTTTGCCCAATCGTCCCTAATGAGGGTTAGGAAGTAGGACACGAACTGGCCCATGTCAGTACATACCAAGCAGCAAAGTCCCAGTCCTGTGCTCAACGACCCTATTGAGGAATAGTACTGGACAGAAGCATCGTAACTTACATTACGATTGTTGTAATGCTTTAGATCACAATAGTTATTATCTGTGAGTGATTATCAACCACAAAAACAGCGGGGCGATCAAAAAAAAGACGGACAAAATTGGACATATACTGCATCGAATCCCACTGAGTCGAGCGTGTCTCCGATATATTCGTCCGGGAAAGGACACTGAGGCGCTGGGACAAATTCCGCACATGAAAACCAAATGTGTGTCGACTGGAAGCGTTTTGGCTTACCAGCAGTGATATAATACCTGCGCAAACGATATAAACCAAAGCTCACACCAGAAGAAAAAATAAACCTCACTTCTTCTTGCCTCGATCCATATGTTTGCGAAGCGCAGTCAAAAAGGAAACATAACCTGTCTGCGAACCACCCTCGATGTCCATGTCAATTCTGTCCTATGTTCAAAACAAATTTGAAGATGTGAAAAAGCCGACTGACCCGTCAAGAATCGCAGATCCAAAGGGACGTGTCTTGCTCTTTCCACCCAGGAAAAGATTCCATATTGTTTGCGCGTATGCGGTGGCCTGAGAGTCGCTTTGAAACTGGATATTTCCTGTTCCGCCACCAAGCGAGATGGTGACTGCCTTTCCCGCGGACTGGCACATTTCGATATCCGAGGCGAGAAAAGAGCAATTCAGTAATTCAGTGCCTGGAAAATAGTTAGCATTGCCTGAGTTGCAGATCTGCACATCAACTTGGAGTCAGCATGATCCCGGAAGGTCACGAACTACCCACATTTGCTAAGTCAATCGACGGGAGATTACCCTCCGCATAGCTATCGACAAGGAAGGCAATTGGGAAGGTATCAACGACATTGTCCTGAGAGACTCAGGGTCAAGTAGCGACTCGAGACTTCAGATAAAAGGAAATTAACCATGCAGTAGTATGAAAGTGTCTTCTGCCAGTGAGCAGTTTTATCGGGATGGGTGTCTCCATATGAATTCTGGCCCCAGTAGCTGTGACATTTGGAGGTTTGTACCTGACCTTGTAGATGATATATATGACACTTACACAGCGAGCTGATGAGGAAAGGATTAATGGTCAGGATCGAGAAAAATACACGCAGCCTCACATTTTCGTTGGATAGCATATTAAATGCAGTTATTCCGTGGGTCATGATGCCAAGAAGTAGAGACGATAGTGTGAGGCATGAAAAATCCGCAACAAGCATGATTGTCACGGTGCGAATGATAGGATGCAAAAGTTCGATGGTGAACTGCAATCATGTATTCCAGGCTTTTATGCTGTGCCCAAGAATCCTCGTGTTACTTTCAGCTCAGAAGGGATAAGCTTCTGTCACGAAACCTACCAGCTTCTCTCTACGAAAACGGTGCGATTTCCCCCCAAACCGACACGAAGCGCGACTCGTGAAATAGGGACGACAGTTGCTGTTGGCAAGACATCAGTGCCATGCAATGCGTGCTCGAAACTACAGATACGCGGCTTTCCGTTCTTCTCGGATACATGTCTAGAAGATGGTGTTAGTCGCATTCAATATATACTTAGGGCATGTTACAAATTCAACTCTAGCCGGTTGCTCACCGAGGACTTCAGCTAACTCAACGCCCAGCAAGTCGCTAGCATAGCGTATTGTAACGCAAGCGGATCGATAGAGGTTGCATCAGATGTCCGATTTAGAATGTTCTGGCTCTCAGGTGGCCATACTTGTCGAGGCGCTGAGTAGATAGCGAAAGCTGGTTCAATATGAAAACCAGTGGTAGAAGATTAATACTTCTGCATGCCTTCAGTCAGTTATAGATAACTAGTTTCCAAGAATATAACAAGATTCGGAACCTGGAAGCACGAATGTGATCAGGAAATCGCCATATTGTCGCTTACATCGATCAGTTACATGACTTGCTTTAGAGCTCGCCGGGTGCGCACTGTTCGGGATGGGCTAGTCGCCAGCGTGACGATTGAATTGAATCTAGCCAGGTTGCCATACATGATGCACGATGCTTTGATGGCAGTAATAAGCACTGAAGTGTGTGCCTGATCTAAAGTTCTCTTCCATTTTGTCTCGTTGATTTCTTACCTAAACCCTGAACTGTTCCACTGCCACGTGCGCCACCGCTCGCGACCCGGTGGCTGCAGCCTGGCGCTTGTTGATCCCCACCTCATGTGCGCTGCACGCCGAATACACGTTGTCAAAGCTTCAAATAGGAATAGGAATGGCGCTACGCATTTGACTCAGAAGACCAACAACGAAAAGAAGCGTTCAGCGCTCACCCTCAGGAGCACCGACAAGTTACAACTATATGATTGTCGCGTGCAAGGTAGCCAATCGTACTAAGCCACACAGTTTGGTCACAGTGGACAGGATGCTTTTTGCTGGGTATAAGTCCTCCCTCCTCTCCTTCACCCTCACGCTCATTTCTAATGACCCACTTCCTCACAACCAATGTCGGTGGCTTCTTCGGAAACCCGGAACCAGAAATGTGAGCTTAGCGAGCGTATTCTCACTCTTCTGCGCATATCGATATCGACACGAAGCACCGAGAATCGTACCTTCTTGAGGAGTCGTACAAGAGTTTGGTGGAAGATATATTGCGATTGAGAGCTTCGATGCTTCCTGCGTGGTGTATTGCGTTTAGGGAGATGAGTGATTAGGCTCATTCTCATTGTGTTTGGTAAGTCGTTTTTTGGCTAGATAATGTGGCTCCGCAGTCTTGCTGTGAATAATTTATCACGGATATTCCGTTGTTCTCATAACAGTTGTTTAGCGCTAGAGACAAGTCGACCTGGATGAGAACAAGGTTCAAGTTTTTAAACTGCGTTATCAATCTTGACCGATGCCATGGAACAAACCTAGACAGGCAGGTGATCGATCGTTGTCGTACTTTTACTAAGTACTCAGGCTAGCACAGTGTTTTTCTGTCAATTTCGAGTACATGGCACCGTACGCATTACTTCTAAAACAGAGTGATTTATATCCAGGGTGGGCATTTTCCAATATCACTCTTTGAATTCGTTGAGAATGATGTCAAGGCATGCATCGGATTCTGGACTGCCGATGCAAACGGGTATAGTCCAATACAGCAACGTGTCACTGAGTCCTTCGCCGGGCTCGTAGTCTGCTGAAAGATCTTGCATGGTGAATTGAACGTCGGCACGTTTGATTATTGTCCCGCTCCAATACGGACCTGTTAATATGATAATCATGGTATGTAATACAGATATTCAGAAGGGAAAACTTACCTGCGGCGGAAATGGTCTGGATGGATTGCTTGTTTGCATCACTGAGAAAGAGATGCGCTGCTTGTTTTTTCAGATCATTCTGGGCTTTCGTCAACTGCTCCAAAACTTTCGCTTCCAGGTTATCACCTTCCACACCTCGGCTCACAGACCTCTTCACTTCCACGAGAAGCTCGACGCTCGCCTCGGCTATTTTCCACTCTTCATCATCCTTCTGTGGTGTAAGATGGATGATCGCAAAATCCACCACCACTTCCTTGGCATCCTTTTCAGGGACGGTCGACTTGGATAGGAAAGAGGAGTTAACCGCCCCACTCTCAACTTCGATGGTTCCCAAGTCATCCTGCTTTTCCTGGGCCGTTTCTACAATGTCTTTGGGATCATCGCCTTCATCGAGCGACTCTTGGGATGCATGATTATCCACAAACCAAATTGGAAATTGGGGCGCCACGATCAATTTTGGCGCTTTTGCCACTAGATCGGAGAGTGTCTGAGCCCACAGTGGGTACCAGTAATGTTCGAGGTTGCGAGTATTGAACTTGCGAGAAAATGCATAGGACGTCCCCAAGAAAGTTTTGTCTGGGAGAGATTCCATCGTGAAGCAGTATGTGGTTGGTTTGCCAAATGACGGCGACCAATATGTTATATATACTATTGACACTACGTCGTACGGACTTTTATTTCTTGCGAGGAACAAATCAGGGATGGGTTTAGAGAAACTCAGGTCAGGCCCTTTAGAGGGGCCTGGGCCTGTAAAATATCCAGGCCAGGGGCTGAGGACCTGAGGCCATGCCCTTGTGCATGTGCATCACCACACAAAGATCACGGAAAAGAGGATTCCCAACTCCCGCGTTAGCGCGATCGCAAGGGGGGCTTTGTCGAACACAAAACATTCCCATCACTAAGAGTCGACACAGCACCATAGCCGTACATATCACCGACCAAGAGTAACTGCAAAAGTTAACGAGTAAGTTATGTCGTAATAGTGAGCCGTCGCACTTGTAATAGTGTAATACATTACACAAATCCTTCCGTTTCTCCTACCACGTACTAGCCTGTGGTTCAAGGTCTCGACCCCAGCGCTCTGGTCCCTGTCAGACAGGTTACGGGAATATGTAAGTATTTCATATCTAAATAATATTGATATGTACGTATGGCAAGTCAATCTGCGACCTCCACGGATCACGGTGAGACCGCCATGCCGCTCCCTTCCCACTGAAAGGTCCCAGAATCTTGTCATCCTCTGTGTTACTTACTCTGATATGGTGCAAGTTTTGTCGACATGTCTTCCTCTATATCTCATTCTACTTCTCCTCGCTTGGACGTCAGTATTTATTGCTATCGGTCATTTTCCTTACGGATTGTAAGTACTAGATTCATACTCTCATATCACATCGTTGGCATGTTTTCCTGGAAAGCACTCAGCATGATCTGGCGCTGGGCTGCCGGCGGTAGGGTTGGAACACATGTTGGAACACGAGCCTTACCCGCCTTCATATTCTCCACTTTACCCCTGCGAAAGCCGCAAGTTGCTCAAGAAGCGCCGGATTCGGAACACGCCCACTGTAATAGGGACGCTCAAAGTTGGGGGCGCTCAGGTCGCCCACGCCTACGACCCCCCTTGGCTTACAACACCATCTCGTTTTGTACATATCCGTATTATATAATACTGTGTAAGCTACGTTTTAGGTAGACCAAAGGGGTCATGGGCGTGGGCGGTAGGCGTGGGCGACCTGAGCGCCCCCAACTTTGAGCGTCCCTAATTGAAAGACTTTCGCACCGCATTGATTACATCTGGGGCTCAGCGCTCAGCCTTGAGTCCCCACCCGCCTAGGAGCAACTCGGATGGCGAGAAGTAATTCATGGATCACTGGTATCATCAGCAATATCGTATGCAGTATTGTTTTTAGTGAAACGAGCACTTAGTTGAGCTATCATCGTCCTAGTATGATGCTGCGCCTTGGGCCCTCACTTCAAGCAAGTGCCTTCTAATTGAAATTGACCATAGTAACAACACGTTTGCAGATATCCAATAATTGGTACTTGAATGAAATACTAAATTCGTAGCGCGGAGGAAATCTTGAAAAGGAGCCCAGGACATCATTATCATAAGTCATGAATGTAAACCAGAATAAAAACATATCTGGTTTTGGTACATTAGCGTCATCATAGCTCATGCACGAAGTGCCCATCTGCAAGATTATTGAGCTTATCCTCTTCCTTGTCGAGCTTACGAACGGCGATCCAAAACAGGAGGCCACCAACGCCCGCAAGGACGGCGCTGGCAGTATAGTTCCATACGAGTAGTGGATCTATCGAGAGTGCTATCGCATTGTGTGAGAGTACGTTCGCAGACGGACAAACAAAGGTGACGTACGGACGAAAGCCTCGCCAATGGCAGCTGAGACTGCAGTCATGAAGAGGAACACAGACATGACTAAACTACGCATGTTCGAGGGTGCTTTGGTAAATGCATACTCGAGACCTGTGATCGATGCAAAAATTTCAGAGAAGGCGATGAGCACATATCTATATGCACCATCAACATCTATTCACAAAGAGGGTGTAAACTTGAGAAAGTAACTCACGAGCCACTCTGAATCCACACATTCAGCGGGGAAACAAGTGGGTCTCCATTGGCGTCTTCGCAGGTTGCAGCGTGGTGCCCACAAGGGTTTGTCTTGTAGATATAATATTGCAAAACGGCGGCCCAAATCATTGACGCAGCTGCTGTGGCGAAACCCCAAGCGATTTTCTTCAGAGAGGTGAACCGGATACCGGCACGTGCAAGTGCTGGGTATACCTGTTATTGTCATAATAAGACTACGGAAATTATGTTCCTTCACGATACTTACCACCAAATCACATATCGGGATAAAAATGATGAGAGCCAAGGGATCGAGATTAGACAGAACGTCATTAGGTAGGCCGTTGGTGGTCATTGTTGCAGCTTGTGAGACCAAATTATTATTAAGTTGATTGTAGCAGAGCCCTGTATGGCGTAAAATAAGCTACATGGGAAGCAATATAGAAGATTAAGTACGGAGAACTCACAGTAAAGCGGGAACCAGACGAACACGCTGCAAGCTTTGAAACCGCGACGGACCTCGTCAACCCACTGGTCGTCAAAGATCATCCATCCGGGCTTCTCGCCGACCTGGTTAGAGGGCTTGGCACTTTCCCAGAAGTCATCAGAGGTGAGATTTTTGATGGTCTTGCGTGGATTCCACGACCATCGTCCGCGCTGGGCATACCGCCAGATGCGCAGCGCGGCTGGAAGAACGGAGCCTTGCGGTGGAGATCTGCGATAACGATTACGGCCATACCAAAGGACCAGAGGAGAAATACAGAAAACTGCGGTGGGCAATGTGTAGGCCAGCCAGAATCCAACAAACTAGAACACCATATGAGATAATTCAGGATCTCATTTGGGAACGTACCTTTTCCGCATAAACCATTCCGATCTGACCAACGAGAGCACCGATGTTGATAAAAAGGTAGAAATACTGCGGGTGGTGTCAGTAGCAGCTTGAAATGTGCGTTGAACTCGGCCTACCATATAGATTCTCGTAGTGGTCATGGCCGGGTCAACGATGACGCGCTCGCCCGAACTAGTCGTAGTGATGTAACATTTTTTTATTCGATATTGCTCTGCAACCAAAGGGGAAACATTCGACTTAAAGCCGCCGGTGCCAGTGCTGGTGATAATCATGGATAGGATAAATATGCCAAGCGATGCACGACCGCCTATGATGCCAGGAATTGAAGAGACGATCATGATGATGTGGCCCAACATGGCAACAACGACACTCCAGCAGATTGTTTTGTAACGACCCCAGTAGGTATCAGCAATATAGGCGCCAGCAATTGGACAGATGTAAGCCCTAAATGAAACCGCGATCAAGAGACTGATAACAAGATATAAGCAAAAATACACGAACCAGAACTGATAGAACGTGGTAAGGCCTGTAGACATCTGTTGACCGGCGCCAAGGGCACCAGATTGGCCATTTTCACCACCTGCGCCGGTACGGGAGAAAGGAGGAAGGGGTTGCTGGATGTAGTTGGTCTGTAGGAGATAGACGTTCGTATAAATGATTCATTGAAAAGTGATTGAATACTCACGAAAACAACACTAGAGCCTTTGAAGGTGACATTAAAATCGGCACGATGTAATAGCGATCAAGGTATCTAACATACCATAGTACTGAAAGGCAAGTTGAATGAGCATTCATGATATGACACAAGATAAACTCACAGAGAATCGTTCCGCAAGCTCCACGACAGCGATCACTGCGAAATTAATGTGGACTTTAATGGGCTACATCTGCATAAAGAAACAACTCACGATATGCATTCCATGGAATTGCATCAGATACACGTCTGAGAGTAAGCATCTCTTCGGCAGTGGGGAACAGTAAGCCCTCGTGGATGCTGTCGTCATCGTCTTCCAAAGAATCAGCAACCATGCTCTCCAAGGGCTTTTTCTCTGCGTCATAAACACGGCCACTATGCTGAATCGTACTAGCTTGGGCAAGAGCCACGATGAGATCACCATCTGCCATCCTGGGCGATTAGCCGCTCTTCTGGTGGGGGGCGGAGAGTGAAAGGTCGAAGTCGAGAGTAATCATGTCGTGAGGATTTGCTTTTATGAAGGCAAGTACTTGGCCCAGAAGTAATCGTATGGGTTGTGTCACATGTGCTTGGTTCCTAAATGATTACATGATAAGCTCTTTTTACACTCAATTCGGCTCATCTCTCTTCTGATTCTTAACACGTGTTTTACATTTCGTGCATGATCCGCATGTGCTTCAGCGTCTAGCTAAACGATGAGCAGTTGAATTTTTCAATCATTGCATTCTACCGCTGGATCCATGCCTGGGTGTATCAGCGAACGTCAAGGTGATTCCCATGTCATTGTCATTTTACAAACTCTTCAATCAAAAATTCTGTTGAACCGGCGTCCGAGCTGCAGCCTTGCACCCACCATCAAAAAAAAGGATTCCACAACAGTTGTGAGCTTGGCGCCAACTCCCAGGCACTGGTCTTATCTTCGATCCATGTGACAGTATCAACGGCTGTGTGCATGCCCGCGTGCGTGCCCAACGACTTATCTCGGTCGCATCATTGCATCTTCAGTGCCTTGGTGATTTGTGCCATCACGCTGCTGCCTGCATGCTTCTTTTCCATGTGCCTGCGGTTCAATCACTCCTGTCGTGAAATGAGGTTCTGAGGATCGTGTCTTCTTTGGAGAACCGGGTGATATTGGTATGCTCTCCTGCACCTTTTCAATTCGACCGTATTCAAGGTGTCGATCAAGTCAATCAAGAACACCTTCCCTTCTATTAGATCACGGTCTCAAGCTCTCCGAGTCCGTCAGAGTCCTATACTACTCTATGTAGTCAAACCAATACATTAACTGGCGTTCCAACAGAATTCCAACTATTTTTATATGTATGTTGAAGCCAATCTTGAATTTCTCGCAGTCACCCGGTGCATTAAACAGACTGGTATTATGTAAGCAAATTGGACTTTTGGTGATACAGCGAATGGTGATACAATGAATTATGAAAGAGGAGTCATCGCCAACCCTTCTACACGGCGGCGCTTTGCAGGCGGCTTCCAACCATCAGGATCAAATACCAAATGTAGCATCTCCAAGTCATGCTCTGTGCTAATCTTCTCTCCATCCCGCGCACCATCAGGACGTCGAATATCCGTCCGATTAACACGTATCGGATATTGGGTCTCTTGCTTCGGTCCAGCCCAATCGAAGTCGAGCAGCATGAAGTCTTTGTTGTCTTTCACAACAAAATTGGCATCCCGAACGTCGCCATGAACGTAGCCGGCATTGTGTAACTCCTGGATGTGAGAGGTTATGGTCTCCTTCAGCGGCTGGCGGTCCACAACGGCTATCTTACTGAGCTGTCGATATGAGCCAGGCCGTTGCGGGAAGTGATCATCATCAATATCAAGGGCATCCATAACCACCATATTCCAGCCGCCGGGTAAAGGATCGTAGGCGATAAGTTTGGGAGCGCGCCCCTTGCCGGCACAGAATTTGTGGGCCTCAGGGGAATAGTGTCTGACGAACTTGATACATATCTTGCTCCCAGCCGCATCGCCGACGGTTTCCCCGAAGAAGATAAGTTGATCCCTGAGGATTTGAGTCTCATCATACGAGAATTCCTGAATGCCATCGGTTGAGGTTGAATTGATATAACTTCGAGGATGAGGATATCCTGGACATTGATTTTTGGATTCGACGGTCGGAATGTCATGGGAGTACAGATTTGTGAGTTTCTCGACGGCGATTTTGAGAGCCCCAAAAGTACGAGCCGCCATCACTTGCAAACGGACGTCTGTCGAATGCCAAAACAGAGGAATGATAGGGCCCAGGATCTCAGACTGGACCTTGTTTGTCAAAACAGAGCCTGCAAAGCCAATGCATGCCCCTAGTTGTGGTCAATAAACGGTTTTAGCAATGAATCTGATGAAATGAACTACCGAAGACAATGATATGGATGCACGGAAAGACAGACCAGAGGTTGGCTATCTCAATCTTCGACTCTTCCATAAACTTGCGGTGGTACAACATTGCCTCCAGGAATGGTTCGGCAGCGCCGCTTCCAATCTCGTTCTTCCCCTTCAGTATCACCTGTACAAACATTCCGTCGGAGGACAAAAGATGTCCGTCTGTTACACATTTTGTCCCGCCAACCATAGAAGGATCGAGTATGATACCGTACTTGCAGAGCACATCCCGAAATGCATCCATCCGCGCGAGCTCATCCTTATAGAAGGCGCACATCGTTTCTGAAAGTTGCCAAACAAGGTCGTTATCGTGGTCGGTTGGTTGTCGATTTTGACAATCATCCACGAACTCGGCGAAGATAGGCTCGAGAAGAGTGACTGGAACAGGGTTCGCAGCTTCGCGAGGACGATTGCAAAGGTACTCTTGGTTGTCCTGCGTTAGAGAGAATGCGGCCGGTCTTGCACCAGCTGACGGAGTACCTGCGCCCTTCTTGAGATACGCGAGACGTTGTTCAACAATTGGAAAGAGTCGTGCAACGGCAGGACGCTGTACGATGACATGGACACATCTGTCATCTACTCCATCCGTGAACATTGTGGACAGTTTGGTTGACGGCTTCAACTCCACGGATTCGCCTCCGATCGTGCGGAGTAAGTGTAGGTCGTCCAAATTGATCTTTACCTTCCAAATGATCAGATCGTCAACATCCAATCGTAGGTGTCAGATCACTTACCTTCCATAGCTTGAGATCGTCCGCGTTAACACGGTCAAGACGTCGCATCTTCGCGTCCTTGATAACCTTTTGGAGGCCGCTGACACTTTCTGTCGGTGCAATCTCAATCTCAAATACATGGCGAGGATCATCGCCCACCATAAAGCATTTGAGGTGGAGTGGTCCAGAAGACACTAGGTCAGACCGCAATCAGTAAGGAGGAAAGGGTGGCAATATCGAAAGACAAATCACCGGCAGGTGGGGCCCGGATAACAATATGCAGGTTTTCATCCTCAGGTATTTCAGAGAAAACTTTTTGCAATTTCTTCACGGGTGATAGGGATTCCATTGGGTCAAGTGTAAGATTGTTGAGATTGTCCTTGATCGTCTCGTCGACAGGCAGGTCGACCTTCCAAAATATCAGATTATCAACATCCAATCATAGGCATCAGATCACTCACCTTCCATAGCTCCAGATCGTTAGCATCAAAACCATCGAATCGATGCTTATTCTTGTCTTTGATGACCTCTTTGAGGTCACCAACAGTCTGCGTCTGCGCAATGTGGACTGGGAAAATCTTATTAGGACGAGGATTATCATCCAAGGTGAAGCAGTTAAGGCGGAGCGGTTCAGACATCTGTATTGTAGACGAAGCTAAAAGGACAAGCTCAGAGTTAACGTTCAGGAGAGAACTGCTGAGGTACAAACAAACAAGTAAGATTACGTAAGAGTCCGAGAAAACACACAGCGGGGATTGCAATAATCTGTGTCTTTCAGAGTACTTTGGACATACGCACGTCACACTTTAGGTTAAACATAATGTTTCTGGTCATTCGCACTTCTGAACACTTCTGAACTAGCTAGGCTCGTTCGCCGGATAATGATACGAGATTCTTCCTCTACTGCTAAACATGCTGACTCTGGTGGATGCGGTTAGCCGCCCATGCCCAAATCGCACCATCATGGCATCAGTCGACAACAACCGTCTGATAGGATGTAGATGTGTGTATGTGCAGCCCAGTATGTCCGAAGTTCTATGCAAGCGAGTGTCTAGTTGTGTGGGTAAGCGTACGGTTGTGCTCGTTTAAGTAATGGAATGGATAAGATATGAGCCGTGAAATAGTCCCGGTCAGTAAATAGTTGCATGACGAGATAACGTTAGCTTAGTATAAGTCCTGCTGGATCAGGGGGATGGATCGGAAAACAGCTCGAGCTAGCTTAGCACCCGCCAGAATACTATAAGGAATATGAACCACCATATCAGTCGAAACTCAAGGACGACGCACCAAGCTGTTTTGCGGTTTTGGATAATTCCATGACGTGAGGTTGGGATCTGGTGGTGGTATCCATCAGTATCCTCTTCGAAAAGTCGGTAAGTTTTACGAACTCATATACGAATCCATATGTCGCTTGATATAGTCATCCGTAGGGAAGTCTGCGGGGCTGCACCCAACATTCGTCTGCCCTCGCCGTTGATACACACGAACGTAGTCAACAAGCATCTCAGCAGGGAAGATCATCGTGCTTGTGTCAATCGTCTGCCAACCCGCTGGAAAGAACGTACGTAAGTAAGTATTTCTGCGGGGAAGAAAACTGAACACACGTGAGATACCCAAGTTAAGGACAATGGACTAGTAGAATGGATGCGTGAGGCGGAATGACACGGGAAAAGACGAAGACAGACCATTGGCTCTACGGAGATTAGTCGCTGCGACACGCCTGTGCCTGCTGGTAACGGATCGGGACCAAGTGCTGCGGCGCCAACACGCGCGGACTCGACGCCGGCGGTCTGCCATGTGATATACCCGTCTGAAGGATTTGAGGGATCCGACCAATACTCGAAGCCTGAAAGATGTCAGACAACTAGGAGGTTGGGTTCGCAAAATCGCTTACCAAAAGTCGTGAACTGCGCGCCAGATTCTTGGAAAATATCATCGGGAAGAATCGTTAAGGCAGATACTGCTTGCTGGCTGGTGGCAGAAGAGATGTTAGTCCCAAAGGAAACAACAGCCGGCCATGTGATGTGGAGACCACAAATCACAATGCAAATGCTACTCACACTGCACTCCCGAGATAAGGATTCGCATTTGTGATACTAGGTGTGTTGATAAACCACTCATCCTGGGTGGCATTGAGATAGGTGTAATCGTGCGAGAAGGGTGCAAACTGGCCGGACTGCGAGACAACCTGTCCCGAGCCCACTTTATTATGCTCGACCTCGAGAATATCGATTTCAGGGGCACCACGGCCAACATTTACGGATGGCCCGGGATGATCTTCTCCTGGGCAGGTGCATGACCTGGATAGAGTATTAGTGGTGTGCGTGTCCAATGTTGAGCGTGAATAATGGGTATGTGCGCCAGCAAGGAGGGGCAAATACAAAACAAACGTCGGAGAAGAAGTCGGGTATGACTTACGAGAGGCGTTGTCCCGGCAACCATGATAGTTCATAATTGTACTTGGCCTTCGAGGCAACTGACTGGAGAGCAGCAGCAGGCCCAGAACCATCCGGCTCTGTCTGGTTCGGGAAAGTGCCAACATCGCAAGAGTCATAGCTGAAGTAGAGTAAGTACTTGAATCGGTGTTCAAACAATTGAACTCACGAGTAAGGCCAAACGCCGTCTGTAGTCGCACCGTATCCCGGACGCGCAAGATTACCCATCGTCCATGCACCCGGCCACTAAATCAATCCATTAATTAGTATCACACATCCTGAACCACTCCTGTTGAGAGGCATGCTTAACGCCACAGCCACTCACATAACCCTGTGTCTCCTGGTTCGGCCCCGGTAAACTGATTGACACTTCAATATAGCCGCCCGTAAAACAAAACTTGTTCCAACTTTGGAGCATACCACTCCGATAAGGCAAGTTATTCTCAGGGATCTGGTCCATGACGATGCTGAGGTACCCATCCCTTGTTGTTATCTGGCCGGGGTCATACCACTCCTGATCGCCAGTACTCCCGTACCAGATGTTTACGGCTTCCCAAAAAGGATCATCCCCAGGCCAAAAAGTGCGGTTGTCTGTATTGAACTCGTCCGAGAAGACCAGTTCATAAGGGAGGCCATCAAACCCTGTCCGCGTTGCAGCACTACTGGGCGTATCAGGATCGATGAGCTGTGCCATTTGAAATCTGGGCAGGAATACAATCAGTCAGGTAGTCCATATCATACGAAAGAAAATAGAACAGCAGAAAAATAGTAAAGTGGTGTGACGCACAGAAACGAAACCTGGCCGGTTCCATTGACGAATACGTTGCCTGTAATCAAATCTCTCTGGGTGCTATCGCGATAATAACTGACAACGGGGTAGAGGATAAAGAGACATAAGAGGGCCAAAATGAGGAGGGAGAGCACCCCAACATTGAGGATACCTCTGAGGGGAAAGACAGTGCTGCTGAAAGTATCGTCATTAGCATCAAGGGGACCATCCTGATCTGGCTCGTCAAGGGCTGGGTCATAGACGTAGGGTACGAGAGCACCACGTGGATTCCGAGCACCAGAAGGGTACTTGCTATCGTATGAAAGTGAGAAAGTGGAATCTGCCGAGGTAGTGAGGACCGAATCGCGCTGAGGGAATGGCTTCGGTCCGGTCAATGGACCACTGTTGTCTTCTGCGGCTATACGATATAATATCATTGAACCACGCTGACCAGAAGGAAGGGAGGCTATGTTGGATGCAGCGAGGACTTGGGAGTCCTCTGAAGCCACGCGGTTGAATTGCATGCTTTGGCGAGACTGCGACCGATAACGTGGATTGGCTTGAGGAGCCGAAATGGAGAAATTGGGGTTCAAGGGAGAGGATATGTAGTTCAGGTTGGCATTATGGGATAAGGAACGTGTGGGCGTCTGCCTGGACTGAGGTGAATCTGGAGGGAGGAGGGGCATTTCAAAGTTGGACGAGCTGGGTGTTTGGGAGGATTGCATGTCCTGGGCGACTTCCGGATGTCGTGCTTCATCGCGGTCAACATACTGAACTGTTTGGTCGTTTGCAGTATCGCGTGGACCGACCATGCGATCTTCACGTTGTGAATCAAAGAAGGTCGTTTCATGCCAAACAGAGTTGTTTGTGGAGTTATCCAAGTGCTCTTTTTCGCCGCTAGAGGAACTAGACCGTTCTGGCTCCATTGCACTAGTTGACAATCCACCGGTGGCTGTCGTTGCTCACGACGGCCTCAACAGAGTACTTGAGATGCCAAGGTAGCAAGTAAACGCCGCAGGATGCGGGAATACAAGTTGTGAGAACTGAGCGGCAGGTCCGTTCTTCGCCTCCACCCATGCTTTCTTACGGCTAGCCCAGATCGCTATCACATTACCCGCGCGTAAGGATAAGTTTATTTATGTAAATAAGCGAAGATGTACTCACTTTTATTGGTTCCTCGGCTTCCGTTGATTCGGAGAAATGCTATGCATTCTTTTTCGGCTGACAGGTTCCGCAAAGAGCCAGGGCAATTTCTACTTGGCACCGAGTTGGCAAAGGATCCTGTAACGTATGGCCGCTGGGATATCGCTCAACGAGTACGTGGTCAAGGGCGAGGTGGCTACTATGTACGGGTGTGCGTGCAGCTTTGACATGCATCACGGTCTAGACGCTGCGGCAGCTTCTCGAGGATAAGCGACATGATGGATCACGACGACTCGCCGGGCAGTGATAGCCACAACTGATTTTCTCAGGCTGCCACCTTCATGCACCACTCTCATTTTGACAAGGACATGCACAATGACTCAGGAGAATGGCAGTAGTACGTCTGACATGGCGCTACGCCAAGCCTTGAGTCAAGTACCTGAATGCGACATGGATCACGCCTTTCAATGACCCAGCTGCCTATGAGGAAGCTCTGATCCCTCTATGCAGTTCAAGGAATAATATTGGTCGTTCCTTCTCGTACAGAATCACACAGTTGACGCGGTCGACGTTCATTGCAATTGTTCTGGCCAGTGCCGTCATCAAAGTCTTCGTTATAGAAGATGTCAAGTAGCCATGGGAGCTACCGTCGGCCACGATGACCGAAACCATCCTTCTTGGGTCCCGTAGTAGCGTGACTTGGCCTATGCGAACTCAATGACATCATGACAGATTTGACTTGGCAGGAGATCATTTGCCAAGCCACGTTTGGACTGACTTGGTCTGCGTTGTCGAAGTCGTTCGTGGGAAGGACGATGCTATCCTGTTACGTAATGATGCACGGGATGTGCGACACGTCTAGTATGAACATTTGAACGTCCAACATGAACACTTATACGGTTGTTTCTCCATGGGCCTCAAGCGCTAGCGGCTGTACTCGGAGTTGTACTACTAGGTACCTGTTGCCGTTCCGAAGTACTTTGTCCGAGTCTCCCGAATCTTAACAAGAACAAGGTACATTTATGTAAAAAGCTACACCCAAAAAAAGAAATGGGCGAAAAAATGTGGAAAATGTTTTGCAGGCTGGCGCGAATTTGATCTTAGTACCGTACTAGTAGCACTACCCATGGACAGTTACGTGGAAGAACTGATGTGTATGCTGGTTTCTTCAACTTTCTTCCCATGACCCAACTCATATACGCGCTTGTCCGCTCTTCCTCAGTACAAACTCTCACTGACTCGCAGCATTCGTTTCACAACACTGCCTCCTCATCAGCTTGATTCTCGTCAAAATTTCAGAGGTTACATACTCGACATAGTATGCGTCTGGTAGTATCCAAGTCGACTAGGCAACCAAAGTTACCAGACACCTCTTCACTGACCCGTTTTCATTCATATCCTGATAGTACTCGCATCGGACGATTTCCTTAGGCGTTTGTATTATATCGATGCCGATCACTCGTCATGCATCGGTCATAGTGCGTCCTTGTTATTCTCGGCGCTTCCACTTGGCTTCGACTCGCAATCAATCATTCCTACAGGAATTCCTTGCTTATTCGGCTTCGAGATGAACTCTGCAACGTGTTTGTACACCGGTGGCTGTAGGATTTGCTGTAGGTTCTGCGTTCTGACTCGTCAGTGACATTGTAATCGGATCGGACTAACGTACCTGGCACATCAGATATACCACCCACCATATGCGTTATCGCACCGGTGTTGCACAGCCTTGCGCCACACTGCATGCTGTATGCAGGTTTTGCTACACAAACGTCGATCTCGAATATTACAGTACAACGTTCGACAAAGACTTTCTAATTATTTTGCCTAGTGGCCTGTCGTCTTGCGTGGTCTCAATGACGTGTAGCTACCTCGTGAACATGCTTCATTTTTGCAATGATCCATGATGGAAATCTCCTTTACCTCAGTGATCTGAGTGAGATCCCGATCCCAAACGAAGAGATTTTATGTACCAAGGTACGTTAAATGTATGCTTGGTGTTGTTTGTGAATATTAATGTCAGGTGTAACCAACCTCGACTCCAGGCCTTTAACTGACCCTCCTTCTCCGACAGATGTCCAGAGAAATCACATACAGCGAGAGCTCGTTTCTTATGCAAATTTTCGAATCACAACAACCCGATGAAACCCTTAGTATGCCACCTCATCGGCAGTTGCCGTCGTGACTTACCCTTTGCTATGTTATCATGGTAGAGTCGAACTCTGGAAGAAAGTTAGTAGACGACTCGAAGGGTTAGAAAAGTTACCATGCTGAGTATCTTGACTTCCTCAACTGTTGGAATTCTACCTCGAGGCGATGTAGGAGTGTAGGATTAGAACAAGGGCTTCGTGCAGCGGCTGTGCAGCATATGGCTTCTCTTCTCCACTTACCACACAGCGGACAGCAAGCTCCGGCGCCCCATCCGCAGCCTTTCGAATTTTCTTTTCTGCTAAAAATTCTGGTGAGTTCTGATGGCTTAGATCATTGTGTGCATCCGCATGCAACGAAGGCAAGTCTGGTGGGGAAGCCAGCCATGAGCGGAGAGCACTCAAAGGTGCTATGGCAGTGCTCTCTCAAGCTCACTCAAGTAGGAAGTTGACCGTTGTGAACTTTCGTCACCAGAGAACCCAATAGGGCGAGGAATCATTCACCTAGTCACTATGACACCTTCTGCCAGTGGCGAACGAGAATGTTGTCCTTGCCAACACCTGCTGCTGTGCACATGCGGATTCCCGCACTTTCGTGAACGCGGATGCCTGCATTGACGCAGATGCCTGTGTTCACGTGGGTGCTTGCATCAGCATCGATCCCTGCCTTGACGCGGATGCCCTCTTACTACTTTTGTTACTAACGGTCTCATCTAGCCTCACCTTGATGTGTCGCCTTGCAGCTCCTACGATTTTGGGATCCGAGGTTCACTAGCACTTCTCTGCATCGTATTCCCTACTACTCTGAGAATCCCAACTCACCTCGGCTCACTTTTGCACAGGTCGAGGTCATTATCGGGTCCAGGTTGCCCCTTCGGGGCTTCCGCCCAAAAAACTTTCTGCTTGCAACCAAGCAGATCGTTCTTACTACTTACATAACTGCACAAGAGCGCCCACAAAGTCTCCTCGCAACGTCAGCTGTCTTCACCTCAACCACAGCCCCATCGCCTGTCCTGAATTATGTTCTGGATACTTCATATGCGTGTTTGTCTGAGCCGCTTGTCTTCCCTGTTGCTACGGGCTATTCCTGCAGTTGTTTGTCTCTGAAAAACCTGTGAAAATACATCTTCCCAGTGAATGGACCTATGAAATACGGAACTTGAAGAGAGACGCTGGATGCTAGCTATTTTCTTAATACTTCTTTAGGTTGGCTCTTGGCAGGTCCGATTTTGATTGTTCGTATCAATGGCACTGATAACTTTATATTTTCAGGCCCATTGCGATCACCGGTGCATATCACAATCATTCCTAACTCGTATTAGGGTGTTTTCCGTAACGAATGTTGAAGACACAGGACGAGAGGGTTCTATCGTTTCACTCAGCCTCTTTTACGATACGCGCTTATTATTTTTTATCTTATCACTGCCTCGGAATGTACATGCTATCAGCATGCCTTTCCAGTGTATATTTCTTCTCTCATTGTATATCCATTACAATCTTGATCAAATTCACATTCTAGGTTCAGTTGAGCGCGCGAGTTCTGTTCTTTGCAGGAAAATGGCGCTGGCGCTTCTGCTAACCCCCCAATTGAAGCCACTCTAACTCTTTATGTAACGTCCAGTGCTACATAGCCTTGCTTCAACGCCGGTACGTATTAATTACATACTTACAAGCACCTTTCCATTACCTATATAGTATCCTCATAATTGTTCCTCTCAGGTATGTCGGCTGCCACCTTACCGCTATCCATGCCCATCCCAAGTCAAAGTACTCGAGTTGCCAGTGGGTACTCGCAGTTACCACAACTGAACACTCCCCCAGATGATTTTTTCAACGAATTTCCACCCAAGTGGGATGCTCCAAAATCCTTTATTCCTCGGCATATCTTCCAGATATGCTGCTTCATATTTACCTGGCGCAGCGATCTGCACTGGTTGCACGACCTCTTGAGAGAAGGAAACGCCTGGGAAGAGCTGCATAGTCGATATCTGACCCAGCTCAATCAAGTGAGCACAGTGGTAAGTCGATGATGGGCGTCATTCATTCAAATTGATCGTATTAATGTGTTCTTGCGCAGCAAGGACTCGTGCTTGCCACTGCGGCGGTTTTTATCTCCTCAAATCCACCACTTGCGAAAGATGTCAACTATATATCTAACTCATCTTACGCCTGTTTGGCGGAGTCGCTTATCTTTTCATTGTTTGGGCTATTGTTCCAGCTGAAGGTATCTGCCTCCGGAATCATTTTTCAACGACGTAGTGCTGCAAAAGTACGTGTCGTCTATTGCCGAGGTGGTAGGTCAGAGCTGACCTCACCACAGGTCATAATCGAGAGGCGCTGGAGAATATTCTGGCACCTCCTGGGTATGGCAATGCCAATCATCATTTTTACCATATCAGTGGTACTTTTGCTCATATGTGCGCAGTTCACCTCGTAATATGTGATCGCGACTTACACAGTTCCTCATCAGCTATTGTGCTCACAGGGCTTGCATCTCAGTCCGAAACTGTCCAAATGTATCTGAGCATAACATTCGCTTTCCTTGCCACTTGTCATTTGGTAGCGATTCTGGGTTCACCATTCTACCACCATTTTTCAAACCTATGCGTCCACATTCTTCGCCTCGAGAATGGCGAATGACCTCAGGAAGCGGGCGGCGCCTCAGCATTCGGTGCTAGAGGTTCCGCAAGGGCACTGACAGGTGTTCTAGTAGCCATCGATCACTCCTGGATCTACATTCTTTTGCACTCACCCGCCTCTCCCTTTTCTCTGATATCCTGTTTCACATACATTCGATTCCTTATTGCGTTCATATTATATACATTTCATAGCACATTATTAATTATCTTTTGTTCAACACAATTCGATTACCGATCCCAGTCAACCGTTATGTTAGCCGTAGACGTCGGTTTCCTCACAGTGCCGAACATGAATCGGCCAGTCACAGTCGATTCGAATCATTGCTTCCTGCCTCTCGATTATCTTCATCACCAGTTCCTTGATCGCCTCGATCGATCTTTCTGGTACGTCAGAATCAGAGATACGGTTTTGAATCAGCCCAAGTTGTTGCCATTTCTGCCACGCTAACCAATCTGCTTAGGCACGTTTTTTGGAGTGAAAACCCTTGCCACCGTTCACAGTTTCCCATGCGCAATGTAATGTGCCCTTCACCAGGATGACCCGCTTCACAATCGGGCTTCTGTACAATGTGCTAAAGTTTCGACGAATGTTGGTGGGTGTGTGGTTGTTATCATGTTCATATCGTGGTTCATCTGGGCAGCAAGACGTTCAGAAGTATTTCCAAACGACTAGTTCTCAGCTTCAGAGATAGTATTCAATCTTAGCGCTTTGGGTATCTTTACCACGTCGACCATGCAGTAGCACGAGTTTTCAGCAAATGCACATAATGCGTGAACTAGTGCACAATACACATTGGTTGATCGACGTTAACCAACAGCTTAAGTGATGTGCACCACCTTTGTGTCCAGATTTAAGCCAAGTATTCCAAAGTCACAGTGGTGTCTTCCAGTAAGAACCTGTGCCGCATCAGAAGCATCTACCCCATGATACATCAGACCGAGTAGTCTGGCACTATTTAGGTCTCGGGCGCTTGGCAAGATCCGGGGGTTCGAGTTGCACGTTTCGCTAGGTTCCGGAATCACTATACAAAAAAAATCAAGTACCCTTTTCATCGAATGCTAGTATGATACGTACGTGACTTTCCTGTATGACATGGCACTGATTCGATTATCGAGGTATGGAGTGCTCATCAGACGCGTCCGATGCCTTTCGCTTGGTATTCACAGCCTCCGAGTCGTTCTGGATGTTTGATTGATCGAGAACCTGTTCAATTTGAAGCCTTCTGCAACGTTCACGGAAATTCGGACAGAAAACACACACTGGATGTGACATGGATGTCTGGTTATGGAAGTCGTGAGAATACAGCTTATGCTGCGGCTTCCGTCCCACAGTTACTAACCCAGATCGTCGTGCTGAGCCTGTGGAGCTTGGACTAAGATAGGTAATTATGACCCGTTCAAGCCTCATTGAAGATCGCTCACGGTTCAACGTTCATGTCTTAGCGCCAGTCAAAGGCATATAAGGACGCCTATGCTGCCCATGGTCCTCCAGAATTTTCCCGTCTTCTGGCATCATCGTTGCGATGAAGTATGAGTCACGGAAGTACATCGACCTCATTCAAAGTATTACATCCAAATGGGCCAACTGGGATCCACCAAAACCGATCAATGTATGTAAAGCCATCACTTGGTTCCAATTGACCTGACAGACGCAGGTGGGCGACTATGGAATGATCAACAATGCAACTGGAGAGTTTGAATGGGAAGGGAACATCTACACATCAAAGACCATTACCGATATCGACATGACGGATCCGGCACTACACCCCGTAGAAGAGGAAGGGGACGACAAATTCATCGTCAAATCGTGGGGTGTCACTACTAGGGAAACCAAGGTGGCTACTGAAGCGTGGGTGTTACAATATGCAGTGTTCGGGTTTATATCTGACTGTGTTGCAGCGCCGTGTCTGGTGTAGTGAATGTTGCCCTCAAAGTCGATTTTGAGTTCGAGGGTAGGAAACGAGCAGCTGCCATGGTTATGTATCAGCCAAGATACATCAGCCTTCCCAAGGATGAGCGCATCATCGAGTTGCTCAAGTGCAGACCTGAGAAACTCAAAGGGAAGTACATCGTCACCGAAGTGATATGTTGTGCAGCATATATGATGTACATGTCTACCAATAGTAAGTCTGGTATATGTAACTTCTTCTGCGCTGTTCACACTTGGCATAGGAGCAGAAAAGTTTTCCGTGACACTTCAAGTCACGGGGCCTCCTTCGCCAGCTGCCAATGTTGGAGGAACAGCGGGTTTCACCTGGTCTTCAGAAACTACCCATGGTATCTACCGTGAAGGAAGCAACACGTCCATAAAATACATGCCCTTGTACAGGCTAAAAAAGCCTCGTAACAAGTTCTGGTTGCCTTGGAGTCAACGCGGAGATGAGAAGATTGACGATTCGATCGAGAAGTGAGTTGAAATCGCCTCGTGGCTCAGCAGTCAATGACATCCTTGTAGGTGGGACGATGTCGATACACCTTGGGACCCTCTCGACGAGGAGGGCGAAGAGGACGAATTCTATGATGCAGTACGTTCTCAGTTTTTCTATTTGGAACTCAACTTGATCCATCTCTCTCCAACAGGAGATGCATGGCGACTTCGGTGTTTTCAATGACGGCTATCCCGAGTAAGTGTTACTCCTTCACAAAGTCTGCACATTTCTTAAATACCTCTCATAGTAACAACGACGACGATTGATCATTCACGAATGCTTTTACTGCTACCTCAAGGGCCAATTCGTGCCACTTTGTATATATACGTGCAATCATTCAAAATTTTGCTGGAATAGTATCAACACTTGTTACATGGACGAAGTGCCTTGTGTAGCGAAATTTTGAAAGTTACAATATTGGCTAAGTTACAATAGCAGCGACACTACTCATGCATCAGGAAGAACTGTTTGTCGCTGCTAAATAAGTATTGTAAAAGCACGAATGACCGCCAGCATTGCAAAGAGTGCTATTGCATCCGTCACGCGTCACGTCCGATGCAGTATGATCAGTACTAGTGCCAGTAGGTTGCAAACTGCACGATGTGCTCGTTCATAGTTCTCTCTCCTCTTTCCTCACTACTATGGCAATTTCTGCTTTATTTAACTGCGTTGTTGGTCTTCAAAATGGAAGCAGATTGATAAAAAAGATTTCTGGCATCATCATCAGCCCCACTGTGCTACAAACGAAACTCACAAAAGCTGAGCAAGTCCAGACGTCGTTTCTCCTCACAAACAAGGAAACCAATGGGTACACACATCTATTTTGGCCAGTACGTGAAACTAATTTGTGGCGTGTTCAGCGTTGTGAGATGATACTTTACACAAGCTTTGGAGGACCAGCCCGATGGCCTGCTGAATTATTACGGCCCCTGGTCATGGTGATGTATTGTTCTACGTGGCGAGTGGTAGACAGTCACTCACATGCAGCTAGGAAGATTCCGCAAGTGGTTGAGCGATTGAGTCTGCTCTGGTCATGCTTTATCCGTGGCTGTAAGCAGCCCTGTTCAATTCGATTATTGAAGTGCGTGACGATGTGTGTCATAGATCGGCATGTGCATGGTCTCTAATCGTGTGCCTCGATCAAACATGACGCCTTCTTCATTGCGTGAGCTTGATAAGTATTCTAAAAGTCAGCGCCTACCTCAAATCCTTCTGCTGTGCTCCTGGTAAGCATCATCTTCATGCATTCAATGCAGACCCCTCATCCCATGCCCAGGACTCAATAACAAAAGTCTGGAAAAGAAGACCACGATACTGTTGATATGTTGATTGCCCTTTTGATGACGACCAGTCCAGCTTGTCCCGCACCAAGCTTGATCAGCAAAACTCATCTAATATCCAAAACGAACCCTCGATCCAGCGCCTCGCCACCGTTTGTCCATTCCACACTATGCAATATCTCTCACCTGTCCACAGGCCTGAGGGCGTCTGCACTCTTGTAAATGCCGGCAAAGAAAGATAGGGGATTAATTCTGCTTGACATCGAGGACCGCGACATGCGGGTGCTTATCATGCCCACTGGGTCAGGTGACAAGTCTGCATCAAGGATGAATAACGTTGAACTGTTCCTGACCCTTCCAGGATGAATGTTACACTAGTCGTGACAGACATCCGTCCGTGGCATGCACACTGCGAAGACCAGCTTCAAGATGGACAGCAAGTTGGTTTAGCCTAACCGGGGCGACAACAACGATGAGCCATCCATTGTCGCTAGTGGCAAGCAACGAACCGACAACTCCAATAACATTATTGACTACTACCATCATCCCTTGGCTTTTTCGGCAATCGTCTTCTTTGATTCTTTACCCCCTTCCGGGCAATTTCTACTTCGTAATAACTTCCATGTCCCACTGACGCTACAAATCACTTTGTGAATCTTGATTCATTGGCTCAGTCCCAATTGTCATTGAGAGAGTTGTCTTGAATGTCCCGCAGTCACCCGGTGCACTAAACAGACTGGTATTATGTAAACCCTTCACTACTAGATACACGGCGGCGCTTTGTAGACGACTTCCAACCATCTTGCTCAGGATCAAATACAAAATTTAGCATCTCCAAGTCATGCTCTGTGGTAATCTTCTCTCCATCCCGCGCATCATCAGGACGTCGAATATCCGTCCGATTAACACGTATAGGATAATGGGTCTCTTGCTTCGGTCCAGCCCAATCGAAGTCGAGCAGCATGAAGTCTTTGTTGTCTTTCACAACGAAATTGGCATCCCGAACGTCGCCATGAACGTAGCCGGCATTGTGTAACTCCTGGATGAGAGAGGTGATGGCCGCCTTCAGCGGCTGGCGGTCCACAACAGCCATCTTACTGAGCTGTCGATATGAGCCAGGCCGTTGCGGGAAGTAATCATCGTCAATATCAAGGGCATCCATAACCACCATATTCCAGCCGCCGGGTAAAGGATCGTAGGCGATAAGTTTGGGAGCGCGCCCCTTGCCGGCACAGAATTTGTGGGCCTCAGGGGAGTAGTGCCTGACGAACTTGATACATATCTTGCTCCCAGCCGCATCGCCGAAGGTTTCCCCGAAGAAGATAAGTTGATCCCTGAGGATTTGAGTCTCATCATACGAGAACTCCTGAATGCCATCGGTTGAGGTTGGATTGATGATATAACTCCGAGGATGAGGATATCCTGGAGATTGATTTTTGAATTCGACGGTCGGAATGTGACAGGAATACAGATTTGTGAGTTTCTCGACGGCGATTTTGAGAGCCCCAAAAGTACGAGCCGCCATCACTTGCAAATGGACGTCTGTCGAATGCCAAAACAGAGGAATGATAGGGCCCAGGATCTCAGACTGGACCTTGTTTGTCAAAACAGAGCCTGCAAAGCCAATGCATGCCCCTAGTTGTGGTCAATAAACGGTTTTAGCAATGAATCTGATGAAATGAACTACCGAAGACAATGATATGGATGCACGGAAAGACGGACCAGAGCTTGGCTATCTCAAATTTCGACTCTTCCATGAACTTGCGGTGGTACAACATTGCCTCCAGGAATGGTTCGGCAGCGCCGCTTCCGATCTCGTTCTTCCCCTTCAGTATCACCTGTACAAACATTCCGTCGGAGGACAAAAGATGTCCGTCTGTTACACATTTTGTCGCGTCAACCATAGAGGGATCGAGTATGATACCGTACTTGCGGAGCACATCCCGAAATGCATCCATCCGCGCGAGCTCATCCCTATAGAAGGCGCACATCGTTTCCGAAAGTTGCCAAACAAGGTCGTTATCATGGTCAGTTGGTTGTCGATTTTGACAATCATCCACGAACTCGGCGAAGATAGGCTCGAGAAGAGTGACTGGAACAGGGTTCGCCGCTCCGCGAGGACGATTGCAAAGGTACTCTTGGTTGTTCTGCTCTTGAGAGAATGCGGCCGGTCTTGCACCAGCTGACGGAGTACCTGCGCCCTTCTTGAGATACGCGAGACGTTGTTCAACAATTGGAAAGAGTCGTGCAACGGCAGGACGCTGTACGACGACATGGACACATCTGTCATCAACTCCATCCGTGAACATTGTGGACAGTTTGGTTGACGGCTTCAACTCCACGGATTCGCCTCCGATCGTATGGAGTAAGTGTAGGTCGTCCGAATTGATCTTGACCTTCCAAATGATCAGATCGTCAACATCCAATCGTAGGCGTCAGATCACTTACCTTCCATAGCTTGAGATCGTCCGCGTTAACACGGTCAAGACGTCGCATCTTCGCGTCCTTGATAACCTTTTGGAGGCCGCTGACACTTTCTGTCGGTGCAATCTCGATCTCAAATACATGGTGAGGATCATCGCCCATCATAAAGCATTTGAGGTGGAGTGGTCCAGAAGACACTAGGTCAGACCGCAATCAGTAAGGAGGAAAGGGTGGCAATATCGAAAGACAAATCACCGGCAGGTGAGGCCCGGATAACAATATGCAGACACTTGCGTCGAGGAGCATTGGGGAAAATCTCGACTATTTCATCCACAGGTGATAGGGATTCCATTGGGTCAAGTGTAAGATTGTTGAGATTGTCCTTGATCGTCTCGTCGACAGGCAGGTCGACCTTCCAAAATATCAGATTATCAACATCCAATCATAGGCATCAGATCACTCACCTTCCATAGCTCCAGATCGTCAGCATCAAAACCATCGAATTGATGCTTATTCTTGTCTTTGATGACCCCTTTGAGGTCACCAACAGTCTGCGTCTGCGCAATGTGGACTGAGTAAATATTATTAGGAGGATCATCACCCAAGGTGAAGCAGTTAAGGCGGAGCGGTTCAAACATTTGTATTGTAGACGAAGCTAGACGAAGCTAAAAGGACAAGCTCAGAGTTAACGTTCAGGAGAGAACTGCTGAGGTACAAACAAACAAGTTTGATTACGTAAGAGTCCGAGAAAACACACAGCGGGCAATATTTACAGCTATTTCCATATATATCGATAGGCCTGGTTATTAATTAGTTACTAGTAAGCAGTAGTGTACCTCCGTCTGGAACATGCACGTATAGTTTCAAACCCCGCATTATGCTTCGAACACTTTGAAAGTCCCCCATATCTCAACGTTCAACAGCAAAGCGAAGTTACCCTGCCACACGGCCTTCGAGAGTTCATTTGTCCGAGTCTTCGATGACATACGGGCTACTTAAACACCCTGACACTACTCAATAACCAGATGATAAACTGGAGACATTGCTGACAAGCCCCCCAACTGGAGATTGACCCGTGTCACCACGTTGCAAGAAAACATTGCCTATCCACCGTCTGGCGTCTTTGGCATCCTACCCACCAAAAATATGTGGCAAAATACTCTCCCCGTTGCGCATCGCAGGCTACAATTGCATTACACCACATTCTCAGTCATCGATCAGACGGTAAGACCTGGAGTTATATCTCACAAGACAGACTCGCACCGTGATCTGCTGATCATTATGGAAGACAAATTGATTCAGTTCTCGGGGACAAGACGTACTCGGTGAACATTCATAATTGTTCGTTCGTTCGTAGAATCGTTCTCTTCTCGAGCTGCCCTGACTCTCCAGACGATACGCCGAGCGTGGTAAACTGGTCTGTGGCCAGGTGTTCATTATCCAATTTCCCTGGGTCTCGGTCGGAAAGATCTTCATCGCGTTGAATATTCTAATTTCTCCTAGTAGGTGACGAGATTGAGTTGCGAAACGAAGATCTAGACGGAGAATGGATTGTGTACGAAAACAAACTATCATCCGTGCTAAGTTCCAGGCTTTCATCCTTTTAATTGATCTTACAATGTTTTTCTCGCAACGGTTGGTGTCGAGTTCGATGCATTACTCGAGTCTTACGACAAGGAAACAATGTTAATGTACGTAGTTGCGAAATGATATGAAGAACGAGATAAGAGTATAGAAGAACCAGAAACTAGTTCTGTGCGTGTGGGAGTTGCACGGCCAAAAAAAAAGAGAACGAAACGAGTCTGCAATGGAACCGTGGCTAGCTCTACCACTGACAAAAATGTTGGAGCAAAATACTCATGCCTTTCAAACATGAAACATCGTTGCGAAGAACAAGTCCGAGGAAATGGTTTTGCGACGACAAGGTCACCCAAAAGGTGGCAGTCATTTTGTACCCAGGTGCTGCTGCTCTGCATACCTGTCGCACACCAGGACTCTAAGCTTGAACACAGGTATGACATTTTTTGTCGCGACTGTTAGCATGATTAGACTAGTGTCCCGACGAAGAAACAAGGTTGTTGGAAGAGCGGAAGACGTGAAGAGTAAGATGATTGTACATGTGCTGCTCCTGTATTAATGACCATTGGCGTGCGGGGGAGATGCGCAACAGATAAACAAAACAAAACGAGCTCACAGGCGGCTGCTGCACCTGGTGCGGCAGTCCTGGTACCCTGAGCAGGTGTGGTGGTAGGCTGAGATTGCGACGACGAGCCTTGGGCTTGCAACTGCCTTTGCTGCTGCGGCCGCGGCCGTGGAGCAACATACAATGCCTAGACAGAAATCGTTGAATCAGGGCAATAGGAAATGGACGAGGAGAAAGAAATACCTTTCTGTCCTGTACTGTAGCAACTTCGACAATACGAGGACCGCGAGAAAAGATGGAGCGCCTTGGGTGTTGCTGAAGTTCAGTTGCTCCATCGACATCGGAATGAGAGTGGTGGAAGAACAACGAAAGGCGTTCGAGAATGGCACGTGGAATGGCAGAAAAGGATGGGTTATGAATGCGAGGATTGTGCGCAGGAGAGAGGGTATGGGTACCACGTGCTGTAGAGGACTGAGAGAGATCAGAAAAAGAGCTGGTCAAAAAAGGTAGAGGACTCACTTGGGTGTCGTCGAAAAAACCTGGTGGTATTCGACGGGCCTGAATAGGTAGACGTCTGGTAGGCATCAGTCTAGAATTCGATCTTAAAATGGTTGAACAGGGTAAAATAATGTGTCACGTATGTCCTTTAGCGACTTTTGAGTTGGACCTGTAAGTGAGAGATTAGTGTGGTTCGAAAAGCACGAGGGACCTGGACTCACATGAGGAATAGATAGTAGGTCCTCAAGGCCAGCGTCTTTGAGGATGGCGTGAATGTCCCATACATATGCATTTTTGTCCCGGCAACCAGTGACCAGCACTTTTCCATCAGCGGAAAGGGCTGCACAGTTTAAATGATCTTCATGCTGGAGGGGTGGACCGGCTGGGAGGTTGGTGTCAAGATTCCATAGACGCACTATTCCATCCCATGATGCACTCACAAGGAGACGGTCGTTCTGAAGTAAGGCACCTTGATGGCTTCGACTCGGTCTGCGTGACCCTCCAGAATGGCGATCTGCTCCTAAGTTGTATTCTATTCGGACCAATATATCCCGCGGAGAAAAGTTTCTTTCCGTCTGACGTCCAGGCTAAGCTAGGAACTGTCATATAATCATGCACATGTTTGAGTGTGGCGATGGTAAGCGAGTGCTGAGCGAATCCTGGGACGGGACAGCAAGAGAAGACCGGGGTTCGGGTATGTGTACGGCGACTCGGATATACTCGCCCGATCACAAATTGTGACAGGAGGATTGCAGTCGATGCAAAGACGGGCGAACTGCTCGCTACCGTATCAGTAAAACAGTGAGACTCAACTATCGGTTAGTGCTGCCTGTGCCAGCTACTGGATGCCGAGCGGAGCTTGTCTTCGGCGGATGTGACATTACATAAGTGTGACTATCTGAACGAGTGGTAATGTCCGAAGTTGTGGTAGCCGATAGTACCTGAACGTTAACGTTGGACGTTCGAACCTCGGCTTATCTATGTACTTGCTTCAAGTAATACGGATGATGACATTCAGGTTAGATGTGCCGGCTCTTAGCCGTTGCACGAGTAGCAACCAGTGTCATCCGAGTTGGAAGCGAGTCAGTGGTCAGACTAGGTTCAGCTTCGCTTCCACATTTCCATTAATGTTGAATGTCTTCGCCGTGGCAAAGCAGCTAGATGATTTTTGGTCGAGGAATATAAAACCTGAACGTTGAACGGCTAATAAGGAATCACGCACACTCCCAAATATGACGGAGCTAAATGAACTCAAGGTTGAAGCCCTCTTGGACATCATCAACTCCTCCGCACGCAAAGCAATGGCAGAATACAAGAACACCGAACATGGAGTCCCTAGTGTCGATGCAGGCACCTTCCACCCCCTCGACTTTGCGACAGATACACTTGCCCTCAGAAAGGCAATCAGGCTGCTCGAAGGTGCATGCGAGCAATTGAACACAATACTGGCTCCCCCCCAACACACGGTATATAATGTACGTGCCGATTATAGATCGCCCTGTATGCCTTTTGCTAATCTTCCTAGCTTGTCAATAATCACAATTCGGCATGCATGGACGTCGTTATGCAATCACGTATTGCAGACGTCTTGGACAAACACCCGGAAGGTCTTAGCCTGGATGTGTTGGCTGACGCAGTCAACCTAGATAAGACCAAGATCGCACGCGTGTTGCGCGTTTTGACCCTCAGGGGTTGCTTCAAAGAAGGTAATTTGCATCATACTGCCCGTTGACAATTCTCTCTGAGGCCTTTCGTATTCCATAGTTAAGCGAGACGTATTCGCAAACACACGACTCTCCCTCATGCTCAAGGCGACAAACAACGTCGGGTGTTATATAAAATTTCAGCGAGAACTCCCACAATATGCTGCGGTTCTCTATGAGACTATGGTCGACCAAGAGTTTGGAAGGTCGGACAAGGTCGACAAAGCCCCTCGGATATTTACTTTCAGAAATGAAGGCAAAAAAGACAGCTTCTGGGAGATGAACGTGAGTTTGAGTCATCGTACTGGCCTTTCATGCCTTACCTTACCATATTGTACAGGATGAGGCACGCGATGTACGTGCAGATCTATCCGCTCATAACTAATTGAAGGCTCATAGAATCTTATACATAGGTGTTTCAAAAAAGCATGATGGGCTATTCTGAGATCCTGAGCTTTTCTACGGTGCTGCATTGTGAGTGATCACCGTTTTTTTAACCGTCGGCATGACTGAAGCGGGCCATAAGATTACCCTTGGGACAATGTATCCTCTGTGGTGGATGTTGGATCTGGAACCGGAGCAATGTCCATTCCTCTGGCGAAAATGTTCCCTCATCTCAGAATAACCAATCAGGAACTCCCAGAAACTCTAAAGCTGTCAATAAATGTGAGTCCGGACATCCACAGCAGACAAGTTAAATTTATATTTGATCAGACATGGGAGAAGAACGCTCCTGAGGTGCTGCTCGACGGGCGTATAGAGTTCGTGCCGCTGAATTTCCTGGAGGAGTTACCTGTCGTCGGAAAGGATGTTTACTACGTACGTGCTGAGTTTGTTCCCATTCAGCATAGACTGCTCAATAATCGATGAAGTTAAGGAGCATCATTCATAACTGGCCGGACGAGGAGTCAAGGGTGATTCTCCGTAATGTTCGCAAAGCAATGGGACCAAACAGCCGAGTGTTGATTCGTGAGTCCGCTGCATTTTAAAGTGAAGTTTACTCCATAATCAATATCGTGTGATAGATGAGTGCGTGCTCTCGCGCGCATTCGAAGAGCCTGACGTAGGGGCTAACGAGTCCAGTAAGGTAAGTTTAGAGTTCAGCTTGATGGTTAAGGTCTGATCATACGTCCAGGATCATAAGGCGCCCGAACCTACATTACTGAACTTCGGTAGCCACCTAACACACAAAATGGACATGATCATGTGGTTTCTTTTCAATGGCAAGGAGCGAACCTTGAAGGAATACAAGGCCATTGGGCAAGTTCCTTCCATGCTTGGACACATTGACGATGTTTGATTTGTTATAATTTACAGGGCCAGTGCTGGTCTAGTGCTCACCCAGACCTATGATCTTGTAGAGACGATGCTCTTGGAGTTCAGAATCGCTCAGGACTGATGCGGAACATATTTTGTGATCTTCTGTTATTGTACTTTTACCCTCCCCAATCGATCGTTCCATGATTTAATCAAGACGACAATAGGCTTGCGTTGACTATTCACCTGCTTACTTGGATAGACTGCTGAGTTGGGGATCTAATCTCGTCACTACATTTACACCGCCCTGCTCAGCCCCACAATTGACGTACGACCTACAAAAGTAGCTACCAGCATAATGGATCGCCTCGCTCCGAAAGCGGTCAAGTGTATTTTCGAGATTCTTGTCTCGATATGAAAATAGCTGTAAAGGGGGCTCGGTGGCTATTGCCAATCCACGACGTCATGCGGTGCGGACGCTGCGCTTGCTCGGGATTGGGAGTCCTCGGAGCATGAGAAACAGCACTCTGGCGGCCGACACCCATGAGTGAAGTCATGACCAAACATTCGCATCTCCAGCCAATCCGCAGCGGCCGCAGCATCGATGACTCCCAGTTCGTGGCTTTCATGGATCGCATTCAATGGAGAACACTCTCATGGCAGCGACCAATTCCTTTTCCCACCACATATTCTCTCAATTAGACGAGACGTGTCCTTGTGCATAATATTATGCTTGCTTGGCTTGATCAAAGGCATGCCATCTAAACCACACTAAAATTGACAACAACTATCTCAACTATTGTATCGTATTAGTTTACGAATACCCGAAACTAAACATCAACTTCAAGGGAAATCTTCACAAGAGTAAAAGTATCCCCTAGTACCTAAACGCGAAAAATCGATCATATCATAAGTAACAAAATAAGACGATCATACATAGATATTTTTGTTGACTTGATGTCGTGGAAAACAAGGAAGTAGTAGGTAGCCGGTATCGAGGGCGGGAATAAGAATAGGAATAGCGAAAGATATGCATAGAACGAACGACAGATTAGTACAGCGTGAAATCGTAAGATATCATTAGTTTCATGTCGGGCTCGAGTCAAAAACGCGGGACTGTTTGACTTCAGCGCCTCGAGATTTAGATTTATGCTTTACTAGGGACGATCATCAAGGCCTCTAATCTCTCTTCGAGGCCTCGTCCAAGACCCTCGCGCTGCCATTCACCACCGATATCATCGAGCATGGCGATGCTGTCACGCTCACGACCACTAAGACTCGCAGCATCATGTTGGTTGAGGGCGTAACCTTCCACACCAGGAATGTGAGGTGGCGGCTCAGGAGTTGCGCAGGTAGTGAATGATGACAACGGAACCATTGATGCCGGTGTTGATGCGAGCAGATCGGCATAACTCATGAACGAGAGACGCTTAGTGGGTCCGTGCGTTGGAGACGGAGGGTGGGAGATGGTGATGGGACGTATGTAAGGTGAAGATGTGTATGTTGATGAAGGCGAGAGTGTTGATATGGCGATAGGGGGAAGTGCAGAGGAAGGATGCTCCGCAGTCGTGGTCGTGGGTGATGGTTCGACTGATGAGAGCGTGGAGTAATATACAGATGCAGGCGTGCTGATAGAAGGTGCGGCAGACGCCTTGCCACTTGTACCCTGTTTTGAGGGAAAAGCGAGTGGGCTCGTCTGGATGCTCAACCGCTGCGGACTGCCCGCTCCCACACCCGGCGTAATATTAAGGGGGGTAATGGGCCCCTGCTGAGATGGAATGCTCAGCAACAAGCTCGTCCTTCCTGATGGACTTGGGCTTCTGCTCCTCAAGCTACCGATTGGGCTAGCGAAACCGCTGGTAGTGAGGCGATCACGATCTCGCGAAGGACTGACGACAGAAATGTGATCTTCCTCCATGGGAGAGGAGGCTGCGAGAATTGAAGCAGCACTATCGAGCACAGAAGGTACGCTGTGCTCGAGTTGTTCAGTGCCTTTTGCACGCGCAATGCGATGGGGATTCGGGTGAGAAGGAGGAGAAGGAGGGTGCATAGGTTCAATATCACGCTCAAAAATTGCGGATGACGATGAATGACTGTAGTTGCGATAAATATAAGTGAGTATTTGATGAAAGTGGAGTGGCTTACGCAGATGTCGGCGATGAAGGAATTGAAGAAGGTGAGCGAGAGCCCATCCTTGTTGTATTCAGGTGCTGAGAAGTATGAGTTGAGAGTCTATGTTCCCTAGTTGAATCTTTCTGGGGAGTAAGCAGCGTCGAGTTGGACGTCATACGTCTGAGATCAACAGGGGGCGAGTGTTGCACACTAGAAGATGGCGACATAGTCATGGCTACCAACGAACGTCAGGCTTTTAAAGGTAAGAAAAAAAGATAAAAACCTACGTTGAAATGGGTCTGGAGAAGGATGAGTGGACATTATACTGTGGATGTCGTCGGAACTGTGACTGTGTTGGATGAGTGAACAAAACGTTCGTTGAGTGTGGTTATAACTTTACCAAAGGCGCTGTGTAATGCCACCGAAATGCTTCCGAAGGTCCACTGCAGACCACTAAACCAGTCCTTGGCGACCCTTCCGATGGTCCCGCTAGTCCGGCATCTTCGATGGTCATCCTCACGATACGCATCACAGTGATCACACGTTCTCCACGGCCACCCCAACACTTGAATTAAGCGTACCCGGCCGCATGCCATCATTCATTCATCACCAACCATCGATCCCTGGCCTCAGACCTATCGGATCTTCTCGTTCTCACATTTAGCAGTGCTTTCGGAGCATAGCCCATTTCGTCCAGCCTGATCTCCACACGAGTTTCATGCAGGGCACTGGGTTTCTCAGCACCTTGCTTCGCATTTCTCATTTATTCGCGATAACAAGGGTCTGCTGACTGACGCATCCATTCTTCCGACGTTCTTTGCGTGAAAAGAAGTCTTCTCTACACAAGGATGTGGTTACTTATCAGACCCACATGAGCTCATTATTGTCAATGATACTTCGCTATCATGATGCGTCGGAGTGTTGGTCGAATGCCAGTCACTCCGTTTTACATCATCGCAATTAATCCAGAACCTGCCCCATGGCCAGCAGTTGCTGTTGCTGTTGCTGTGCTTTCTGAAAGTTTGTTCTGACTTGTGAAGGTCGTATTGATATCAGCGGCCCCAAACCAGTGATACAGCCCGTTCTAAAGCATTCCGGTAGTTTCGATTCCCGTATCTCACAGAGCCTCCAACATACGTTTACGACATGATCAACGTTGCTTGTCGTCACATGTAGACGTTCGCATGATTTTCATAATGCATCATTCTATCATAGAACGCGCAGTGCTTTCTTCTCGAAGGTTAGGTCGGCCCGCCGAATAACAAATTTTCGGGGGTGTGTTGATGTCACGATCACGGCCATAAGAATCTTGGTTCATTCTTATAGGGAATGGTCGCCGGACTCCATCATCATGTGCCCGTCCAGTATCCAATCGTCGTACAGAAAGGTTGATCGTCATCATTGAACGTTGAACGTTAAATGACAAGCAGAGCTTGTACGAGCACCATCAATCTTGTGGCTGAAGCATTTAAACCATTGATGAACAGGAAGCCATGGATGGTCGCCGCTTTTGCCCCGACTGATCAGTTGGACAGTGGCGCTTCAACGTTTTATGACTACAAGCAGTTGTAGTAGCGGTCAGATCTTTAGATGATACAAAGATAAAGATAATTTCTTGCACCTGAAAGATCTAGGGATGCGTTCCTTTGCATCAAGAAATGTCATGGGTTCGTAGTCCGCTTTCGGATGCGACACTATTAGCTGATAGGATGAAACTCATAGAACGTCAGGACAGGTACATCAGAGAGAAGACAGCTGGAAATGAACCTTATGTAGGGCCCCCACCTTCTTCATAGTACTGTGCTCCTTGTCCAATTCATCGTCATCGTCGACATAGTCTGTTGTCCTCCACATCTCATAAAACCGCGAATAGAAAGGCGACGGTAGGATGGTGGTGTCGAGCTGCTGACCGAAGATGTCCACGAGGTCACCATCGCCACTGACTTGATTATATGATTGAGTTCACTCGTACCTTTCCAGTACATGAGTGCACGTTACTGTAGTATGTAACGTGTGGCGGACTCCAGGAATCGAGGGGAACAGGTGATGGATGTGTAGCTCTTCTGCCCCCGCTGTACATTGCCACTCACTCAAACACGGCAACTTTCCCTAGGCCGCAATTTCGACCCATGTGTTTAGATTGAAACTTTGATAAGAACCAGGGCAAAGGAGCGTAAGAATGTGCTACCTTTGGTAGGCGTAGGCGTGCCATTGAAGGCAATGGGAAGAGTGCCGTTTGAGCTCCCCCACGCCATCCTAAGTCACGGGTATAAGCTGGATATATATATCAGCTCACGTTCCCACTATTCAAACAAAACTTACCTGAGCCACGGGCGATGTTTCTCCTGCACCGAACCTTGACTCTTCCAGGTCATCTCGCCCGATTAGGATATTCGACACTGCCACTTGGCAGAAGCTTTGAACAAATTGAAAGTCACACACGCTGTCACTGTCATCTATTGGAACAACCGCCTAGTAGCAAGTGATTCATTCGATAAAACAGCGCGTCTATGGAATCTCGTCATCAACCTCCCAGTCGGACCACCCCTCCAGCACGAAGAGGTTTTGCGCTCTGTAGCTCTTTTTCCCGATGGAAAGATGCTATTCACTGCCTACACGAACGAAAATGCGTACACACGGGATGTTCATGTCATCCCCAACGAAGCTGGCCTTGAGGACCTATTTCCCGTCGGTACCAATCTTGTCAGTAACAACATATCACCTGCTTTACCTTATTGACGATGTCTGCTGTTAGGCACCAAAAGACAGACTCAAACAGGAGGGATCTCAAGATGATTCAGGAATACAGCCCACGCCCCCTCTTCGCTCAGTGACAAGTCATTTTTGGAAGTGTGCGCTGTGTTTGCATTCATCATAACAGTAGCATTTCAGGCTAATGCTACGCGATGTCCTGGCAAGTTTGGCGGTGTCGATGAGCTCTCACTAACGTTTTTTGCTGGAATGGAAGCTGATGCTGGTGTGCGTAATCAGTATTTCAAATTTTAGTTCTTATCTAGACCTCCGTGCTCTCAGGCCTCTCCAATGGGCGGTACCCACCCTCATTCCTCTGCAAACGCACTCCTCGCTCGCCTTTTTGCTCCCTCACCGCTTTCGATCCGACAGACTACAGTGGTGAAGCGACAGAACTTCCGCAACCCTCGAGGCCTTCGGCGTTCCATCCACATGCACTCTTCGCTCGCCTGTCATCATTCATTCATTGCTCTTCACGTGAGAATAATGCACCAGACGCACTTCAGCAACCCTCTATGCCTTGCGGGTAGATCCACACGTGCTCCTAGTCCACCCTTGCTCATTTTTGCCTCGACCTCGACTCAACACTGACAAAGAAACCGAATATCATTCCACAACGCCTTTGAGTTCACATCCAGATGCACCCCTCGGCGGGCTATTCTCACTCTTGTCAGTTACAGTGTTACATAATAACAACTCAGGTTCAACTGCAATGAAGAGCGAGCAAGGAACTAAGTAAAGTTATAAAATGTTACAGCATAATGGGCCGTTAGGGAAAGCTGAATATAAGAGACTTGGGAAAAACAGCAAACGAGGGTAGCGAAGGTGTGTAAACGAAAAGAAAATCGTATATCATGATGGACTGTTGAAACAGGTTAATTTTCAACAAACGCACAGCGCCTATAGCTAGTACCCACATGTGTGTAATCAATAAATTCCAGGAACAAGCCGGTATCTTACTTCCTTTGCCCAAGTCTCCCATTCTTCTCCCAGGGCACCCTGCAACATTTGGTCCTCCGGTGCAGGACGGCTGAGGGAAATCCAGGTGTGGATTATGACAAGTACGAAAGTGATACTCGTTAATGCTTTGATGAAAGGCACTTGCAAGATCCCGGACTGCCTCATCCATGATCCTTGGCTTCCGTACGCGACAACGGTCCCAGCACTTTGGAGAAGGAGACCAGCGTAGCTTGGGTGGCGCACCACCGAGTACGGCCCGCTTGTCATAAGCCTGTGCTCTTTTCTGACGCTGAGATTGAAGCTCCAAAATTTTCCCAACGTCGACATACAATAAAACCTTAATGCGCCACCAAGTGCGATCGCAATACTGCCGACGAGGAAAGCGGGGGTGATTGGTGTAGGGTGGAGGGCATGCAAAAGCTGCACAGCTCTAGTGCCACTGATGCCTTCTGGAATATCTGAGGGGCCTATACGCGTGGCCAAGATGTTTGCCACTTCAACAAGCGATATTGCCCATATGTTGATCTGTTATATTTTCCACAGATTAATACAAACAACGACAGGTATTTAGATGGTTGACCCACCTTCATTAACTCCGGGCAGCGAAGTTTTATACACCATTTAATGATGAATTCGAACAAGGATGGCACGACACTCTCTTTAGATGACGGTGACGGAGAAGGGGAAGTGAACGATACATGAGTTCCAATGGCCGAAGCTAGGATGAAGGGGATCTTCAATAAACTCATGGTACTTGGCCTGGAGGTGCTATGAAGATGTTGATAGAAACTGATCAATTCGCGGGGGGCAGGTATGATTTTTATATTGTAACAGTCTCAGTTACTTGCATATGATACTCATTCTTACCTAGTGCAGGATGGAGTATCTTCGGGTCGGTCTTTCTGTGCACGAACACCCGAAATTATTATAGCTCACCTAGGGTTTCTCATAGAACTTAATGTCGCGGCGAACTCGGGTTTGACCGAACACCATGACGAATATACATGATGTACATCCGTCTCGAAGTTTTACAATATAACCTCGCTAACGGAACCGGCAAAGCTTTTACACCCTAATTACTAGGTCAAGGGATGTGTCATTTTGTATACTGTCCTCTCCGAGCACTGAACAAGCTGAGATATTTCAAGAGCTGTCCTGTGCCGTTCAAACCGCCAGAATACGATATTCTGGCGCATTTACTGGCTAGTGAATGGTCGCATAACGAACTGACTGAGGTTTCGTTTCATCAAGCGGCGGCCCTGGCTGGGGTAATATGTCACATCAATGAGTAGGGTGTAAAAGTGCTGGTTCCGGTGGCGAGGCCGAGTTTTGAAAAACATACTGTAGGTTGAATTGGACCGAGCGTTAGCCCGGGAGTCCACGGACGCGAGCAGGTGGAGCCGCTCTATATGACTCTGAGCGAGGGGATGGGGGACGGTAAAATATAAATTGATGCATTCAAAAACTATAATACACTTGACTAACGAAGTATCAGGAGTAATTACTAATTACTACGACACGACGAAATCTATAAGGGAGTGGTGGGCAGCAGGTCTAAAGAAAGATTGTTAGAGCGCCGAGGGAGGAGTGCGGAAAGGGAAAACGAATGAGGAAGCGAATAGCGCAATCGCTGGATGCATGCTCCGTACCGGCGGGAGGCTGCATCGCATCAGTGACCCCCTGGACGTCATTCCAACTTGAAGGGTAGTAGGCCGCTTATGGGACATGTCCAAAGGAGTTATATAACTAAAACAACGCTAGACTCTGATCTAAAATTTTAGAATGCACTTGGTCGGTCCCCTGTTATCTAACAACTTTGGACCCTGAGCAAACACAGTCCGAACACTCTTCACAGCATTCACAATGAAAAGACCCCAGACTCGACATTCAAGCTTCAAGCTCAAGTTGCAACCACATCATCGAGCGGTAGCCTCAACATATCTTCACTTCTCGCATGTTTCCCTTCTCTTTCTCCTCTTCTGCCTTCAGATTTGTCGGTTCGATATACATTTTCGACATGTTAGCTTATCTCTTTCTCGAACTTTTAGCATATTAGCTATCCTTCATTAACACTGTAACAAATCCACACTTGATGACAATATGTATAAGATTCACCTCTCTGACGCCAGTTATACCAACTTAACGCCTATGATCATCGTCGCCGGTTTTACCGTCTATGCGTCGTCAATTTCGAGCGGAATGTGCCTGTGCTTCGAACACATGCTTCGAAAGACGTCTATATCGCAATGTTAAGCCAGATTTGCAAAGGACGTTTGACACCATGATAGGAAAACTCGAGGTATTACAGTCCTATAGAGCAATAGCAGTAGTCTGACTAATGAAACACAAGCATGGGTGAAGGACGAAGTCGATGTAACGAAGGAAAGACAATGATAAAAAAATCACGGAGGTGCGAGCATGCAGGAAGTGAGACTATGTCGAGGAAGGCGGTCCAGACCTGAGCGTTTCATCTACATAGCAGGGTCATTGCTGTGAAGTGATCACCGGATGAGACACAGCTTTAGAAACGGCATGAACGACCCCCCGGCTTCCTCAATTCCCAACCAGACATTCATTGATTGCTGGTGATTGTGCACTGTGCTCCTCCAAACGGTGCTTCCTGTGAATGATACTCTATGCAGTTGAAGCTGACGACTCGCTCGCCAGCAACTTCAGATACTCTGACACATTCTCGAATTTCGCAGCACCGGCATACGTCATCCGTCTTGTGAGTGAGGATTGAATCCTGTAAGCACGATGTCTCATGAACCACGCCTTCTGTGATTCTGATAATCATAGCCATTGTCAGACAATCCGGTCTAGTCATTCAAAGATCCCGACAGACTTATCTTGTATACGCAGTCCACGATCTGCCGTAGTTGAGACTCCAAGCGCAGACTATGTCTTCCTCTACCAGCAACACGCCAGTGATCACGCCACACCAGACGATGCGAGGCCATACCCACTGGATAAACGGTATTGCGCACCTGCATGGTGGACACATCGTTACATGTTCGTTGAACGGCTCACTCCGACTATGGGACCTAGAGAATGGTACGCAGATAGGCAAGGACTGGCGGGACAAGAATGACGCAGTGTGGTCCGTGGTATTGTCCCCAGATGGAAAGACAATTGCCAGCAGAGGCGATGACGGGAATGTGAGGTTGTTTGATGTTGACACGACGAAGGTCATTACCAATTGGGCAGGACACACCAGAACTGTGTGTGCATTATGCTGGAGTGCAGATGGTGAGCGAGTAGCGAGTAGCGAGTGGATCCTGGGATGGGACGGTAAGAGTCTGGGATGTCAACACCGGCACTACTGTCCTGACAATCAAAACTGGGAAGAACTGGATGTATGCGGTGATGTACTCGCCTGACTCATCAAAAATTGCGGTGGGTGGAGACCAGGAGGACGCTGTAACAATCTGGGATGCAAAAACCGGCGAGCTTCTCAAAACATTCAAACACTATAATTTCGATATAGTTCGCAGCTTGGCATGGGCATCGGACGGCCCATCTCCGGTTCAAATCGCCTAATTAGGATATTCGACATCGCTACTCGGAAGCAGATCGGGAGGTCACGAGGACCAGGTCTCCGCCATCTCCAACCGCCTCCTTGCAAGTGTATCATGGGATAAAACAGCGCGTCTATGGAATCTCGATACCAACCTTCCAGTCGGATCTCCCCTCCGGCACCAAAAGGATTCGAGTTCCGCAGCCCTTTCCCCAGATGGAAAGGTGCTCATCACTGCTTGCGAAAACAGAAATGCGTACACATGGGACGTTCACGCCATCCTCAAAGAAGCTGGCATGGAAGACCTACTTTCCACTAGTACCAATATTGTGAGTGTTCAGATATTCCCCGTTCTCTCTCGCTGATAATATCGACTATTAGGCACCAAAAGACAGACTTAAACAGAACGCATCTCGAGATAATGATTCTGAATTAGGAATACAGCACACATCCTGCTCTTCGCTTAATGACAAGTCATTTTTGGAAGTACGTGCCGTGTTCTCAATCTTTCTCACTCATTATAACAGTAACATTTCAGGCTGATGCTACACGATGTCCCGGCCAGTTTGGTGGTCTTGACGAACACTTATTTCTTAATGGCATGGAAGCCGATGTTGAGGTGCGTAGCCAGTATTTCTATTGTTTAATTCTTATCTAGACTTCTGTATCCAGTCTTCCCCAATGAGTGGTGCGCACCTTCATTCCTCTGTAAATGGACTTCTCGCTCGCCTGTCGTCATTCGTTCACCGCTCTTCACCTGAAAATGATGCACCAGCATGAGCCCGGGCAGCCAGACTTGATATCCATGAGGCGCACTTCAGCAACAATCCACGCCTTCGCTACTAGATCCCACAACCCCTTCGAGTTCACGTCTAGATGCACTCATCATCCGGCTGTCCTCACTCTTCCGCTCTCAACCCCACACCAATGAAGAAATCAAACTCGCACAATGCCCAAGCCGTCCTCGTGTTGTTGAGGTGGCTACAATACGGGACAAGCAGGTAGGTGTCTCCTGAGCACCTCTACAATCACCGTGGTTTAGTGATTCTGTTCAGTCTTTGGCTGTCGCTCGGGGGCCAAATTTTATGAAAGCAAAACGAGCATATGATGAGCAACAAATACAATTGTACGGCCCAGCCCATGCGTCGTCATCGCACACTCAACCTGCCACTGCCTCAACATCTGCGACACCTTCTGCTCCAGGTACAGCAGTCGCACAACCACCATACATCTCATGGTGGGCTCAGATCGTGCTGTTTCTCTGCTGTGCATCTCCACCACATGCCAATGGTCGTTAACACAGCCAGCGTTGCAGCATCTGTACGACTACTCGCCCCAAACCTTGAATCACTAATCAACCATTTCCATTACGATGGTCTTCAGGCTTTGCAGTCTCAATTAATATTCACGGCCAACTATACACACCCTCTCCCTCAATCCCCCAAGTAATGACTTGCTAGTAGCCCTCTCGCCCACCCCACCATCCAGTTTCTGCGTATCCTAATCTTGTAACTTTGGACCAGTCTTGAGATGCATTCCAAGGGGAGACGCTGTTTTTTCAGCGCTACTACATTAAATGTTGGACGAATAACCTTTCGCCCATGCATTGCACATTATCGCCGAGTGTAAATGTGATTTCATGATAGGGAGTATGGGCGAGCTCAACGCTCAACGCCCGTGTGAAGACTGACAAAAGCTTTTCGTATATTGAATAGGAGGGGATGTCTTCTCAGATGCAGGCGTTTCTGGCGCTGCTATCGTGGCCCATCTTGTGAGTAAGAGGTGAGTCACTGTGATTGAGAACCACGAATCAATCCGCATACATGCGAACTAATACCTACAGTAAACAAAAGCTTTGTCGGGAAAAGGGCGATCAAAACTTCCAAATCTCTGCACTGTATCAGCGAACCAGCAACGGTGATCAAAACGCTAGTATTGTTATGGGCTCGCAGATAGAGTGCGGGTGCTCTCTTGTATAAATAATACATCGGACATGCTAATTGAGTATAGATTCAAAGATGATTAGGGTTTTATTAAAGTAAGAACATTCGCCACAGACTGTCAAAGCCAAGTTTCCTAGACAGGCTAGCTTAGAAATCGTGGACCAGGAGGGAACTTTCTGGACCGGGAGTTGTCGAGAAAGGTAATGTTGATGAGCGAGTAGAGGCAGAGCAGGTGATTCTCCAGGTAAACAGCATCACCGGGCGCAAAGAAGGTCCAACGGAGTTAGATAACGAGTCACAAACTATTCCTTAACTGACTGGAAGATATAGTACTACTTGATGAGTGGTGATTGAGGTCTTGACTCACTATACCTCATTTACTTTGAAATCCGGAGCTGAACTATTTCAGAATAGGAAGAATTGCATTATCAAAGTTAAGAATGGTTGCAGCTGCGAGCTTTGGTATCAGTCGCAGATAGCAAAGACGAACGAAGATGTTGATAGGAACTGATTGAATCCAAGGAGGAGGACGGTATGGTTTTTATATTGGATTGGGCTCAGTGGCTTACCCATAAATACCTACTCTTACCTCAGGGGGGCCGGACGGTGTACTTGAACATATTAGGCCGACGTATCCTCGGTTCGGGTCTTGTTGCTCACGGTACCCGATCCAAACCGTTTCACCAGGTGAGTGGTTACATTATATCTTGACCAAAACCTGGATAAAGTTCAAAAAGTGTCACGGTTAACATTTCTGAGGGCTGAGCTTTGCTGTTTTTGCTATCTCACGGCATCCGAAAATCGAAAATCTAGAAACAAGAGCCTTCCAGAGTCGACTCGGCCTCCTTGTCGTGTTGCTGCTAAGGCGAATTGAGTCGAATTGAGGCAGTACGTCAATATCGCATAATTGCGGTAGAACCCGAGTTCACTGTCCCACATCAATATCCAACTTAAAATTTATTACTGGAGAAACATGTCCAAGGCTCACACACAGACCAACTTCTCAAATTGTCAATCGCATAGACGGGACCCGATGAATTGACTAGGGTTCCGGGAATTTGCACCAGGCAAATTAGCCCGGCAAATTTACCCTGCAAATTTACTGTGAATGACAGTGTCAATTTCACACCCTCGAAAACATAGTGTCAATTTGGGTGAATTTGTGTCTACTGGACCCAGAACACCTGAAAAGCTTAAATATGACATCCTTGGTGATCAACGACCTGAGAAGCCAACAGTTGTTCCACCACCTGCCCGACCACCTATGAAACGAGATATTGCCATGAGTAGTGATGTTCCGGCCCGGCTTGGGCTCAAAGCCCCGGCTTAGGCTCGGCCTGGGGGGGGCTTAGGCTCACCAGATTTCAAGCCTGAGCCGTGAGCCCAAGCCGGCCCAAAGCCGGGGCTTAGGCCCATGCAAGCCGCGGCCCACATGCTGAATTGCATGTAATTGATGTCTGAGCTCCACCATGCTGTTCCCAACACCACGAACACCATGCGCAAACGCCCAGCACACATCAGCAACTGCTGACGTGGCTCAGACGAATACGGACGATGGACGAGAGCAGGAGAAGGGAAGAAGACAAGGAGGAGAATGAGAACGAGAGAGAGGAGATGGACGATTGGTAGCACTCGAGTGCTTCGATTCTGCACGCCCGGAAGAGTAAGCACTGAATACTATAACTCAGATACCTGAAGTGCATCGTCGAGGAGGCGTAGGTACTTGCGCTCGCAGTACGTGAGTCGAAGAGGGATGTATTTCGAACGGTCGACGAACCACTCGCCGACTTTGGATCCAATTGTAGGCTTCACTCACCAAACAATCTGCCGCCGTTCTTGAGTTCGAAAATACCCTGTTGCACTTTAGGCGTTTGGCTGAATTTGTGAGGGTGCTTACGGTGTAGCCCCAGGGCATTTTATCAAACGGTCTGACTACGAACAAATGAAAAGAGACACAAAAGAGCAACCAGGTACGACATACCATCAAGAATATCAACTACAAGACAGTCTCTAGGCTCGGCGCCCTCCACAGCGATTGGACCGGACAAATTATGGACGCTAGTCAGGTCCACATCTCTGATATCATCGCTCGCTGTCGGAAATAGTGGGCTTAAATCTGAGTCGAAGCTGATAAAGGTGATTCGAGTCGAAGCTGATAAAGGTGATGGGAGTCAGAAGCTTAGAAAGACAAAAATAGAGTCGGGAAACGTACCTCCGGTGAGTGCCACTGAACATGCCAAAGCCGCGGCTTAGGCCGCCGGCTCAGGCTTTTCGAAACTCAAGCCCGGGCCCAAGCCTTCCTCAGGCCGTGACTTAGGCCTGGGCTGGGCCCGGCTTATTTGGGCCCGGCTTGGGCCGGCCCAGGGCCTCAAGCCGAGCCGTGCACATCACTAGCCATGAGCGACTCAGATGACGAGACCAGTGAGGGACAGTGGCCTGATGATGATGATGATGTGAGCCTCGATGGAGAAGACAGCGACAGGTTCGATGTTGGTGATCACATTAACTTAGCATCAGGATTCCTTCTCGATCTTCTCTCAGACCAGCCTGTGCAGCTTGAGCCGGCTCCCGTGAGTCACGGACCTCCATCCAAGCTGACAGCTGACGCTGTGACTTCGTCGACGACACCGATGGATGGCGAGTGGGAGATATGGGAGTCTGCGGAGTAGATTACAGTCAATTAGGTGAAATTCACCTGCAAATTAACGCAAATTAGCGTCAAAAAGCTAGAGCTTTCGGGGGCTCTGCCCCCGAACCCCCGTCAGTAAATTTGCATGAATTTTGTGTCATTCACACCTGTAAATTTGGCCCTCTGCGAGGGCCATGCTAATTTGCCGGTCAACCAGACGCCATACCCTAATTCCCAGAACCCTAGAATTGACGCTGTTGCACCTACTAGTACAACTTTTCGGTTTGGGATAGTCTAGGATTGCTTACGGACTCGAGAACGAAATGCTACTAGTAAGTTACCTAGAAACCATGAATTCACAGGAATTTACACTTACTTTCATATCGACTGATCAGTTTTTTTTTTATCTCACCTTCTATTTACTAGTGGACAAACGAGCCGGGTCCCATTTACCGCAGATAGGCTGTTCAGGGCCTGAGTCAGGCGAACAAAGGTCCAATACAGGGCCCCGGCGTGACTAGAGCGGAGGAGAAATGGTGTTCCAACACTTGTCAGCTCCAGGGCTGGTGTTACGGTGCGCTAGTTTTTTTCCAGGTATATACACACTAACTCTACTTAGCTAACCGGATGTCCGAATCCGAGGATTGAGTTTATATAGACATGTTATTGGTGAGACATGTCACCTGCAGATTACCGGTTTGCCGATGGTCATTAATTTGCGCTCCTGTGAATTGTACTTGTGAACTTAGGTTCAGTTCGCGTCCATATGCCACTCTTCGGCTGGTTGTTCTCGCTCTTCCACTCTCAACCCCACACAATGAAGACTTCGAACTCCCGCAATGCCCAAGCCGTCCTTGTGTTGTCGAAGTGGCTGCAGCGTGAGACGAGTAAGGTATGTCTCCTTGGTGCGATTATAATTGTCGTGGTTCAATAATTTTCGTTCAAACTTTGGTTGTTACTCGGGGGCCACAATTAAGAAGGCAAAATGAGTATGTGAACAAACGCGATTGCACAGCCAAGGTCATCGCACAATCAGCCTGCCGATACCTTAAGATCCATGACACCAGGTTGTCAATAGTAACTGACGATACCAGTCGGCTCGATTGGCTCCAAGACTAGTGAAGCAGCCTCAAAGCTGGAGCAATGATTTTGGTAGAGGCTCTTCTCTGTCACGATTTCAAATTTGCCGCTGATATCAAGCTTGAAGTGATTACTCGCATTGTAATAAGTGTGGACAAGCTCGTTTGGGGACTCAATACTACTAATGTCAATGATCCAAAGTAAGCTGCCATTTTGGCGGGTTGTGCATGCCCTCTAAATACAACTAGGTATCGCCCAGCTGAGCCACCATTGCGGCCGGCCATGTTGTGTGACCGCGATGATCTTGTGGTGGTGACGAACATTGTCGCCAATGACAAGCATATTGGATTGATTGGTCCGGCGAGCATGGGAAAGAGTTCTCTTATGAATGCCATCCTCAACGAGCTGAGTGTTCTTTGAAATTCATCGCCACACCATCAGTCATAGCGAAGCCAAAGAAGACAGAGGACCTTGTCAATTTTCGCCCTCTTTCCATCAACATACTCGCAAACGCTGCATAGCAACATGCAGGCTGGTCTCCATCCATGCTGCTCAAGAAATGGGACAATCAGTATAGCAAGGTGCTCGACCAATATTATGGTTCAGCATGTATCGAGCTCATGGTAGGCGAGCGTGACAGAGCCGAGTCTTATTTCAATGTCACGATTTTGGGCTGCGACAGGCATACAACATATGTGGTCTAGAGGAGATTGCATTTGCGCGTAGTGGCTAAGATAGGAGTGCTTCCCCAGCATGGTCGGTGTAACTTACGTCACTCATTAACAATAATTTCCTTTTTTGCATATAGCCCCCTTTCGTTCGACTACCTCAAAGGATCCCCGCTTCAAGCTTCAGGCCTCAGGGTTCACAATTGCAATTCCCCTGTTTCTCTTCTAGCTGCGCACACCCCACATCCATTCCCGCGTCCCCTGATTAGAACCTCAACCTTGCTACTTCAACACGCTAGGTAGGTACAACCTAAGCACTGTTCCCGCTGACTTCCTATCATAATCATTCTAAATTGAACAGGCCAATCTTTAAAGCTCAACAAGATCCCTGTGACCATGTATAACACAGATCCAGATAGCTTGGTTGATATTCCTTCCTCGTTCGACACGACAACGGCGGATGCCGTCTCGCCTTCCGCAACTCATGGAGAGAGCGAAAAACAGCTGCCAGACATTCCTGATAGCTGGAAACCTCCCTCAGATCCCTATTTTCAGGATCTCTTCACCTTCATATGTAAATTCACTTTCAACAAGCCCGATCTCGATGAAGTATGGCAGGAGGTGAGAAAGGAAAATGGCTGGAAGACGTATAACAACCACATGTATGATGAGTTGGCGGGTCTTCGTAGAGGCGTGAGTATACCGTTTATTACCATTCTGACTTGTACGACTGACATATTTGTTTTTGCAGCAAGTATTAGTATTATTTGCGAGTCTTGCATGCCTGATGAGTTCATGGGCTGCTAAATATCTGCAAGGATATTCCCTGGAATTTTATCTCGTGTCCTTAATTTTGTCGTTTATATTGTCCTCTATGGGACTGCTTTTCCAGGTGTTGTTTGGGTCATCCGCCACGTTATTGGAGTCAGGCGACAATTGTGAGGAGGTAGGTTTTTTTCCCAAAGCATTCAGCTCTATCATTGACCAAAATTGTTTACTCAGGGTCAACAGTCGTTCGTGGTGGAGCGTTGCTATGTCCTGTTTCACGTTTGCCAGTTTCGCATGGCACGGTTTCTTCTCGCCTACTCTTTCGGGTGTCTCGCGGGCGGTAAGCATACCTCGTTTTATTTCATCTCGGTACTGACTTGTCTTCCAGCTCTTTGCATTATTGTTCCCAGGACACATATTTTTGCCTCTCTTATGGCGACTGTCACAATTGGTAGATTCTTGGACGCCACCTTTATGAAGGATCAATCAAAGCTTACTTTGTTGTACTATCGACGATTTGGGTACGTGTGGTTCGGCATTTTGGTACATTATCTTCTATGGCATTCAATAGCAATTCATACTATTCCCTAGTGGAATACGTAGTATACTGAAGCCGTTTCTTTTACATATTCAAACATTTTGTACCATTCATGTCGATTCATCTTATCACTTGACTCTCAGTAGGAAACATTGAGTGACACAGCGACGCGTCGATCGATCGATCTAGCACTCAGACAAGCGCGACGGTTTTTCGGGTATTACCGGTGGGTGATCGTGAGTTGCGCGCTCCTTGTTGTGTGTACCGTGCATGCACAGTAATATCCTTGTCAGTATAACTACACTTAATTTCCTTTTTTGCTCATAGGCAGCTCATACCCGGTCCTGGTGCTGCGCCTCCTCGGAGATCGTCTACTCCGATGCTTCTACATACTAGGTCCGTGCGCCCCCTTAAATAATCTGCACTTCGGGGCTTTGTAAGTCGGTTTTTCTCTGTCTTCTTCGCGTGTTCCCCGCCTTTGCAACTCACTTTGTATTTGTGAGTTAGTATAACTTGAACTCTGAGGTAAGTATACGCTGTTCCCATCGACCTTCTCTCACGAACGTTCTCCATTTAGATGACTCCTACCCAACAACAGCCACCTCCAATCATGTCCAACACAAAGTCAGGGAGTGTCAAGAAGCAACTCCAAGAACTTCCTGAAGATTGGAAACCTCCCTTGGGGTCCCGCGCTCAGCAGACCTTTGCGTTTCTCTGCGCTCTCATTCTTAACCAGCCTAATCTCGAGAAATTATGGCGCGAGATGGAAAAGGAAACGGGCTGGCAGAAGTATAACGATCACTTGCACCACGAGGCAGTAGGTCTCCATGTGGGCGTGAGTTTACCGTTCATTCCATCTTTCTTTTTTTGCAAAACTGACGTGATTCACATTCGTAGCAAGCACTGGTTTTTCTTGCGAGCATGGCGTGCATCTGGAATATACCACACGACGCTCAAAATTTCGACGCCACTTCTATCGAGTATTGTTTTGTGCTGCTACACATGTCGTCCATCTTCTCTGTCATAGGACTACTTTTCCAGGTGTACTTTTTCAGATCAAACTTGATGATACAGCTTTATGAAATTGGTAAAAAGGTAGGAAATTTTTCGATTCGTCCAGCTGTCGTTGACCCAAATAATACTCAGGACAAGAAACCGTTTGGGTTGGGGCGTTACGATGTCTTGTATCACGTTGGCTTGTTTCGTATGTCGCAATTCTGTCTTGCCTACTCTGTGGCATCTATCCTGGGCGGTATGCATATTTCTTGGTTTCAGTTTCGGTGTTGACCCGCTGAAATTCTACCTGGCAGCTCTTTCCATCATCCTTCTGGGGGCTAATTACATTAACTCTCTTACAGGAGTTGTGACTCTCGGCAAATTCTTGGACGATTTTTTTATGCAGCGTCGTGTCAGTTTGGTATGTCTTCTGTCTGCTAGTGTATGGTTTGGCATTTTCGCCTATTCCAAATTTTTCACATAATCGTGATATACCTCTGGTGTTTTGCTTTTCTGGTAGAACTCTTGATATTTAATACCTATGTGCTTGTTTATCTAATTTTTCTACACTTTTAATCGACTTGTGCCGAACCATTCGATCTTCTGATGGAGCCTGCCCTGTCGACGTCTTCAAACAAGACACTACTTGCTGTATTCAACACAGAATATGATGGCTTGAATGCTATTCATTCCTCTCTCAATTCGGAGAGCGACTCGATATGTAGCGACCGCTAGGTGGCCTTTATGGCCAACCCAATACTCGAAAAGACAACACGATTGTTCTGTTCATGTTACATCATGACTGTCAGCTCTGCTCGATCATGAATTAATTTGCCAGCCACTGACGATGTCAAGCTATAGTACGTATCGATACATCACAAGCGTCAGGGCCCGCGGACTGAAGCTGCCATCAGGGTGTAAGTATCTCTATCTGCGTCCTTCTTATCAGATTTACAGCTCGAACCCGCTTTATCAACCATCCAAAATCTCACTTGCAGGAAAGCTGTTCCAATCCTTCACCCAATCACTCTCATTTCTAGGTGGTATAGAAATGAAACGCCGAAATTTGAACGCGACGGTGAGTTTCTAGAGCGATATGGCACCAGCGACATGCGTTAGACTTTGTAAGTTCCACACGCTAGCGCTCATGTTTGATTCCTCATGGTTTGAAGCCACCTTTACATCAACATACACACATGCGCATCACGAAGCTTACACCGCATAAAGGGTTCTTCGATCGCAGTGCGCACGCTTGGACGCACATTTGGAGCAAGTGAGTGATCGAAACAAGATCGCAAAACTATGACGTAAATGACTTGATGACGATCGGAAACGTTGAAGCAGAGCTAGCGGCCTGCGACGGCCAAGCAAGCTGAGGTGAATGAACTTGAAGCTTACCAAGCTGTACATGAATAATGTTTAGAGCCTGTTCATGGGCTGGCTCCTGCCTATGCATCATCATAAAATTGTCCATATACTGCGCATTCGTAGTCACAATCAAAGAGGGCTACTCAACACAATCGTGTCCAATTCCAAGCACAAACTGCTAAGCTCCGAGTCGCCTCAAAATTCATTAGTTTCATCTTTGATCTCGTTCGTCTGCATTTGCGAAGGTCGTCCGTAGCGGGGAGCCGAAACCATCAATGGTATATCTGTCTCATGGGCACGACTGTCGCTGCTCCGAAGGTGGAATAGAATCCGCGAGGCTAGGACGCTATGGATGACAAGTTGTAGCCTAAACGCAGTGAGTTCGTAGTTGGCAGCCAATCTCAATTTAACCAGAGACATACGTATCAAACAGATTTGTGAAGCCAACCTGCAAGCCGAGTAACAGAAGATAAGTGACTATAGTTTGACAGACATGTACACGCACCGGAAATGCTGCGTCGACAACCACATTGGTCACTGTGATGGCTTTACGAAACGAAATACACAACAATGTTAACTTTGAAGCCAACGATTTCCACGTACCGATGATACACAACATATAAAGCATGCTACCGCCGTAGACGGTGGTTACGATCGAGCTCTGAATTTCTGAGTCTCGGTAATCGTGGAACCACTTATACGCAGTAAGGGCCAGTATCACTGCCAAGTTTTGCTTGTAGGTCAGGTGCCCAACGGTGTGCCTGCATAACCACTGACCACATTCGAAAAGTGCCAATATAGCATATACCAGTGCAGAGTTTCTTGACGACTCAAAGCCGCATGGCCCGGGTATCATAGATACATCTGATGGCCATATTAAAAAAAACACGTGTTGACAAATATGAACGAACTCGCCTGTTGAAATCAACTGGTGATTAGGAAGGACATTCATAGCAACGGCGCCAATTACTGTGGCCTACCGAGAAAAGTCAGATCTAGTATGCCCTTAAACCAACCCTGTGGAACACGCACGGTGCTATAAATCAATAATCCAATCAGCATTTTTTTGCTCTTTTGCCAGAATGCCCAGGTCCGAATAACTAGCAGGCCTGTCACAGAAGCATGATCTACCCTGTTCTTGGCAAGGACGTGAGGTATGCAACTCGCACCTTCCGCAGCAACGATACTTAAAATATGAATAACTGAAGATTGCGTTGATAGGCTGAGACAAAATTAACCACTGGGTGAGATGACTTACCATTTTCCGCCAAACTAGGGGGGCACTTTGTGCCATAAGTACAATCAGCCTATCATTAGAAGCTGTTTCCTGCGTATACTTACTGGACCACTGACACGCAGTGCAGCTAAGATAGCCATTAACTATACGCAAAGATAAGGATCACCAGAGTGGGTGACTCACCATATGCAGTCAATCCAGAGCCAACGAAAGGGAGATATCGAGAAATGGTGAAGACGACACGAATTAAACCCCATGGCCTGGACCAGGTCCAGTGTACCTGTAGAGAGTGATTAAAATCACAGTCATAGACAGATCATGTTCTTGACCTCATCCTGAAACGTGATGCAGTAATCAAATACCTAAGACACCGAAAAGAGTCATCATTTGAGCTGATAGTAACATGACGAATGTGCTCGGTACTCACGAGAATTGCAAGACTACCAACTTAGGATACAACATAGTCAGTATCTCCACCTGCTTCACGAACGATCCACAAGTGCTTACTATTGGTGTACTGAATCAAATGCCAGTCAGCATCGAACTTATCAAGTTGCAATCTTTGCATACCTTGGATATCTGCAAATCCGCAACCTCTGAAACATAAGACATCTCAAAGATCAAAATGTTATGCCTAGACTCGCCTGCGAGTCAGAAAGGTCCAGAACCACTGCAAACCTCACTTTAAGTACGATTGTTGACACACGCGTGACCGAGCTTCCCACACATTCTGAACATCTGTGATCATCTTGAACGGGCGCTGTTGAATCGATATAACACGCAAAATTCAAAATAGGACAAAAACGGAAACCGGAGCGCCTTGTGATTGGTGACTGCATATGTTCGTGACCCTGGTTGCTACTTCAAAGCTTCATTGGCGCTGCGGACAGTGCTATGCATAGCTTTTATGACTCCTTATATGGCCCAGTGACTGGGGCTCAGTAAGGAACCATCATGCGTCAGACTCCACGGACATCTTCATCCTCGGATTCAAATACATCTATGATTGTATCTTGCAATATTTTCTCAAAGTGCCTGCCCGGCCTGTCCTCACCGATATCTTATCAGTTTGCTTCGCTTGGATTCTTGCTGGTTGCCGGTACTCTACCACGTATTGCAATTGTTGCGTTTGGCCAGGTTTACCAAAACGCCTGAATTGTCAGTTTTGATTCGCTCAGCTTACCGCAGGTACTCCGCCACGTATTGCAATCGTCAAAAAATACATGCCGAAGACCGTCCTATGTTACCGTTAGTATCCGATACAATACCGATCATGCAACTAGAGTTAACTGACCACGGCCTTTTGCAATTTCCTAAAGAATTGGGCGGCTAACAGGATATACAAAACATTGATACTTGGACGGGTCAGGTTCAGTCGGTAAGACAGCAAGCACTGCCTGGAGTGATGGTGATGGTGTTTGAACTTCGAATGATCGTTTGTCGTTCTGGTTACAGTAGCCCAGCGACATTATATGTACCCGATTGGTGCATTGGTGTAGCTTGTATAATTGTGTATATATTTTGAGTGTTCGATTTCCTCATTGGTGTGGGGTTGAGAGCGGAGACGGCTGATGAGTGCATCTGGACGCGAACTCAAAGGCGGTGGGAAATGAGTTTCGGCTCCTTCGTCAGTGCCGAGTCGAGGTCGAGGCAGAAATGAGGAAAGATGAGCTAGGAACACACGTGGATCTAACTGCGAAGACATGGCGAGTTGGTGAATTTTGTCTGGTGAGTCACTTTCAGGTGGAGAGTGGTGAATGAATGACGATAGGCGAGCGAGCAGTACATGTAGATGAAACGCCGAAGGCCTTGAGGTTCGCAGAAGTTCTGTTGCTTCATCATTGTTAGGTCGAAAGCAGTGGAGGAACGAGGAAAGGCGAGCGATGAGTGCATTTGCAGAGGAACGGAGGTGTGCACAGCCCATTCAGAACTGAGAGCAGAGGTACAGATAAGAACTAAGCAATAGAAATACTGAAATACTGATTACGCACATCAACATTGGCTTCCATGCCAGCAAAAAACGTTGGTGAGAGCTTGTCAACACCGCCAAACTGGTTAGTACAACGTGAGCACCAACCTGCAAAATGTCACTGATATGATGAATTAGAAGAATTGGAAATGCGACAGGTACCTCCAAAACCAACTTTTCATCGAGCGAAGAGCGGGATGTGTGCTGTATTTCTGAATCATCATCATCTCGAGGTGCCTTTTGTTCGAGTCTATCGTTTGGTGTCTCAGACAGCAGACATTATCAGTGAGAAAGAGTGAGTGATATGTCGACACTGACAGTATTGGTACCAATGAGAATGAGAAGTATGGTTTCAGGGCCAGCTTCTTTGACTCGGAACATCCCACGCATACCTGACGCGTACTGCTATCATAGCTACCAGTAATACACGTTTTGTTTTCGCAACCAGTGGCTAGCAGTGCGACACCCTTGAAGATCTAGTTCGAAAAAAATCACCCTCAACCCGAGGGTAAGTATCAAGCGGTGAGCACAGACAGCCCAAGAAGATATCTTGTCAAAAAAAATATCAATCGTGATCATAGCCCCGTTACTAGGCAAATTTATGACTAACAACCCCGGCATCTTACTTGTTCTAACGTCTCACATGCATCATTCACTAAACGCGAGTGACATCAGCGACTTGGACGAAACCATCAGCGAACCTGAATCCGTCATCAGCTTCAATGAGGATGTGTATTTGGTCATGCAAAACGCTACTATATCCACTGCGACTTACGTGGAGCAGGCTCGACAAATAATAGAACAGCTAGCGACTAATCAAAACAGATGGATCACGACTCCACCAAGCGTGCATGATGTGGATGCATCCAGGATTCTAGACGCGATGTTGAGGAACGCTCGCGGGACTGGTGGCGAAAGCTCCCAGCGTTATACCGCCTGCGCTATTTGCGCATGCCAAAAGATCCACGAGCAAGTCAACCTCGCGAGGACTTGGTTCATGTATCTGCTATGGCCATGTAAGTTAGAACTTGGAAATGTCTGCCACGGACACTAACACAGTTTTTCCCTTGATAGTCACAGCCGGGGCCCACCAACCATCAGATTTGGTTTCTGGTCAGTTCACGTCGACTATTGACGACACCTATGGCAGCCTTGCTGGTACGGAACGGAGTAGCAAATTCAGGACCGATGCACGCTCTACTAGTTAAAAAGTAGCTATTGACGTTAACTTCCAACAGGTTAATCGACGAGATGGTTATAAATGCGTTGTTTCAGGTATATGGGATGGAGCACACAGACCCGCAGGTGTCGAACAGGGTTGGGTGAACCTACAAGCAACGCACATCCTGAAACGGGCTGTCGGGGTTTTCACCATGGACCGGGTAAGGATGTCTCTGTTAGGTTATCATTAATATCGACCCTCAAGTTGGATTATGCAGACACATACCGCGGCTGCAACGTGGAATATCATTCGGCATTACTCAGGACTGTCCGAAGAAACTATTGATAACATGGAAAGGCTTGTAGACGACCCTTCCAATGGCATGATGCTGGAATGGAATACCCACGATAATTTTGACAAGCTGAAAGTATACCTCGAGCAGACGGAGGTGAGCCTGTAGTCTTGCATCATTGCAATGCCTCATAATGATCAATGCTCCAGCGAGAAAATGAGTACGTGGTCAAGGAGGTTGGGGGCAGGCCGTGGATGCACCCTCGCAAGCTTCTCGGTAAAACTATCACCTTCCAGAATCACGACGCCCCTACGGAAGACCTGCCATTACCTAACCCTCATCTCATCGCACTACACGCAGGTATCTCCCAAATTTTGTATATGAGCGGCGCATCCGAGGCATTTGCGCAGATATTGGACAAATACGATGGAGCAGCAGGAGGCAATGTCGGAAGTCTGAAATGCAATGGAGATCCGGTGCATCAACTATCTTCAATGATGACTGTCTTGTCTATATGCGCCTCGTTGATTGCTTAGTGTCTCGCAATTACATGAAGTTCGGTGCATTGATTTATAAGCGTAAGTTTGAAAATGCATGCACCATTTTTGTCTGACGTCTGAGCTGCTCGCACGAGTCGTACCAGCACCGAGTGCTAATAAAATCAAAGGAAACCATAGCAAGGTTGCTCCCCTCTCCCTGCTGTAGTCTCGGTTCGGCACCGCCAATGAGGGCCAATTCTGCTTAATAGATATGCAGTAACACGTACGTGGTGGGATCAACAGTACTAGTACGATTTTTTGCATTGATGCGGTCCACCTAGCTCTGAACTATGTAATTTGTTTGACTAGCATCGGTGAACCGGACCTAGTGGTCTGGCGTCGAGTAGCAGTGACTAAGAGAAGAACTCGATCTCGAGTGGGTCCCTTCATTGATATTGATCTTTGAAAGACGTCGAGATGAGGAGAGAGCCATTGAAGGGATATTAGTTTGCTCAGATTGCCAGTCAACTGGGTTTCAAACGATATTTCGTCTTCATGCTACAACTCCAATTTTAGACACTTCCAATATTGATATCTCTGGGAGAATAGCGATGATGCCTAAATGATCATCCAACCAAGTCAAGGTATGAATCTAGAAAGTGAAGCTTGGAAAAACAACTCTATGATCTGTTCAAAATGCAGCGCCGTCACCTACAAGGAACTCCTCGTATTTCATGTGATTGAGCTACGAGCAGGTGGTGTTGCTGTGGCTCTGATGTTACTAGGAACTGCCAAAAGACATCTCTGGGAGAGCATCAATAGCATCTAGCAGAGGTGCGAACCTGGAGTGAAGCTTTGAAATGCGATTATACGATCTGTTCGAAACGCAGCGCTGCCACCTGCCAGGATTTCCTACATTTCAAATGCGGGCAGGTGACGACGTTTGCACATGCTCCTACAGGTTCTACCGGAATTTCAGCCATTTGATAGCAATAACTATTCTGCCAAATCAATTAGAATCGTGCCCATCAGTATACAAAGCTGGCTGTCGTCTTACAGTGTTCCCCCATCCTCAGAGATATCATTCGAAATCCCCATCAGAAAATTCCATATCGCCTCCCACTGAAAATGCGTTTCTTCTTCCTTGCCGTTGTTGTTGCTTTAACAGCATCCGTGTCTGTCAGTGCACATGCCGAAACACCTTGCTCACCAAATGATGATTGTTGCGTAAACTTCGTTTGGATTTGTGACTTTGATGACGTGAGTATGAGCAGTGTAACCAGGATTGTAACTCACCTGCGCGCCTTAGAATACGGCACATTTGACCTCTGAAAATTGAAAATTGAGCCAGCAGTTCGAGCGGCACGTCGCAGCAGTAAGCCACGGTTCGCTTTCGTTTTGATATCATGGTTGATGGTGATGGTGCAATAGTTCGGAGTCGATTAGTAGGATTGTCTTTGGACAAACTTTCGTACTGCTCGTGCAATGTGGATGTTTGAACTTATCTGAATATGATCGACCGTGTTCTAGGCCTGGATTTTCTACATTTGAAGTTTCGTGTTGCACCTGAATAGCGCGCCTTATTAGGCTTGACGATAACGTGCCTCGTCAACTGATAGCAGACTGTTCAAATCAGTAATTCATGCGGGAACTCTCATAAACTATACCCCTAAAACACAATAGGATTCCAGTTATGACACAAGGGTCGCAGTTACACACGCTCCTGCAGGTTCTACCGGAATTTCTGACATTTGATAGCAATAACGATTCTGCCAAATCAATTAGAATCGTGCCCATCAGTATACAAAGTCTTACAGTGTTCCCCCATCCTCAGAGATATCATTCGAGATCCCCCCAGAAAATTACATATCGCCTCGCACCGAAAATGCGTGTCTTCTTCTTCGCTGTTGTTGTTGCCTTGACAACGTCTATGTCTGTCAGCGCATGTAGCGAAACACCATGCATAACAGATCAAGATTGCTGCCTATACTGGGTCTGTCAACTTAATGCCGTGAGTATGAACAGTGGAACCAGGCTTCAACCACGTGACTCACCTGCGCGCTTTAGACCACGGCAGCTTTGGCCTGCACATATGGGTTACATCATGATTGAGCCGGCAGTCCGAGTGGCGCGTGGCAATAGCGAGTTATGTTTCTGCTTTCACTTTGTTATCATGGTTGATAGTGCAATACCTAGTCCGGAGTCGATTAGCACAGCTGTCTTTGGACAAACTTTGGTACTGCTCGAGTGATGTGGATGTTTGAACTTGACTGGAAATGTGACCGTGCCTAGTCTTTCTCGTGGTCCGCTAATCTTGAGTTCGAGAGGCCGTCGAAACGAGCAACTGTTGCTGTTGATGATTAGTATTGGGAGGATGCAACGCACTGTGCAGACAATCTTGGACCCGTTCGTCTAATGTTGGCCTCGAAAGCTAGCCCTCTCCGGTGTGGTGGCGCTAACGAGACGCCACTTCGTGATTCGTGACAGACGTGTTATTTTCTGGTCTGCAATCAAAGCCCAAGGTCATACAGGAGGGTGCGCTATGATGAGAGTGGACAAATCGACAGATATGAGGATAGAGGACAAATACAAATACTACTGACTGTGCGACACTTTCCAACAGAGTACCGTGGGGAGCTCGAGAGTGATTTTCATCGAGCGAGTGTTGGATAGGGTACAAGGGGCGGTTGACGAGGAAGAGGAACTTGGTAGAGCGCTGGCTGATGGTCGCTAGTTTCGTCAACGCCGTCCCTTGTCTCCGAGGGAGCACAGCGTCATCGGGGTATGCCATGGACCAACTTGATATCATCGTGATTGTTTGATGAAGACTAAAACCTTGAAAGTGAACTGTGATAGTGTAAGTTAATCAAGATTGTCCACTTAACTGTTACGCCAAAAGGTAGTCAAACGAAAGCCTGTGTCGCGGACAATATTCATGAGATTATGGAAACTATAGCAAGCTAGTACGCTTACAGATGGCTGCGACAAAGACAAGTACTCGGGGCCTTTGACCAAGCGTATGTCAAGAATGAGAATGAGTATCCATGTCCGAAAGATAACCCGTTATCTCTGTGCAGCAGTTGCAGAGTCATCGGCCTACTAATGGCATAGGCGAATTGCACGTACCCCATGTAAGGGAGCAACGGATGCATGAGAGAAAGTGACACGGAATATCGACCGAATACATATCGGAAGTGTCGATGAGAATGAATATCAACTTGTCAACTTCGTCGTTGCGCAGGGTCACTGCATGTTCAAATGATGAAGCGATGGGTGAGAGATCGAGATGAGGAACCGGTTATTCAATCGTTCGAGCGTTCTGTGACGACGAAGAAGAGAATTGTCGATGCCTGCCAGCGGATTGTGATACAAAGGGTCGTGACAATTGAACACCCTCCTGCAGGTTCTACCGAAATTTCTGCCATCTGATAGCAATAACAAATTCTGTCGAATCGATCAGAATCATGCCCAAGAGTGAATGCAGAATATAAAAACTAGCCGTCATCCTGTAGTATTCCCCCATCCTCAGGGATACCATTCAAGATCCCCTCCAGAAGATCCTATATCACCTCGCACAGAAAATGCGTTTCTCCTTCCTCGCTATTGTTGTTGCTCTGACAGTATCTATGTCTGTCAGTGCATGTAGCACATCAAAATGCGTAACAACTGTAGATTGCTGCGAAGATATGGTTTGTGCTCCTGAGGTGAGTACGGCATGAACATGTCGCTGTGAAACCGAGATTCAACCAGACTCACCTGCGCGTCTTAGAAAGGAGGTTCCACCTGCATTTGAAAATCGAGCCGGCAGCCTGAGCAGGACGTCGGGACAGTGAGTCATGTTTCTGCTTTCGCTTTCGTATCATGCCAGTTGATGGTGCAATACCTAGTTCGGAGTCAATTAGTGCCTGTAAGTTGTTTTCGGACAAATTTTCGTGCTGCTCGAGCAATGTGGATGTTTGAACTTGTCTGAAAATGATCGACCGTGCGTAGTCTTGCTCGTGGTCTACCAAGCTTGAGTTAGAGATGGGTCACGGGTCTAGAATTTCGACTGAGCGTTCAAGTCGGAGGCTGTGGTGTTGACGAAGGAGAGGATGACCTTTTTGGATTCTGAGTGGACCTAAAGAAACAGTTCTATGAGCCGTTCTTGATCGCGGGGACTCGTCTTCAGCACGGCAGTTGTCCTGGTAAGAAAGATAATCATCGACGAACCACATGTACACTCCAATCGATTGTCATGAATTGGTTGAAAGTAATAGTATATTAACCACACGCAAACGAGCGGTCGGCGAACGAGCCCTAAGTTATTACAGGATTCAATCCTCACGCACAAGACAGCGTATGCAAGTGCTAAAAAATTCGAGAATGCGTGCGTCAGAGATCTTAGTGGGTATCCGAAGTCTCTGGTAAGCAGCTCGTTAGCTCTAAACGGCAGAAGAATTCAGATCATCACTCCCGAAAAACAACGTTCATGCCAACCCAGCCTGAGTGTCCAACTACCAGTGATCAATTGAGAGTAGAGGGCAATCGTTCGTTTATGCCATTTTGGGGTGCGTCTTATGCGGTGTTCTCGTAGGCTCATGACCAGCCTGGCGTATACTACCACGGTTGCACAAGTGGTGTAGCTTGGGTACCGGTGAGTATCTGCAACAAGTCTGAATACAGTGGTCGAGCACTCACCTGTCGCAGCTCTTGCGGATTTCGCTCAAGTCGCATTTATCCTGGGCGGGGAGAAGTGAAAGTGTCAAAAATAAGTAGTCCATGCATCTCTTGAGTGGACGTGGCAGTATCTTGACTCTGGGGCGAGTTTATATTCAGTTCTGTGCCAGACTCCGACAATGGCATCAGGCAGGAACACAGCATTATCTAGAGCAGATCCAGCGCATTCGACACCACGTGGTCATCGAAGTCACTTCAAAAGCACCCAGAAAGAGGAGGAACGAAAGTGATGTATGTGTATGTGTAGCTCCTCGACGATACTTGTGGAATCGGCAATGTCAGACCTCGAGAAGGTGCTTGGAGACACATAATACCTAGATGAGCACGGGTTCTCCGTACTGCAAAATAGCAATTAGAATGGCACGACAGAAGTGTGTCGTTCGGATGGGAACTCACACACAGAAGAGTCGATGGACACGTTGTAAGGAGAAGTTGCACAGACCCGATAGGTCAGAACTTCCACCCATGAAAGAGGAGAGTCAATGGAGGTAAACATTGTGAGGAAACGTCGCACAGGCCCGACGAGTTGGAGCTTCCCAGTAAGTGAGTCATATTTGACACAACCACTTGGAAAGCACCAACTAACCGGCAGAGTGCCGTGTAGCCATGGACCATGTTTCGTGTTGGGATGTGTGCGTCGTGAAACTCGCCCAAGTCTTAATGGTCATGATAGGCCTGAAAAAAAAGGAACGGGGGTACATAGGTGAGATCGTTGAGTCAGGTGCCACGAGGCGCCACGCCGCCTCAAAAATTAAAATAGCCACTACTTACCTAACATGAGGCGAAGTTCTATCTGACGTGTCCATGCCAAGCCGAAAGTCCAGGTGGGTTTCAAGTGTTTTGAGACGTTCGCCTGTCTCCACATTCCAGATATGCACAGCGGTCTCCTTATAACCGCTCGCAAGTTTTGAAGCTTTGAAGAGTCAGGCGAGTACATTACCGAATACACCCAACCATATGTGCCCGGTCTCATGATTGTCAGGACAGTTTTGCTGCTGCCAACATCCCAGACTCTTGTTATCCCTTCCCAGGATCCGCTCGCTAGTCGCTGGCCATCTGCACTCCAGCACAATGCACACACAACATTGGTGTGTCCCGTCCATTTTGCAATGACCTTTTTCGTTTTGACATCCCACAACCGCACTTTCCCGTCCTTGCTTCCGCTTGCAATTGTCTTTCCATTTGGAGACAATGCTATAGACTGCACTGCGTCATTCCCGTCCCGCCAGTCCTCGCCTATCTGCGCACCGCTATCTAAGCTCCATAGTCGGAGTGAGCCGTCCAACGAACATGTGACGATGTGTCGTCCGCCCCACAAATGTACGACACCGCTTATGCAGTCGGTATGGCCTCGCATTAGTGAGTCCACGCCCATCTCCTTTCAATTTGATGCTCATCAGAACCACGCAAACCATGGCTCACGACACAGCGTGTTTACAGGGTTCAATATTTCAATCCTCACTAGCACTTACGAGACAGTGTATATAGAGGTGCAGCGAAATTCGAGAACGCGGAGAAGATCTTAGTGGGTATCCGAACTTGCTAGTAAGCAAGTGGTCAGCTCTAAACGGTAGAAGAGTCTAAAAAGCAGTCCGAGTTTGATTACAAAAATAGAATTCATTAACCTGTCTCTCTTGATCATGCACGACTCCGATCATCTTGGCTTGATGACGTGGATATCCATTGTGGGACCTCGGCGAGGAAAGCTGTCCATACACCACGACACATCAGACACAGCAGGCCAGAGCATTTATTCTGAAAAGAGAACGAACGAAATTACATATTTTCGTTCGTCTATGGTCTCACTACCGTGCTAGGGCTAGGCTCCTTGGCATAAGCACCGGATTTCGTTGCAGCATGATGGGTGGGAGTGCATTCAACGCCCTCAATTGTCCATCGCAAATTCTGTCTTGCTGAGGTGTCATGCCAGATCAGCGTTGTGCAACTTCATCTTATCCACAAATCATCGGTACTTCAGTGCACAGGAACGATCACCTTCGACTCCGAGGCAACAAACTGGAAAATACAAATTGAAGTCTAAATCGAATGTGCATATCGTAGTCTCAAAGTCCGCAATATCGAAGTCCTTGGCAAGTAACAGGTTGTGCGTGGCCATAGTAACTGGACGCTACATGAGAAGCCGTCAGATTGTCTCAAGAATGCTTTAATCAAGGTAGGAGGACGCACGGAACGAATCATATGCCAATATGCACGAAGACTATGCGCTGGTCCAAGGTCATTGGAATATCCTTGTCAGAAGCCAACGACTGGACCGCTCGGTGCAGCGCCCAAGCAGCTCGTTTAGAATTCATTGGACCATCCCCGCGCATGTTTTTGTAGAATGCCTCCACCAAGTGCTGCACGGTGCTATCTGTGACCTTCCACATTGTCCCCACGACGCTATTAAACCCGGCAAATTGCAGGCCAGCCGCTAAGTGTATCACTTCATCAGGCGTACTAACGTCGCCGACTGCGGTTTCACAGGCAGAAAGAAATGCAAACTCATGCCGGGACAGATCCGTCTGCGTGATGTCGAGGAGCGAGAGCGGCTCGTCGCGCATGAGAAAGGCCGACTTAAAGGGTTCGTCAAATTTCTGTGTCCCGTGGCACGCGAGATGGAGCCAAGTATTGTCTCGAAATGCGCGTAGTGCCCTCGATTTAGTGGCATCAACGCTGGTTATCTTGGAGAACGAAACAGTTGGGGGAGGGGGCAAAAGTCCCCGCACCAATTCTATCTCAGGCTCCACAGCATCCAAAATGGATTCGGCACCGGCTGGGCAATCCTGACCAATGGCAACGAAGGGCACCGACGGGGACTTGTCATGACTTGCACGAGCCTTGATCAGCGCGGTGAGAGATGGCGTGTATGAAGATATGTACTGCTGCGAAACGGACTTTCCCTTGGCTCTATACTCGCCAGCAGCATGCAACGGCAAGAAATTGAATAGAGACGTCGGGCACCACCATATGCGAGAACCTCGTCCTGCAAATCCTTCCAAATTCTCAACCACTGGACAGACGACGGCGTCCCACAGCTCTCTCAAAGCTTTTATCAGCGCTGTCTGGTTCCCTTTGGGACCGGCCTCTTTTCCAACTGCTGCTAGAAATGCGATCACCAATTCAGCGAGTTTCCGCCAATCGGTAGGGAGTTGAATGCCAGTAGGAGGTTGCTTGTGCGGGATGATAATGGCGTGGCAGGATGACCGGCTTGCGATGAGCACGATGATAGGCCCTTCACGAGCTGCATTTTGACACCCTTGGCAGCACTTTTGCACTGTTCTCACGGTCTGTTAGACCTGGTTTCGTTGTAGGACGAAACCCATCTCTGAGACCTGCCTCTCCCCGGGGCCTCCCCTTCAACCCCCTCAAGAGGCTCAACAACACCCTCGCAGGTCACCCCATGGACTCGTCCGTTGTCGCTGGAGGGTAGTCCACTCCGGTTCTAGAGGCCTCTCTGAGAGCCCTCAACTTCATGTTATACAAACCTCCCCGCCGTCGTCAGTATAACGACCCTCTCGTAGCCTCCCATCATTTATGACATTACTTATGTTGTATTTTCTCCGGTTCTAGAGGCCTCTCTGAGAGCCCAACGTGTTATATAAACCTGTCCCGCCGTCATCGGTATAACGACCCTCTCGTAGCCTCCCATTGTTTATGTCATTACTTATGTTATGTTATGTTGGGTTAGGTTATTCCCTCCATCTAATGCTTATGTTTGATGAGAATCATGAAATCTCCGTTGATTCAAGTTTTCTGAGATATAAGAAGTCTTGGCAGTGTGATCATTTGTCTGAGGATTTCATTCCTGTGCAACATTCTTCGTGATCAGGTGAACATTACGAACGAGACAAAAGCAGGCTGTGCAGCCGCTATACTGATATTGACATAAAAGATTACAAAACATAGTAGCTACCAATGTGAGGTATAACAGGGAGTCACGACACAGCAACAAGATGATGGGGATAGGCATGAGCAAAATATGACAGGACACCATAACGACAGGGAAAACATAGACATGAATTTAAGAAGTAAGGTGGGCGTTGGTTAAGGGGGAGGTGCTCGCGGGGGGTTAGTTGCATCACGAATGGATCGTGGCACGGCGTCACGGACATAGGGATCCTCACGGTCTGTCCACCTCGACTCGTAGTATCTTCTGTCTTGGGGGTATCCTCCATTACGATAAGCACCTGCACCAACTGGACGATAGGGAGCCAATAAGTGCCCACGCTCATCACGGTCCTCGCGTCGACTATATTCAGCTTCGCGAGCATAGCCTGGATCAAATACAGGGCTATACCTGCTTGGGTATGAGCGTTCCTGCTCACCGTGACCAAAAAGATCCGATACAGGAGAGCTATCCCGAGTATTGAAATCACTCTCCGGATGTGGGTAACCACTAAGGTGGCGGGGATGACAAGAATCACGCGGGTAAAAGGTATCGTGGGGGTGAAGGGAGTCATGGTCGGTAATTGGAGTGACTTCACGCTGACTCTGGACCTCGCGATGACGCACACGGTAACGTTGGTCGTATGGGTGCAGAGGGTCACGAGAATTGCCATGGGAAGGATGACGAAGGTCATATTGAATATCATCCCGTGGGTCAGGAGGGGCACCACGAGGGTCGTGCCAAGCAGGCTCACGAGGGTAATGGAGAGGCTCACGAGGGTACTGGAGAGGCTCACGAGGGTTGTGTGAAGGCTCATGAAGGTTGCGCGGTGGGTCATGCAAGGGATCCGAGTTACGAGGAATCTGGGTACCAGGGGCATCACTGAAGAGGTTCCGGATCACGAGGAGTATTGGGATGAGGGACGTCAGGCTCTAAGTCACGAGGAATATCGGAGCGAGGGACATCACGAAGAGGTTCTGAGTCATGAGGACTATCGGAGCGAGGCACATCACGAAGAGGCGGAACCTGGGGACGAGGGACATGAAGAGGCCGTTGGTTTGGAACAGTAGGTGCGACAGCAGGAACTTGTTCTTCCTCGTGTGTATTACCCACTGGTACTTCATTGTGTAGTGCCCCTCCTTCTGGAACATCATCTGCCTGAGTATGGACCGCACCAGAGGACTCGACATTGCCACAGATTTCAGTAGCTGCCTTCGCGTCCTTATCCTCTTCGGATTCAGAGTCCGAGTCGTTATATACCATACGAAGAGCACGCTTCATAGGACTGCTTAGAGCCTTTGGTGACTGGTCGTGGTTTGACATGTTCTAGAGTGTAGACAATGAGACATAGAAATAAAGAAACAAATAAAATAAACTGACTCTTTTTTCCCTCCGAGACAGTTTGAGGGCCCATCTGGCCCATCTGGCCCATCTCGAAGTCGCATTGCTGTGCCTGTAAAATCTGAAATAAGCAGGACTTAAATAGAAGCAAATAATACTCACTTTCCGGCGAGGCTGCTACGCTCGATGAACCCACTGTCAATGGGGATAGTGGACCGCCCTTTGTTGGAGAATGGTTTGACGTCTGCAAGGGAGGACCCTTGGGTTGGGGATTGTTCTTCGCTCCTACTCCTTTCTTCCCCACTTTCGAAGCGTCAGTCTTCTCTGTCGATGAGGCAAGCTTCTTTGATGCACGCGATGTATTTGTCGACTTAAGCTTCCTCTTCCCACAGTGCTGCTTCTTCGTATTCCGTGTCAGGTTCTTCGGAGGGCTTCTCTTCAGTGGACGTTAGTTCGATAACATCACCCTGAGCTTGACGGGCAGCTGGCTCACTCCGATTCTGAGGGACAGATGGCTCGTTCCGAGCCTGGGGGATAGCCGACCTAGGAACGACTCTGAAAGGACGTAAGGGTAGAGGTGGAAGTAGATCAAGTTCCACACGCATTTTTGGTTTCGGGGGGATCGCCTGAGGTGCGCGCTTTGAAGCAGAAGGTCCAGCTCGATCATCATCATCCGATTCATCGATAGAAGGTAGAGGAGGAAGAGGGGCCTTGAGTGTTTTATTACCCTTCTTTATTTTTGTGGTCGCAGTGCTGGGCTTGAGGCGAGCAGGGCCGTTGTAATCCGTGTGGCCATCAAGATAGAGTTGTCGGGCACCAGAATGCGGCCAATCTGATGGAGGCGCTTCGCCCACGACTACAGGCTTCTCAGAGGCAATCATTACCGCTACATGTCATAAAAATCAGTTCGCATCAGTTCGCTAGCATAGCGTAGTTGACACGTACATCGCTCATGCTCAGATTTGCAAATTACCATAGTTCCTGCCTTCAAAGCATCTGCAAGTGCTGTGACTTCCTTCTGTGTCAGCGCAGCAATACCTTTCTTCTTGGAAATCTCATTGTGAGTTTCGCCCAGTAAGAGACACTTGTGAGCGGGGTATCCTTTGATACAAAGATTGGCTTCCACAAGGGCCGACGGCATAAGTTTCCAAGGAAAGTTCTTGTCATTGAACCCAGCGCCAGGTCGAGCTAGCATGATAAGATTATGTTAGTTAACGTGAGTAAAAAAATAGTGGTGATAATCAAACATACCAACTCGGGCTGGTGTGACGTATGGCACATTAGTTTAAGTGAATGAAAAGACAGACGATAATCAAACATACCGACTGCCTTGATGATTTGGCTCTTCACCCACTTCAAACCATCGTCGCGTCCCTCAATGATGTCAGAAGACTGATCCAGGTTGGTGGTGGTGGTTGGGTCATCATGACTATCATCAACGTCGTCCCTAAATGCGTCATCGACTGTGGATAGAGATGTCGTATTGCTGTTTAGAGCCACGTGAGGATTTGCGTAAACATAACTGATCTTCGACTTACTACACATGTGCCTTAAGATGACCTATAATTGCATCATTACTGGCGCGGCACCGTGTCTGCCAAAACTATTACTTGTTGAGTGTGTATCAGTACATATACCTATGAATAAGCTTACCCCCGCAGCGCCAGGTGTGTTATAGTTGTGACCGAGTGATCCGTCCTCATTAACCACCTTCCCACAGAGTACGATAGCTGCTTCAAAGCCAAATTTAACGGAACCAGACTCAAGCTACGACAAAAAGAGTCAGGTGGTGTCAGTAGATAATATAATAACATACAATATTGATAACCCTTCGATATTGTTTTTGAAAAGTTTGGCCACGCTGCGCAATGGTTTGGGGAGATGACCCTAGGAGAGATGCCTCCTCGTGCATCGACAGGATGTCTTGATATGTGTCGGGGTAGGCTTCCTTGAACTTATCGTAGCATTGTGTTCGCACGGTTGCACCTGCAAGACGATAAACATGATATACATGATTCCAGTGAAATTGTACTCACTAGGTGTACCACCTCCTTCAGGTGCCACTCTGCCAATGCGAGCAAGTTCTTGCCGGACGTTATCTTTAAAGTAGTTTGCGTAAAGATTCCAGTAATTGGTACTAACCACCGTGCGTCCACGGCTCTTCAAGAATGAATTGATCAGCTGGTTGACGGGGAGTGTGGTAGATGTTGACAGATTGAGAAAGCAATGTTCAACTTCTGCAAACCCGGCATCAAGGGTTGCGTTCAGTTCTGTAGACCTGCGTCCTGTAACAGTGGGACCATCATTATGCGTGACTGGCTCATTCTCCTCAGGAAACCGACTATTGGAGACAGCAGCAGAAGGATAATGCCCCAGGTCCAACCGTGGACTGGGATCTCTCGTCACAATAGGGAGTGCCTGAGTCGCGGCAGTGTTCATTGAATTGGTGTTGTTAGTCTTGCTGGCGCCATGCTGCAGCGGCGTTGGTGGGATTATATTTGTGGTTGGCAGGGGGAGCACATGGTCTCGAGACGAGGATGGCACGGGACGGAGTACAAATGGGGCGAGATGAGACAAATCCTGGGGAAAACCTGAAGGTTGTTGACCCGCAGGGCCTTGCGAGCATCCACGAGGAAGTGCCATCGATGGTCCCATTGAACTTTGAGGAAAATGAAACGAGGGCTGAGGTGGTAGGCGGGACACATCTTGCGTGGTGAGCTGGCCGCCTTGCACATTAGCAGGCACAGACGTTCCAACCACGTCTAAAGTTTGATCCTCAAGTAACCCGGCTGGGAAGGTGTCACCTCCCAACATGTTATAGGTGTCAGCGCCAGAGTTTTGCTCCATCCAAGCAGCTTGGTGGCTCATACTAGAGCCATAAAATAGATCTGGCAATTGTGCAGGGGCAGGTGTGAACGGCGAGGCATGACGACTGTGAGCAACATTAAGCGTAAGTGATGATGCATCATTTGATTGTGTGGGGGCAGCAGGAGCAAATGGAGATGGCGAGGCCTGACGACTATGGGCAACGTTAAGCGTAAGCGACGACAAATCGCTTGATTGTGGAGGGGCAGGTGAAGCAGGTGGAATTGGTGAGGCATGATGACGTTCAGCAACATTAGGCGCAAGCAATGACGTGTCGCTTGTTGAAGTCCCCTCGTGGTTAAAGCCTGGTGGATCAGACTGTGCGCTGTCCTCAGAGGGTTGCTGACAGGCCTGGCGACGGAGAGTGGCCCCTCTGATAATGCCAACGTCCCGTGCCGTAGGCTTGAGCTTGCTCCTGAGGCGGGAGGGTGTCAACTCAACAGGTGGTGTTTGATATCGTCCTCCGCCTAACTGCTCTTGAGTGTAGTCGAATGTAGGAGGTGAGTCCATGAAGGGGTTAGGATATGACCACTGGTCACTAGCAGGAGGATTATCATGGGTGTTCTGGGTCGACCACTGGTCACTGGCAGGATTATCACGGGTGTTCTGGGTCATATCTGCAATATCTAGCAAAATGTATATGAATATTAAGAAGATTGGATGCAGGCAGGAGGGCGTTGCTTACCTGCCCAGAGGGGGTGAAATTGGCACTGTCCTTTGAACGTATTATACGAGATACTAGGTGGGCAGCTGGGGTCCTGAAAGTGGGCGAAAAAAACGGACACAAGGCCTCATACTTATGGAAGATTTAGTCGGTACAGGGTCTCTGTTTCTGCAGGCCATCTTTAATTTCATTCAGACTAAATAAGTTAGAACAGGCAGGAGTACAGAAGCGAAACTCAACGTGCAAAATATTACGGAGGTCTAAGAATGGTGGCTGAAGAGGGTGTAGAGGGCGACTCGTCGAATAGCCAGGTCTTTGGGAGGCTCCGGAGGCTCCAGAGAGGGTTCGGCATAAAAGCAGATTTATTACTAAAGATCACGTTGAGGACAATGAGGCTGAAACCTTAGTTTGTACCCGAATACAGCGGGATATCAAAATCAGGTTAGAGGTATGAGCACAGATTATGTTGGGCTACGTACACGTCCTATCTACGTTTGGTCTCAGGATAGAGATAGGCTCAATCAGCGTCTAAGGCGCTTCACAGGGTAACGACCACTCTCGCAAATTTCATCCTCACAATCATTTTCATCATCAGTACTGTCATGTTCAGAGCTTGATTCAGCCCCATTGACGGAAGTAATTGGGGGAATAAGATGCTCGGTGCGCGTACTAGATGGTTTGTGAACTGCTCGAGAAGCTGGGCAGGGTGGCGGTCGCGTGATAGAAGCTGAGCTGGGAGGCGGCTGTGTGATCCGCGGTTGTGTGATAGAAACTGGGCGGGGAGGCGGCTGTGTGATCTCCACAATGACTTGGACGCGACGATGAGAGACTGGTGAAGAAGACAGTTGAAGAACAGGTGAAGGAGACGGTTGAAGAATAGGTGAAGGAGACGGTTGAAGAACAGGTGAAGGAAGCCGTTGTAGACGACGAAGACCCTTTTGGTCAATGTGGCCATCAGCAAATGCACGTCGCCCACGGGGATACATGGAGCAGGCTGAGGGGGCATCTCCGATGATGACAGGGTCCTTTGAAGTAGTGAGACGCATGCGAGCAGCATCATTCGTAACTGCTCGAATGGTGAGGGTACCTGCCTTGAGGCAATTGATGAGATTGACGCGATGCTGTTGGGTCAGATCGTGGATGCCTTTAGAACGAGAGATAGTGGGTCGCAGCTCGCCAGGCATCAAGGTCTCGTCAGGATAATTGACGAGAACATACCCAAGGCGAGCTAATTCTTTTGGAAGTGTTTTCCAGGGGAAGTCACTACCTGTGCGCCCACGCAGTGTCCCGCCAAGAGATGCTACAATGATGTCAAGATTAGTGTAAATGTGTTGTGACGAACCTACCGACAAGCGCCTTTATCCCACCCATGATACAAGGTATCCCATCGAGGCTCTTCCATCCTTCACTGACTTGGGAGCCTTCGGTGACTTCACTAAGTTCAGCGTCCGCTGTCGACACCACCTTATCCACCATCTGGAAGCATATCAGCAAATCCGAAAATACAACCATAGTACAGTCAGTACTTACAATCCGAGTAACCAAAAAAGACTGTGAGTCTGTGAGCATGGCAACATCAATAAGGTCACGCCGGTAGGATGATCTTGATGTGCCGGTGGATGCGGCCATTTTGCAGGAGGTAACGTACAATTAATGTACAGAAGTACCGGTAGGTACTGATTGATCAAACGATAATGTGCAAACCATGAAAATTTTGGAACTTGGATAATTGTAGTAAGTTTGAAGAAGCGAAACTGGAACGTTGAAATCGAAGAGGAAGAACGGTTCAAGCGCCAGGACATACCTGAAACAGTAATTATGACCCAAGGGACTGGTACCTGGTGCCAGCTCATTTCTGGAGGCTCGAGAGGGTTGCAATTTTTTTCATAGCCTTTTGGGAGGCCTATTTCGCAAGTGGCGCTATGCAGGGCGCGATGAGTCCTTGATACCATTATCCAGTAAGCTCTACATCATCTTCACGCCCAGTGACTGATTCACCTCCCAAGTCAATGGTTCTCCCATCCCAGACCACATACAGCATGCAATTCACATTTCCAACACTGCCGTCCCGGATCTCGAGAAGCTTCTCCAGGGCCCAGACATCCCCTCCTGTACAGTCGACAGTGCTGCTAAAATACGGAAAGGCCACATTGTCCCGCCCCCACCCACCGACACACCTGTGCCAGTTGAAGTCATAAATGGAGAAGAGCATGGTTCTCCCATCGACCCTGCTGATCTTCCCAAAGGCCCTTTCTTCGAGGAAGCTGTTAACTCAGGTGTGTACCCTGTACAGTCAACAGTGCTGCTAAAATACAGAAAGGCCACATTGTCCTGCCCCCACCCACCGAAACACCTGTGCCAGTTGAAGTCGTAATTCTTCGAGGAAGCTGTTAACTCGGGTGTGTACCCGTATAATGCATTCAGGCTTCCCTTCTCCCACCTTGAGCGCCCACCGAACGTCGACCCAACTATGGTTGCAACACGCCTCCAGCGCCTCCTCATTCCCTCCATAATGCCTGTAGGTCTCGACGTGCACCAGATCATCAACGAGCGCGATCGCTTCATCGAAGCACGCATCCAACAGCACATTAAAGAGCTCGAGGAGATCCCAGCCACCATCGGCGATGGCAGCTTTGATTCTCTGGCAGATGTTATCCTCAGTCCGCACAAGCAAGAGCCCCCCAACGATAACCAGCGACTCTCAGCACTGTCCCCACACGAGAAGTTATGTGCAATGATCGAGCTCAATTCTCTCTCTCTCTCCAACATCGTATCATGCGTTTCAGAAGAAAACGGGATGTTGAGCACTGATGGTACCCGATAGGAAGAGGTGGTGCTTCTTGTTATGGCGTGATAGAAGGGTGCTAGAATTCTGGGAGTTATCTTATAGAAATGCTACTTTTGCGGTGAAGACTTCCTAATAGTGTTGTACTACATTCTGCGCTGGATAGCCCATCATTAGTCAGTTGACTACATCGAAGTTTCTATGTTCACTTAAACTTGTAAGTCCATCGGTGTGACAGTGTCTAAAGCACTTCGGTGGCTTCGGCAGCCCAAATGGCTATCTTATTTGGCTTATGGCAGGAACTTGACACATCTTGAACTTGACATCCTAAGAATTGAGCACGCCTTATAATAGGTAACGGGCAAAATGGCAGTGTGTTTAACTGGGCCATGATGCTTGTCTTACTTTGCATGAATTTCAGAAAGCTGCATGGCTTGCTCCCTTGACTTTCCATCCTTTTGACTCGATTTTTGAATACATTTGGTCACTCGCGACTTGCTACATTAAGCATCCAATGTCATTCAACGTCTATCATGCTGTAAAATAGTGTAAATGCAGCAATATATATTTCTGAACACACAGAACCTCGTTGAAGAGTAATGCACCAACATCATTTGCCCCCTCTGTTACTCTCCCGTATCCTCTCATCTTGGTGGGGCAATGCCTATCATTGATATTGAACTACACTATGACATCATTGGTAGGGCAAAAACCATAGTATGGAGATAGTATCGCATATTGTCCATATCTCGCTCATGCATTCCTGTAACATATCTACCACGTACAATGGCCAAAATGGTAGCTAAAACCCATACACCACAGTCATACCCATTGGTTTGAAGGTGTTCCATCTAAATAATACAAACTGTCAGAATCCTGATAAAAACACAAAGTGAGCTTACATTCAGTGGTCGTGCTACCCACCCTTCAAGGTCAATATCAACGTGATGGCCATGTTGACGCGCCACTGCCAGAAATCGAGCAATCAGTTTCATTATATCCTTTTGCATGACGCACGTCAGTTAAACCAAAATACGCAATTAAAATCAACTTACTTTAACATCACTTGGCCAAGGCTTCCTATCGCCAAGGCTATCAAACAGGTGAAGCTCTTTGTGCGACAGCCGGATGACACATAACACCCAGTGCCCAATGACTGATGGACGATGGATTGGAAGCACCCATGTATCCTTGTCCCAATAGCGGACCCACGATGCATTGCGCCAGATGACATCATCTGGCGCATTGTAACGAATACGGGGAAGATCGTGAGTTGACAACATTGCGATCTGTGTCGATGTATCCCACTGAGAGTACCACAGAAGGATGGCGCAACTGTTAATACATACGTCATTGAGGCGTGCCGTCGGAGATCTAAGCATATCAATGTCTTTCGGCTCAAACACCTGAGGAGGGATTCCATTGTGCGAAGGTCTTACTCGGGCAGCAACCTTCCTAGGCTGAGAGCCTGGCGCGGATGGTGGGGTGCGTGACGGAACACGGAAGTCATCCATAAGGAGATTCTACGACAATTTATTAGCACCATATTCCTGACATTGAACATATACGTACCTCAGGAAGATCCCAATGGATGACGGCATTAGCTTCGCGCCCATAATTAGTCGAGTCGTCCTCATCTAACTCCAGGGTGCCCATCTCGTCCTCTAGAACATCAACAAGTGCAGCCTGCTCAGAGTCAACCTGTGGGGCATGGTCAGGATCAACAACAGGGAATTCATCAACCTCAGGATCAGGTAGTGTGAGCGTGCCAGTATTGTTCCAGTGAGATCCTATAGTTCGTGAGCCTCCTGAGAGGGTGGTAGCAAGGTCTAGTGCTCGGTCCACTTGGCTAGCGAAGCGTGCCGAAGAAGCTAGGGGATTGGACCATCGGAATTGGAGCCGGAGGAAATTAACAAGCCGTTGTCGCAATGGAACAGCAAAAGGTTGACCTAGTACAAATGAATCAAAAAAAGAACTTTACATCAGAAAAATTAAATTAACTTACTTTCCGGCAACCGAACTGCAAGTTCAAGTGCTGCAAGTTCATCTCCGAAGAAGCGACAAAGATTCTCGGCCTCAATGCCAAGGCGGATCTGCTCCTCTTGACAGCGTTCCTGCTTTAGTAGCGCACGGATACCATCTCTCACGTCTGAGTCCTCCAACCATCGGGGAACCTCTCCGACTGATGGTGTGATCCATACGTCTTCCATCAATCTTGGATCGGAGCGTAGTTCAGTCAGTTTTGTGGGAAGTGGGGCAGGAAGTGGAATCCCCCAAGTGGGGTCGTACAATGACTCCAGTCGTTCACAGTAGGAATTAAATTTTCGGATAGCAGTCATGAGGGCAGGTTGACGCTTAGCTATAGCTTTACGTGTGTGTTGATGTAATTTAGTCCCTGCAAAAAATTAATAAAGCATAATGTGGCAAAAGGGAAGAACTTTACCTAAAGCCTGCTGTGCGCCACCAACTGCTCGGTCAAGCTTGTCCCACTCGAAGAAACTAGCAATGGCGCGCTTACGAACGTTCATCTTGAGATCGCATGCCATTAGAAGAGTGCGGACAAACTCAAGATTGACATCATGAAGCTTGGGGAACCTCTCATGAACATTGAGTGATGAGTAAAGGGCCTCGACTTTATCCATCAGTCGGTCATGTCCCCTCTCGAGGCTCTCCAGCGCCTCTAATGTGTCGTCAGAGGCAAATTCTTTCTCCAACATGGCTCTCGTAGTCTGTAGTGCTCTATCTGATGTGTCCAGGTCTGCCTGGAGAGCCAATACGGTGTCCAGCTCTTTCTTAAGACGAGCAGGAGCATCTTGCAAGGTCACCTATTAACACTGATCAATTTCTAATAAATCTTACTTACGAGCACGAATAGATAATTGCGATTGACGTTGGTGGGACCACTCAGACTTCAATTCAGCGATGGGAATTCCACATCGTTCTAGCATAGCTTGCGCTGCTGAACCTTGCTCTTTGATTCCTCGTCTAAGGCGGCGCTTAATCCAGTCACCGAGATCTGTTTGCATCTCGGATCCTATGGCTGCTGCTTGTCGATCAATAAGCCACAGGCGGCGCTGGCGCTAACGTCTTGTGTGAGTAAGATCGTAATTAAAATGAGGTGGCACACACAGAAGAAGTCCTCTCAACACCGATCAGCCGGACAAAGCGTGACCAAAGTCGTTCGGTCCCTTCCCCATCGGACAACCCAAGGCCAAGGCACATTCGCGGATTATAGATGAGCTGGCAAGCCCACTCATGGCCATACGCATGCATTGCTGTGGTTGCGAGACGAAGTCGTTTGGTTACGGTCTCAGGAAGAATATTATACTAGAGAGGTGTGAGTGTGTAAATAGAACATAAGTCTCAGCATACCTTTGCGAGTGATCTGGCCAGAACACACCCAACATCATACAGGGCAACAACGGTAGCCTCCGGTGGGAGAAGTGAAAACAAATGCTGAAGAAGGGCTACAGAATATTTTTGTTGTTCTCCAGGCGAATCAATGTTAGCAAAGAAAAGTGGGATGTCATGACGACAGATCAGCGCCATGATCCCGGTGTCATCAAAATTATCCATTGCAGTTTTCTGTTTTTTGCCGTCAGCAGCCTCGTAAGCAGTCTCGCATTGGTCGACAGCTTCATCAGGGACAATGGGGGTATGTGCCTTTGGGGGGTGCTTACGTTGGGTGTCTATATGGCGACCAATTTCATCAACAAAGTTTTTCGGGATAAAGTAGGTAGGGTCATAGAATGGAGGACAATCACCAGCAGCGCAGCGATGACGGTGGTGGAAATTCCCGTCTGTTGCAACGTGTACATCGCCTCCTTCATCTGTGGGCCTGCCATGCAGTACGCCCCCAAAGCAGGCGGGACATCGTTGGACCAGAAGTGGCACGCATCGACCTGGTGGAGGGAAATTGGTGCCGTGCAAGGAGGCCTGGAATTTCGTTATGTGATCGCGACTTTGTTGGAGAAGCATCTCAAGTTGTCGTTCGACTTGAATTTGCAGGATGTCGAACCACTGAACAGCATAACCGAGACCCCGACGAAATGGGTCTTGAATAAGTTGACCCTTCCAAAGCTTGTCAGTAGTAATTCGAGTATGTAATTGAAACTTACCTGTGCGTCGGTCACCTGGAAGCCCCGACGAGAGTAATGATTTTTCAGCGCTGATGCGAGAGCGTTAATCGCGTCGCATGAGCGTTCAAACAGTGCACGGTAGAATGAAAGTAAATCAACAGATACAGCCATTCGAGGCTGTGAAGGTGCAGTTGGGAATAGACCATGGTGGAGAAGTACCTGCGGGAGAGTGGAGCATGTACAGCTTAGCACATCTATAGACGCGTATCCTAAGCAAGTATCAGTGCCCGCTTCTGTGATAGATAAATATAAGCTTACGGTCAAAAAAACAAACACATCAAAGTTGCTCGTTTTGGTGTACATGGTAGTGTCCCAGTACATGCAGATATGACTGAATGAGTGGTTTCCAGTGGTTTTCCCTGCGTTCGCCCTAAGTAGAGAAGTAGAGGATCGATGAGAGTTGGGATGAGGTCGCTCCAGTGACTATACAGTAAACTAGCCGATCGGTCTGACGCAATCCGTCGTTTGACTGGAGTGTCGATTGCTGAGGTATCGAGAGATGGTTGGTCGAACGTTTCCACATCTTCAAAGTGAAGTGCTGTGGTATCATCATTCTCTATGTGTTGAGGGTGCTTGGCAGTATCATCGTGTGATGGATGAGGAGACAACACCTGCGAGCTTTGTTCTTCATACCGTGGCTTCATAAGTTCCTTCATTTCAGCCAAAAGTCGGCGGCGTTTCGCCTCTGCGCCTGGTAACTCCACCAATGTTTGAGTCTTCCGTTTATCTCGAGCTTTCCTGGGGCTCACAAAGTGGTGGCCTAGGCCAAAAGTTGCGACTTGAGCTTTACAAGTGGGATGGGGTGTTGAGAAAGACATAGTGGTGGAAAGAAGAGAAGGACATACCACTTGAAAAATCAGAGAGTAGCGGATGCCAAGCTAAGTGCAAGTGAGGCACAAGATGTATCAGAGGTATCGGAGGGTGGTGCAGGAGGTATCGGAGGTATTGGAGGGCGGTGCAGGAGGTATTGGAGGTATTGGAGGGTGGTGCAGGAGGTATTGGAGGTATCGGAGGGTGGTGCAGGAGGGTGGTGCAAGAGGGACGAGAGGTGCGAGTTATTAATAGATGGTGGGAGGGTATGTCTCAGAGACTAGTTTCCCATAACATATTAACCGGGTCTCTTAGACCCTTTATAGGCACCGAGAAGTGCTGCCTGAGGTGCATTTTGAAGATCTGAGAATAAGGGGGGAAGGAGGAAGCGGGAGAAGCCCTCGATCTTCCGGATCTCTTCTACAGCTTCATTCCACTCCTTTACTACACGTCTGTACCTGGTTTCTTCTGCTTCCGGATTGACTATTGGAGTCCCTTCTGCACGGCTCGCGGGAGGTTTATCAAGGAGGGAACTGAGGTGTCTGAATCTCTTCATCAGGGCCACTGCATAATCACCGCGGGTCTGGAGGCTGTCAAGAGGGGTGCGGAGTCGTGTCATCTGGGTCCAGATGATGGTCCTGCCCTGTTCCAACAACTCAACAGCGCGACACACATCACCACTACAAAGAGCACACAATGCAGCATTGACGGCAAGTGTACTCGGGAAGTCCTTCATGATATTGTGACGAGATGATACTGCAGCCGTGTTAGACATGTAAGCATCGAGAAGTTGCATGGAAGTCGTATAAGCCTCTAGTTGAGTATGATGTCTGTGTTGATCAGCACGGCAAACCCAAAGTAGACTTGTTTGCAGGCGGGATAGCAAGCCTCCAGAGACAACATCTGCTGCTGCCTTGAAATGATGCATGGCAACATTCAGACACTCCGGATCTTCGCCCGCGCCGGTGCCGTCAAGCCTTGAATGATGGAATGATAGGTAGACCGCAGCTAGCGTCTTGTGGACAACTAATTGACGAGGATCATGTTGCGTCAATAGAGTCAATGCACAGCGTAGGTTCTCTAGTGACTCGTCAAGGTCTTCTCGGTTGCCTCGGCGGCCAAAGCAGAAGGAGAGTTCATTCCCGAGGTTATGTAATGACCCGGGCCGATCTGGGTGGCCTACCGGGCGCAAGGCCAGCGCTTCCCTGTGAAGTGCGATACCCTGATCCAAGTCTTCGTCGTTGCCTCGGTGGTCAAAGCGGGAGGAGAGTTTAGTCGCGAGGTTATTTAATGACAAGGACCGATGTGTGTGACCGACAGGGCACAAGGCCAGCGCTTCCCTGCTCAGTGCGATACCCTGATCCAAGTCTTCGTCGTTGCCTTGGCGCTGAAAGCGGGAGGAGAGTCGATTCGCGAGGTTAATGACGTGGACCGACCTGGGTCATCGACCGGGCACAAGGCCAGCTGTTCCATTTGAAGTGCGATGGCTTGATCCAAGTCTTTGTCATTGCCTCGACGCTCGAAGCGAGTGTGCAGCATTGCGGCCAGATTGCATAGCAATTGCCCTCGGTAAGCATGTCCGGTCTTGTAGTACACCAGTGCATCATAATGAAGGGATATCACTTCATCTAAGTCACGCGGTTCATCTCTCTGCAAACATCGCTCTGCTCGATGAAAAAGTTGATTCGGCGACAACGGAAGCATGGATGTGGCAGGCCCCTCCTGCTGAAGATAATTTGCATACATGCTTCCATGCACAGCGGATGTTTCCATTGCAGTCAAAGCTGCTCTGTAAATGTGGCTGTTGGCGTGACAAACATCAAGTACATCGCTCAGTAGCTCTTTACCCGTGTCGACATCTGTTTGAAATCCCCGCCTCGCAAAGCGAGAGAGCAGAGAAATAGCGAGATGGAGTTGGGTCGTGGGTCGGTCTGGATGACCAGCAGGACGCAAATCCAGTGCGTCTTGAAAAAGAGAGATGGGTTTGTCGAGGTCGAGGTATCTTCCGTTAGCTTGGCAACTGATAAAATTTGCCGTGGCTAGATTGAACAGTGCTGCGGGGCGATAGGGATGATCCACAGGGCAGAGATCCGAGGCCCGTTCAAAGTGGTTTATGGATTGGTCCAGATCGGTACTGTTCTGCGTCCTGCGGTATCGTGCGAAAAGACTATGTCCGGCATCCGTCCTTACTGCTAACCCATCCATATCGCGAGATGTAAGCTACATGTTACGACGATCAGAATCAGACTGCAAGACTGCATTGATCGCTCACGGTAATAAAGGAACACAGAACACCGCCATCATTTTGATCAGGAAGTCGCTGCTCCACCGTCATGAACAGTGAAGTGCAAGCGGATACGACGTCCTCCTGCTTTGGCTGAAACATTATGGCTGTAATACTCGTTAGCATCCGTGAGCTGTTATTTGCAATAGATAATACTGACGATGAGACCTTTCGCTGCGATCCAGTAATTCTCTGACGGAGATCTCGAATGTGCGGAGGAGTTCTCCGTGACAGACCATGGGACCCAATTCAAATGAGGCATACACGCTGACCCGAACTTTAGATGATGGATCGCGCGGTCTAGAGTCTTTCTCAATACCTGCAAGACAGACAAGGTTGCAGACCACTTACAGAAGAATGCGCTCGTGCCATTCGACGACAGCCTGGTCTACGTGTACAGATTGATTACTTGTCTGATATTCAGCACCGTCAGCCTTGACCACCGCATGAAAGCCGGCAGGGATACGTCGGAGACCAAGAGCGAGATCGGTTGCGCGAATGGCTTGAGGGAAATTGTCAACACGAACTGAGCGGAGACAAACAACACATACAAGTGATGACGACTTGTTGCACCCCACTGAAGTGTATCTGTCCTGGATCCTGGGTGTGTTCTGGGTGGCTGGACTCTTCGCCCGAGGCCGGGAGGGTGTCATGAAGCTGGTCTGACAAAGAATCTGTCATGGAAAATCATAGGCACCGCCTACTGAGTGGAGGTAGATAGCACATACTGCTGGTGGCGACTTGTAGCACTTCACTGATCACCGAGTTTGTGTCTCCCAGATCCTGGGGTTGTTCCAGTTGGCCTGACTTCTCACCTAAGGCTTGGACGGTATCACCGGGTGAGTCTGGCGCGGAGTCTGTCGCGAAACAAAACAAGATATTAATGACGAAACAAAGTGTCGCCAGAATTGCTTTGGGAAATGATTGGTATGTGCTAAATGACAATAGATGTGACACATACTAAAGACAAAAACTTGTAGCATTTCGCTGAGCACAAGGTTTTCTTGCCCAGTGTCCTGGGGGTGTTCTGGGTGGCTCGGGCCCTCTTCCAAATGTGGAGGGCAGTCACTGAAATGTCCAGGGACGAATCTTGACATGCGAATGGAGGATAAATTCAAATAATAGTTGAGAATAAGATGTGTGCTGGAGGTCACGAAAATACTGCAGATCACGGGAGGTCTTCATAGATTATAAGTGAAAGACTCACAGGATGCATGTGGCATCCACACCGTGCAGCGCTAATGTCGAGACGTAAGTGACTCGCGGGATATAGAGCGACCCATCATGAGCCTCATTTAGTTACATGAGATTTGTACAGCAGAGGCACGTTGTAGGGTGCGATGTTGATTAAAGCAGCCGAAACGACTCGGAGAAGGCTGCGGCCTGCGAGGCTGAAGACTCGGAGCAGGGCATTGCACGCTTTCACGAGAATTCACGTATTGCGAAGCTGGACTACTACTGCCTGAATCCTACTGCTGTGATATGATTGTGGGAGAAGGCATGGAACTGAGAAGAACTTAAGTTGTATGTCAAAGCAGGGAGTCATGCGGCTATTAGTAATCGGTAAGGAGGCCACCGGATCAAGCTGTAATGAATTTCCACGGCCAAATATGTGTAGACGCTGTGCTGCCACAGCTGGAGCATCATTTCGTTCGTTTTCTGCCTGCAGGCATCAATCACATCGAATTGCTTCACTGCCGCTACTATAGTTTCTAGCTGTGGTAGGCTAGCCTATCTCGTGCACCTATGTAATAGAAGCTTAGGCCGTGTCACCGCAGATCTAGGAGGTACAAATTGAAGTGTCCGAATCGGAGTCTCGTCAGTCCAGTGAATTTGGTCTACATGTAGTGAGTGTGCAGCACCTTGTGCAGGTGCCAAGTTTGATTCAATCAACGCCGGACTTGGAATTTGCAAGACGAGAATTCATGATCGGTCTTTGTTATATATCAAATACCATGCTAACTTGTCCGAGTTTGATGACACTCGACGTGGACAAAGCAATGATAATAATTACAAAAGAACCAGTGTACAGCACCATTTACCCAGTGAGTATGACCTCGCATCATCCGGCGTGGCCTGATAACTGGCATCTCACTGGTAGACGAAGACATGATCCGCGCTCGGAATCTCGACTACGGGAAGTCGTGGACTGTATACGAGAGAAGTCTGCCGGGATCTTGGAATAAGACTAGATTGTCCGGTAAAAACAAAGGTTGCTAGTGAGTCCGGGGGGCTATCTCCTTTCAATTTGATGCTTATCAGAAGAACACAAACCATAGATCACGAGCCAGCGTGCTTACAAGATTCAATCCTTGCCCACAACAACGTATGCAAGTGCTACGAAATTCGAGATTGCGCTAAAGATCTTAGTGGGTATCTGAAGTCACTGGTAAGCAACTCGTTAAACGGCAGAAGAGTCTAGAGCATCACTCACGAAAAACAATGTTCGTGCCAGCCCAGCCTGAGTGTCCAGCTACCAGTGATCAATTGGTCTTATTGAGAGTTTAGAGCAATCGTTCGTTTATGCCACTTTAAGGTGCGTCTTATGTGTTGTCCTCGTATTTGCTGTGGCACAGCTTCATTGCTGCGTAGATGCAGCACACAGGTCTGCGACTGGCGCTACGCACCGTGCACCCTCCTATACATCCATACTCCTAACAAACATTCAACAGCGTCTCGTGCTCCTCTCAATTCCGCACGTTTCGGTTGGGTATGCAAGCTGATCTATAGCGTCGATGGATATAGTATTCGGATGGCCTACATGATCTCTCACCTATCAACTCCAGCGAAAATCGGATATAGCCATTTTCACGTGCAGGTTTACTGTGGCTATGACACTTCGTATGATGATCAAGCTAAGTCGAAGCAAAAATAGTCTACTTGTGGAAACGATCATGTCCGAGTTTCACTGTTGGCTGAAGCTTGAAGTTCAGACGTCTCCATGCCAGCGTGATGGGGGCTGAAGTCATGGAACACCAACACCTAGAAAGCATCAACCAATAAGCATAGCATGGGCATTATGCGATGAAACATCCCCACAATATTGATAACTCTTGATGTCTTCAGCGGATCCTTGTATTATCGTCAAGGGAAAGTTCTAGGACTATGTAATATCAGCACAAACACAAAAAAGGTGGAGCTCGTATATCTAGATAAGCGATGGGACCGTTCTTCTTTGAGGAAATGTTCTCGGACGACTATGCAAGTCCTGCAGCGAGTACAGATCTTAATTAGCTGAACGCCTCGGGACAGCGAACGCGACAGTATCTTGACTCTGGGGAGAGTTTATATTCAGTTCTGTGACAGACTCCGACAATGGCATCAGACAGGAACACAGCATTATTTAGAGTGGATTCAGCGCATTCGACATCACATGGTCATCAAAGTGACCTCAGAAGCACCCGGAAAGCGGAAGAACGAAGGTGATGTATGTGTAGCTCCTCGATGATACTGCAATGTCACGCCTCGAGAAGGCGCTTGGAGACACATAATACCTAGATGAGCACGGGTTCTCCATACTGCAAAGTAGCAATTAGAATGGCACGACAGAAGTGTGGCGTTCGGATGGGAACTCACATACAGAAGAGTCGACGGACACGTTGTAAGGAGAAGTTGCACAGACCCGATAGGTCAAAACTTCCACGCATGAAAGAGGGAGAGTCAATGGAGGCAAATATTGTGAGGAGACGTCGCACAGGCCCGACGAGTTGGAGCTTCCCAGTAAGCGAGTCATATTTGACACAACCACTTGGAAAGCACCAACTAACCGGCATAGTTCCATGGGTGTACGGGGAGTAAAAGGATTATGCTGATCGTAGAAAATTTGATATTGATCCACCATTAGGCCGATCACCGTGAACGAATTTGGTCATCCATGTGCATGGACCATGTTTCGTGGTGGGATGCCCATGAACGGGGGGCAGGTGGATCGTTGAGTCAGCAGTGTGCGAGGCGCCGCTTCAAAAATTAAAATAGCCACTTACTTTGGCTTCGAGCTTCTGCTAATTGCAAGTACCAACAATTCCATGTCTCGGAGTATAGTCCCAGCGCTAACAAGAATAAGTATAAAATCAACGCGATTGAATTGAAGAGGTGGCCGTTCCCTTCCTCGCTTCCACTTGCAATTGTCATTCCTTTCTGCCCACGACACTAGTACGAACGACTCTACTAGTAAAGTGTCGTAACTTGCTCGGATCCCAAGGGCCAAGTGAACGCGAACTTTGAGAATTGAGCAGCCCTTTTGAGTCCCATTAGTAACTAAGTGTCCACGTTCACCAGTGCAGACCAATCATGCATGCATGGACTTATACCAGGATATGTCACCTTGCAGTATGTCGCGTTCTGTATTTGCCTCTAGTAGCACTAACGTTCATCCAGTGAACATTGGCCAACCAGCCTGAGACGCTTGGATATGATGATCACGTATGGTTCACCATTATTCGCGTGTCAAGCCTTGTCCCCGCTGTATCGAGCGGCGAGCCTCATTCATGTTGTATGACTCGTATCCATTCCCTCTCATACCTCAGCAAAACTGCATAAAGCTTTGGCTATGCCGCATCAATTTTACTCCATGATATGCCAAGGCTGCGTCAAACCATGCGGAGACAGGAAGAGTAGACGATAATATCAGGAATTAATATTGTAGGCTAGTTGGGTATGCTGCTAATAGCTTTGACGCGGCATCTTTGCCTCATCACAACCGCGTCACTGGTGAATCATGACAAAGGTAGAACTCCATGGCCGCCGGAATCACTATACCCACTAAATGACCAGAAGGAACAGGTTCTCCCGAGTCCCACAGTATCATCCGCCGGGCACAACCATTTTACCAAACCTTCTTGTTGATAATATAAAAGCGAGTCATCTTCCTACTGTCACCAGCGTCCACCCATCTCAGACTCAAAGAGATCATTCGAGTACCTCAGTAGATCATACCACCCTAAACAGACAATGCGTTTCTTCTTCCCCGCCATTATTATTGCGTTGACCGCATCTATGATGTCTGTTACAGCAAGGCAAGTCCCAGGCTGTAGTCCTGAAGGCGAGAGTTGCAAGACGGCTAGCGACTGTTGCGATAAAAATGTGGACTGCGTTCTTACGTGCGGGGGGCCCAACCAAAAACCTAGCGACAAACTGGTGAGTACTTTTACATTTGTATTGGTGCTGTTGTTAATATAGCAATATGCAGAACACTGCTGAATGAGAAATGAGCAGAGGCAGTATTGGGTGGAAGGAGTACATGATATGATCACTGCGACCCGCTGGCTCGATACGACTTCCATTTGACTGTCACCAACTCGGTGCGCCTTGCGGCCCTTGCCAAGGAGATGGTTATCATGAGTCATTATCATAGCTGCATGTCTTCTCGGTATAAAACTTTCTCCAAGTATAGTCACAGCACTAACGAGAACAAGTATAAAACCAACGCGGTTGAGTTGAAAAGGCCTCAGATCAATTCCTCCTGTTGCAGTGAGTAGCCTTCTTAATGCGGCACACTATGCAATTTCATCGAGCCAACGTATAATAGCTTTTCTAAAACATTTTCAGAGCAACTTTTCGTACATTGGACTTTTGTCGGCGTGTGGCTTTCCTAGCATGGTCACATCATAGGCTGATGCGTGCATAGTTATACCAGATACCATGAGGCTCGTTCAAATTGTTTACCTCACAATCCTCGCTGCTGCCAGTGCCGCTGCCGCTGCCGGTGCCACTAGAGTAAAGCCAGCATCTGATCCTCGTACATCCTGTGCAGGCCCATGTGAATCCTCCGAACAATCCTTGGAGTGCAAGGAATGGCCAGGGACACGACCTTACCTTGAGCGGACTGGGTGCTGGCTGTGTTGTACACCGCAATAAATGAGTAAGTACCAGATGATTGTGGGATACAGCAGGCTGAAGGTGATAAGTTAGCACCTCGATGATACTCGAGAAGTCTGAAGTTGGCCCTCATATAGGAACCCCAGGCAAGGAACGCAGGCGGACCGGGCCATGGGACGAGTATGGGATCTTCATCCTAGCAGAATAATAATTAGGATTGCACAGCAGAAATACAATGCTGGTATAGGAACTCAAACATGAAAGAGCAGACTTGTATCAATGGAGGCAAGTATTACAAGGAGACGTTGCACAGGCACGATGGTTTGGAGTTCGACAATCGCTTGGGCAGCACCAATCAATCCGCATAAGTCCGTGGGTGTACGGCGCAGTTTGCAGGCAGGCGATTATAGACAGGTGGTGATATTTAGCAAGAGGATGCATTTGGATGATCATACTAATCGGCCCGATGATACTGGTCCATCACTAGTAGGCCGATCACCGTGGTGAACGAAGTTGGTCGTCATCATCCATGGGCTATGGCCCGTATTTCTTGTGGTGGGATGTGCGCGTTGGGAACCCAGTTCATTTCTTGATGTTGCAACTCCCAGGTTGGGTTTTTGCGCCATATTCCACACGGTGGGAATTTCGCACAGCCTGGCGAACTTCTACCGAGCCAATCATTATCTGAAATTAAATTCTGAATGCATCTGCATCATGTACAACCCGTTCGCTCAGCATACTCATATGTCTAAACACTCACATTCACGAACACTATCAAGTGGAAAGGCCTGGGAGTCGAGGATCGCAAAAACCCAGGCCAATGAAGTGGAACCATAAACAATGGTGGGCAAACTTGAACTTCCTTGGGAATTACAAAACTACAAAATCGAACAGGAGGATGGGAATCGGTGCGATAAGCCAGTACTAGAACTACTCGGATACACACGCTCCGCGTTATGTGTATGTGCGTCAAATTCTCTTCCGACTCGCGTGGCTGACAACCTGTCTGCCAACTTAAAAGTGTTGCTTGATCAGCGTCCCCATGGAGCCTCTAAAAACGTTCAGCAGTGGCCAATATTTGTTCTTATGCAAATACTGTTATTGCTAATTAATCATTAACCATCCTTCCTGTTGTGCTGGTTCTGTTTAATTTGTATTTGACTATAACTAACTTGGTTCACTTCAGGTAGCATGCGGAGATGGATCTCATAAACGGATCTCTGCATGTCTTATCGGTATAAAACTTTCTCCGAGTATAGTTCCAGCGCTAACGAGAACAAGTATAAATTCAACGCGGTTGAATTGAAAAGGCTTTGGAGACGAACGCCTACTGTTGCAGTGAGTAGCCCTTTTGCGCCACACTATACGCATCTCATTAAACCGACATGCAATAGCTCTTCTGAGACTTTTTCATAGCAACTTCCCGCAAATTGCACAAACAGTCTTTTGTCGGTACGTGGTTTCACAAAGTCACATCATAGGCTGATGCACAATTATACCAGATATCAATCATAACCATGAAGCTCTTTCGGATCGTTTACATCACATTCCTCGCTGCTTCCGGTGCCGGTGCCGGTGCCACTAGGGCGATGACAGCATTGCCTCCTCAAATATCCTGCATAGGCCCATGCATTTCCTCTAAAGAATCTTTGAACTGCCCATCAGGGACATCGCCTTCCTGGATGGTTACGTGCTGGCGGTGCTGTGGCCAAGCTGGTTGAATCTCTCCGTCATTTTTGCTCTCAATGCATGTAACATGTATATCATGTACCGTATTCCAAAAATTAACACAGACAAGATTCCTCAGTGAAGCAAAAACAGAGCTGCACAGCAAGCTCCCTGACCCACGTCCTTGATGAATTGAATGGTCGCTTGACCACTATCTCTGCGCTCTGCTCAGAGATGGCCGGCGGAGTCATGGTTCGCGTACCTGGCGTCGGTATCGTTCATCGTAATTGCACTCGCACAAGCAACTTCAGAATTATCTACTCCGTATCCAATTCTATTCATTCGAGGTATACTCGTTTTCCAGGGTGTCGGGCATCTTTGACCTCCCTCCCCCGGGATCTACTTGCTAAGTTGAGTTCATGCTTCACCGATTCATAAATGTCTGTTTGAATGCTGATTGCATGCTGAGCTCGTTATTCTCCCACTTGACTTTCGCTCTACTGTTTGCTTGGTATTTCCACTTTTTCCCTCGCTGCATAGGTCCCAGGATGTATTGGTCTGCATATGAGACAGCGCCGCTACAAGTCACCTACTCAAGTTCCAGATACCGATATGTACAATCAATCCCCGGCTAGCTGTTGAGTACTTCATCGATCATCCACAACCTGTTCGCTCAGATACCAAATGTCTAAACACTCACACTCACGAACACTATCAAGTGGAAAGGCCCAGGAGTTGAGGATCGTGACAACCTGGGCCGATAAACTGGAACCCTGGAGGTATTGGCAATTGGCGCGATAAGCCAGACGGTCACGGAAAACAGCACTAGGACTAGTCGGATATGCACACTCCACGTTATGTCACGTATGTGCGTCAAATTCTCTGCTGACTCGCGTGGCTGACAACCCCTTAAAAGTGTCAGCATCCCCATAGCAGTGGCCAATATTTGTTCTTATGCAAATACTGTTATTTGCTCTTCATCGTTCTTGTTGTGCTGGCTCGGTTTAACTTGTAACTAACTTGGTGCAATTCAGGTAGCATGCGGAGATGGATCTTATAAACGGATTTTTGCACGTCTTATCGTATAAAACTTTCTCCGAATATAGTTCCAGCGCTAACGAGAACAAGTATATAATCAACGTGGTTGAATTGAAAGGCCTCAGAGACGAACGCCTCCTGTTGCAGTGAGTAGCCCTCCCGCACTACACTATGCGTATTTCATTAAACCGACATGTAATAGCTCTTCTAAGACTTTTTCATAGCAACTTCCTGCACATTGGACAATCAGTCTTTTGTCGGTGTGGGGTTTCCTCACAAGGTCACATCAGCTGATGCATAATTATACCAGATATCAATCATAACCATGAAGCTCTTTCAAATCGTTTACATCACATTCCTCACTGCTTCCAGTGCCGCTGCCATTGCCACTAGGGCGATGGCAGCATCGCCTCCTCTAATAACCTGCGAAGGCCTATGCGTTTCCTCTAAACAATCTTTGGACTGCATAGAAAGGACATCACCTTACTATACGCAGGCTGGGTGCTGGCAGTGCTGTGGTCAAACTGGTTGAATCTTCTGTCATTTTTGCTCTCCGGATGTATTGGTCTGCAAAGCAGACAGCGCCGCTACAATTCACCACTATAAATTTCTAGAGAACGATATGTACAATCAATCCCTGGCTAGCTATTGAGTTCACAGCACGAGAAATCGTTTGAGCACGGTGGATCTGTGCCATCTGTGCACAATGTAAACCAATGTCGACGAATTGGCATCTTACCAACGCCAACCAAGCGCGAGAGGAAATCCAAGGCTGTAGAGATCTCCGAGTCAGATGACGAGCCTGGACCTTCAAGCTTCAAGCGCCGGGCAGATCAACTCTCACTTCCGGCCATGCTCGTTTGTACTTCTTCTTATTGCTAAATCGCCCTGTCGTTCCGAATCCCACTGCACGCACACACCAGCCACGTCATCCAAGTCAGGAACTCCATGTGTCCACTCAATCGCCATGGATATTTCTCATGGTGGTATTGAATACACAACGAGCTCAAGCGTGAGAAGACCAAGGTGGTCCGGCCGTCTATGATTGAGTTGGTTGAGAGAGACGGAAAATTTAGAAGAAAATGAGCCACCGGTAACGCCAGAAAGTGACTTACATAGTAACTGGTTTTCTTCTCCCGCTAGTTCCATATTATCGAGGTCGTGCATCAGGTTTTTTGAAATGTCACTACCCGAATCGAACAAGGAATTTGAAATGAGGACGAAGGTGTCGCCATCTGTATTAGATATGATTTGAGATCTTGTTGAGCTTTAGAGACAGTCTAGATATGCAGAATTGTGAGAGGATGTCAACTGTAACAGCTGGAGACCTACCTTGGTGTTGCAGATCAAAGCGTCAAGATTCAAAGGAGGCGGCAGAGTGTTGCCTGCGAACAAAAAAGGAAATGACTATTGATCAAACAAGTGGTGGTGCTGGACATTGGGGCTACTGCGTGGGTCTGCAACGAGTCCAAGTGGACTGAAGACAATCATCTCGCAGTGGTGCTGGGTGGCGCTGCATTTATCCTGTACCAGGAGGGGTACTGGTGAAAGAGATAGCAAAACTGCCAGGGATACGTGGTCAGTGTGAGTGCTGTGTCCAACAACCAAGGTACAGCGCGAACCTAGAACGGAGCAATGATGCAATTCAAAATGCAGCGTTGCCACCTACAAGAATTTCTTCATATTTCAAAATAGATTTGAGGGTGGTGACGCTGCGACTCAATTCAGGTACTTCCATTTGATTTTTCCGCTAGAATATCAATAGCATTCAAAGGATCACTCAACTAAGCAAAGGTGCGAACCTAGAGTGAAACTCAACTCTGCGAAACAACTCTGCAACCTGCTCAAAATGCAGCGCCATCGCCTGCCAGAATTTCCTCACATGTCAGTCGAGGAAAACAAGACCAGGCGATGGCACTGCAGCTCCGATTTGAGGTGCTCTCAAAGCGAAAGGAACATTGATGTTTTTGGAAGAATATCAACAATGTTCGAAGGGCATCTAAGTAAAGGTACGAACCTAGAGTGAAGCTTCGAAGAGCAATTCTGTTATCTGTTCGAAAAGCAGCGACACCAACTGTGAGTATTTCTTGAAATACTTCTAAACAACCCTCTACAGGTTATGTTGCTGTAGCTTGGATGAACGCCTAATATCACGGTTGGCAGATAGGGACTGCTCTTGGTATGGAGCATACTAACGGTGCAATATATTCAAAGTGCTGACAACGTACATTCAGTGGGTGTGGTGTTTGCCAAAGTCACAATCTTCCTGCAGTGTGACCTTGTGGCCTTCGGTGCAGAAGGACACGCGTTTGTTTGAAGGCGAAAACGTCGAATATCAAAAATATCGCATAGACAACGAATCACGACGAGGAAAGTAGATTGATGATGTGCTGAAAGGCATAACGAAAGAAATATAAGTGCAGAATCACCAGAAGCAAAGGTGAGACAGTTCAGCATATGCTACAACGCTAGCTGTATCAATGACTATTAGCGTGTGATGGTGATACACAGCAGAGAAATAACACGATCTGGGTCCACCATTGGATGAGTAGTGACTGTGCGACTGCTGTACCTGCTGTGGTAGTGCTAGCACCTGGAACAGGAGGTGTCGCGGGTCTCGAGGCATCGGTAGGCTGACTGTGCGATTGGGTTTGCTCATTTGCTCGTTTTGCTTTCATGAAATTTGGCCCCCGAGCGACAACCAAAGACTGAACAGAAATCATTGAACCACGGCGATGATAAAGGCACTCAGGAGAGGCATACCTGCTTGTCCCGTATCGCAGCCACTTCGACAACACGAGGACAGCTTGGGCGTTGCGGGGGTTCGACATTCTCATTGGTGTGGGGTTGAGAGCGCAAGGGTGGGGACAACCGACTGAAAAGTGCATCTAGACGCGAACTGAAAGGTATTGTGGGATAAGGTTCAGATTCTTCATCAGTGCCAGGTCGAAGTCGAGGTAAAAATGAGGAAAGGCTAGCTAGGAGCACATGCGGATCTAACCGCAAAGGTGTGGAGGGTTCCGGAAGTTCAGTCGCTTCATCATTTTTGGGTCGAAAGCGGCGGAGGAACGATGAACGGAGTGCATTTACAGAGAAATGAGGGTGTGTACCAATGGGAGAGGTCTGAGAGGTCTAGATAAGAATTAAGCAATAAAAATACTGATTACGTACAGTAACATCGGCTTCCATGCCGGCAAAAAACGTTGGTGAGAGCTCATTGACACCACCAGACTGGTCAGAATATTGCGTAGCATCAGCCTGGAATGTTGCTGTTATAATGAATGAGAAGCATTGGAAAGACGGCACGTACTTCCAAAAATGACTTGCCATCGAGCGAAGAGCGTGATGTGTGCTGTATATCTAAACCGCCTTGAGATGTGTTGTGTTCGAGTCCACCTGACTGGCCAGGATATTGCGTAGCATCAGCCTGGAATGTTACTGTTATAATGAATGAGAGGTATTGGAAACACGGCACGTACTTCCAAAAATGTCTTGCCATCGAGCGAAGAGCGGGATATGCGCTGATCATCTTCGAAAATTAGGTCTTCAAGGCCAATTTTTTTGAGGATGGCGTAAACGTCCCATGTGTACACGTTCTTATTTTCGCAAGTAGTGACTAGCATCTTTCCATCAGGGGAAAGGGCTGCAGAGCGCAAACCCCATTCGTAACAGAGGGGTGGTCCGACTGGGAGGTTGGTTTGAGGATTCCATAAGCGCGCTGTTTTATCCCATGATGCACTTGCAAGGAGGCGGGTGTCCTGACACAAGGAGATGGCGAAGACAACGTCCTTGTGACCGTCTTCAAGCGTGGCAATCTGCTGCCAAGTGGCAGTGTCGAATATCCTAATCAGGCTATATGAACTGGAAAGAAGCTTGCTTCCATCCGACGTCCATGCCAAGCCGAAAGCCCAGCTGTGTGTTTGAATTTCAAGTGTTTTGAGACGTTCGCCTGTCTTCGCATTCCAGATATGCACAGCGTTCTCCTTATAACCGCTCGTCGCAAGTTTTGAAGAGTCAGGCGAGTACATTACCGCATACACCCAATCATGCCCGGTCTCGATTGTCAGGACAGTTTTGCTGCTGCTAACATCCCAGACTCTTGTCGTCCCATCCCAGGATCCACTCGCTAGTCGCTCGCCATCTGCACTCCAGCACAATGCACACACAACATTGGTGTGTCTCGCCCATTTTGCAATGACCTTTTTTGTTTTGACGTCCCACAACCTCACTTTCCCGTCCTCGCTTCCGCTTGCAATTGTCTTTCCATTTGGAGACAATGCTATGGACCGCACTGCATCATTCCCGTCCCGCCAGTCCTCGCCTATCTGTGCACCGCTCTCTAAGCTCCATAGTCGGAGTGAGCCATCCAACGAACATGTGACGATGTGTCGTCCGCCCCGCAAGTGTACAACGCCGCTTATCCAGTCGGTATGGCCTTGCATTATATGGCATGGCGCAGAGTAATACATGCTCCGCGCTCAGAATCTCAAACTTTGGAAGATCGTGGACTGTGTACGCGAGAAGTTTGCCGAGATCTTAGAACGAGATCAGATAATCTGGCAGTGGCAAAGTTTGCTAGTGAGTCCAGGCCTATCTCCTTTCAATTTGATGCTTGTCAGCACCACGCAAACCATTGCTCACGAGACAGCGTGCTTACAGGATTCGATCCTCACTCGCGAGACAGTGTATGGATGTGCAGCAAAATTCGAGAACACGCAATAGATCTTAGTGGGTATCCGAAGTTGCTAGTAAGCAAGTGGTCAGCTCTAAACGGCAGAAGAGTCTAGAGCATCACTCACGAAAAACAATGTTCATGCTAGCCCAGTGCTCTACCACCAGCGATCAATGGGTGTCTGGTTGGGAGTTGAGGGCAGACGTTCGTTCAGGTCGTTTAAGGTGTGTCCCATGCGGTGTCTTGATGTTTGCTGTGGGACAGCTTCATTGCTGTGTAGATGAAGCGCACAGGTCTGCGGCCAGTGCTACGTGCTGTGCATCTAAGGAGTACGCTCATGCTTTTAACAAATATTTGACAGCATCTTGCCACTCCGCACATTATATGTCCGAACTATAGCATACACTGGATGTTCCGATATCAACAATGGCATTTTAATTGGGTACGAGAAGGTATCGCAAGCTGATACGATCACGCAGATAGTCCGAATGCTTATCTATATACATGGATGCTAAACCTCTACTCTGGCTGGGTGCTTATAGATGTTGATCAACACGAGTGATAGTCACGGTGGAAAAAATGTGCAGAACTTTCTTGGCTGAAGCTCGAACGTCTCAGTAACGGAGTCCTGGAATACCAACACATAGAAAGCACCAACAAGGTTCATCAGTGCCACGTCAATGCCGCGTCACATGCGCGTCACACTGCGTCAAAATAGCTACGTCCCTTTCACTTGACCACTATCCCTGCGCTCTGCTCAAAAACAGCCATGCTCCAAGAACTCTCAGCAGTGGCTCATATTGGACCATGCAAATATTCGCTAATTTTCTACATCTATTATCCTTCCTGGCTGCCAGTGGCTCTATTTGACTTGGATTTGGCTATCACCTGGTAACTTGGTGCGCCTTGCCAAGGAGATGGATTTCATTGTCACAGCTGCATGTCTTCTCGGTATAAAACTTTCTCCGAATATAGTCTCACCACTAACGAGAACAAGTATAAAATCAACGCAGTTGAGTTGAAAAGGCCTTAGACTAACGCCTCCTGTTGCAGTGAGTAACCCTATTGCGCCCCACTATGCGCATTTCATATCACAGCTCTTCTAAGTTACATTGTCCAGGCCTGTGCTTCTCTCAACAGCCTTCGAACTGCGACCCAGGGACGACGCCTCACTTTTTGAGCTCTACCTGCTGGATGTGCTGTAGTAGCTAGAGCGCAATGAGTCGAACCTTGGGTTAACTCGGTCATTTTTTCTCAATACAAGTAAAATGTGTGTAATACCATTTTCTAAAATGAACGAGTACTTAGCACAGACAAGTTCCCTCGGTGAAGCACAAACAGAGATGCAGCGTTGACTCTCTTCTGACCTGCGTCCCTGACAAGCTCTGACAAGTTCAAGGTGTTGCTTGAACATTATCTCTGTGCTCCGCTCAGAGATGGCCGATAGCCGTGCATTGAGCCAAGGTCATGATACGTAAGTCCGAAAGAAAAAGAATACTGTCGGGCGAAATTGACACGGTCGTGACGAGACAGTGCTCGGTCAATATTTTCTGCGTCAATATTGGCACGTCCCATGTGTATCACGCTGTGCCAAAATATTAGTATTTACTTCTTACCCACGTGGCTCTCACAGCCAAATAAAGGTGTTGGTCGACCACATCCATGTAGATACCTGCACTCCGCTCAGAAACGACGATGTCAAGGCTCCAAGAACGCTCAGTGGTGACCAATATTGGATCTTATGCAAATACTCGTCAATTTATTCTCTTCGTGGTCGCTGCAACATACTGTAACCCGCTGGCTTAATTTGACTTGAATTTGACTTGGTGCGTCTTGCGTCACTGCGTGCGAATTACCAAGGAGATGGATTTCATTATCGCAGTGCATCAGCTTGGTATAAAACCTTCTCCGAGTATACTCTCAGCACTAACGAAAACATGTATAAAATCAACACGATCGAGTTTAAACGCCCCAGAGACGAACATCTCCTGCTGCAGTGAGTAGCACTCTTACGCCATACTATGATGCGTATTTCATTGAGCAACATATAATAGCTCTTCTAATATTTTGTCATAGTAACACCGTGCACAACGCACACTCAAACATTCTATCAGTGTGTAGTTTTCTTAGCGTGGTTGCGACACTGGCCAAGACTGTCGTCCGCTCAACCGTTACACCAAAAGCCAGTGACACTGAAAGCTTATGTTTCAGTATCGCAGACAGTATTTATGTAGATTACAAGTGCAGCCTAATGTATACATCCACGTGCATATATTTATCTGTCCGTGCGCTAACATTCTCTTTCAGACAAGTGCAGCTAAAAATCCTCGCCTCGCTGATTTACTCAATGTATGTGACCAACTATTCACCCACACTGCTCTACTCAATGCCGTTATAACAGTCCGATGCAACACGCCCTTGCCTGCTCGTATAGCTTTTTCCTTCAGCCTAACGCGTTTTAGCTGGGCTGTTGATCGCAAATAGTTTTCCTTCCGACCGGCTTACGCCGTGACGTCATGACATTCAACAGATGTCAAGGACTGACGCTCCAGAAAGCCGTGCTTGACCTCCGCGCAGATTCCTGAGGTTCACAACGAGGAGAAAACAATGCGACGTAAAAAATTCAGTCACGAGTTATGCATTCAAAGTTTTGAGATGTTTATCTATCCTAAAATCTCCATTGCTCCAGCAGCAGTAACATTTGTTCAGAAACAAGCATTTCCGCAACGAACTACTTACACGTTGGTGCCATTAATCACACGGCACCAATGGGAAAACAGAAACATGACTCACTGTAGCTCATTCAACGCTTTCACACATAAGTACGTAGTAAGGCTACCACGCCAGTGAGTCAACAAATTCTGGATGGAACTACTCATACTCACCTCATCAAACTTCAGATCCACTACTGGCACGCATTTATAGGGATGACAGCAATCTGCCTGTGTGTTGCAATCGCCGCCGATTAAATGGCATTCACTGTCAGCACTGACAGTCATAGACACTGTCAAAGCAGCAACAACGGCGAGGACAACTCGGAAGGAGATATGCATTATTTATGAGATATGATTTGGAATCTCGAAAATGAATTGGTAGGAAGACGGGGTGCGTTTATGTCCTAACACTATTCTGCGCAGAACTTATAACAGAGCAGATAACATTTGCCATGGCAGCAAATTGCTGATGGAAATTTGTGGAGTAAGCACGTTATCTAGCGCAACAAAGTACTTGAATGTTGTGCGGCAATCAACCACACTGCACTAATGGGGAAGCAGAAACACGACTCGCTGTATAATTGATACGGTCGTGACGAGCCAGTACTCGGTCAAAAGTTTTCCGTGTCAATAATGGCACGTCCCATGTGCACCACGCCGTGCTAAAATATTAGGATTTACTTCTGACCCGCGCGGCCAAATAAAGGTGTTACTCGACCACATCCCTGCAAATACCTGTGCACCCGGCGCTCAGAAACGACGATGTCAAGGCTCCAAGAACGCTTAGTGGTGACCAATATTGGACCTTACGCAAATACTCGTCAGTTTACCACCAATAGTCCTTCCCGTGGTCACTGCAACATACTGTACAGTAACCGCTGGCTTGAATTTCACTTTTACCAACTTGGTGTCTTGCGCCACTGTGTGCGAATTATCAGGAAGATGGATTTCATTATCGGAGTGTGCATCAGCTGGGTATAAAACTTTCTCCAAGGATAGTCCCAGCATTAACGAGAACAAGTATAAAATTAATGCGGTTGAGTTTAAAAGACCTCAGACGAACACCTCCTGTTGCAGTGAGTAGCACTCTTACGCCACACTAATGCATATTTCGTTGAGCAACATATAATAGCTCTTCTGAGATTTTGTCACAGCAACGCCGCGCACAACGCACAATCAAAATTTCTGTTGGTGTGTGGTTTCCCTAGATTCGTCGGTCGCATCGCAGACTGAAGCATAGTTATATTAGACACTATGAAGCTCGTTCAGATCGCTTACCTCGTACTCCTTGCAGCTTCCAGTGTCACAGTTAGTAGTGCCAGTATGGTGGTGACAGCACCTTTGGCCAAACCAACTCTACGCTGCGTAGACGAGTGCTCCACTCAACCGCATTCGTGCCAGTCAGGGACGTCGCCTTACCAGATAGGCCCTACGTGCTGGCAGTGCTGCTCGCAGCTCAATTGAAAATGACTTTTGAACTGTTCGACAGGAATGGTACCTTATCATTTGGGTCCCTGAGTGCTGGCTGAGTTGCATCTACATCGCAAAAAGTCAGTCGAACTTGATAATTCAGATACAGACACGGCGGATAAAATGAGGCGCGGGAGTTTCTTTTCGACAATTTCCATTGAAGGTACCAAGGCGCTGGTTAACACGATAATCCATATAGAACAGAGCAAAGCATGTATACAGATTATTGTGGAATACAGCAGGCCGAAGGTGATAAGTAAGCTCCTTAATAATGCCTGAGGTTGGCCCTCGAGGCTCGTATAGGCAAGTAATGCCTGGGATGAGTACGGAATCCTCATACTGCCGGATACTAATTAAGATGGAACAGCAGAAATATAGAGTTGGGATGGGAATCAAGCATGAAAATTTTGACTCGTGTCAATGGAAGCACGTGTTGCAAGGAGACGTTAAACAGGCTCGATGGGTTGGAGCTTCCCAGTGATCAAATCATATTCGACACTACCACTTGGAAAGCACCAGCCAACCTGCATAGGTCTGTGAGTGGGTGGGGCAGTATACAGGTGGGGGATTATAGACAAGTGACGATGTTAGCAGGAAGATGAATCTGGATTATACAGTAGGTCGATCACCGTGGTAAACGAAGTTGGTCATCGTCATTATGGGCTTTGGCCCATATTTCTTGTGGTAGGACGTGCGTATGGAGAAATGAGCCGAGTCATCATACACACAAGTCTGAAGGAAAAGAAAGAAAAATAGTACGCTGTTTGACGTCCGCGTGTTATGTAATTTGGCACGTGGCACATGTACGTCACGCTGCGTAGCCTTCTGATTCACGGCTGCCAACTTGGACGAGCTTTGACAACTTAAAGCTGATACTTGACTCAGACCAGGTCCCTTGCGCTCCACTCAGAGATGGCCATGTTGAGGCTCCAAGAACGTTCAGCGCTCAACAGATTTCATCTTGTGCAAACACTAATTTGCTGATGATCCTTCCTGCTGGATCACTACAACCCGCTGGCTCGGTTCAACTTGGATTTGGCTGCCAGCAACTTGACACGTCTCAGGCTTGCATGCGTATTACCGATGAGATGGATTTAGTTAACAGAGCTGCATATCTTGGTAAAAAAAATTCCGAGTGCAGTTTTATTGCTCACGAGAACAAGTATAAAATCAATGTGGTTGGGTTGGAAAGGCCTCAGAGACGAACGCCTCCTGTTGTAGTGAGTAGCCCTCTTGCGCCACACTATGCACACTTTATTGAACCGATATGTTTTAGCTCTTCTACGACTTTTTCATAGCAACGTCACGCACATTGCAGTCAGACTTTGTCAGTATGTGGTTTGCTCACCCGTTCGCATCATGGGCTGACGCATAGTCATACCAGATACCATGAAGCTCGTTCAAATCGTTTACCTCACAATCCTTGCCGCTTCCAGTGTCGCTGCTGGTGTCACTGGGGTAAGTAGAGCAAGAGCCCCTCAGAGTATAACCTGCGACGGCCCATGTGCCTCCTCTTCAGAATCTTTGGGCTGCGAGCAATATGTAGGGACATCGCCTTACCTTGTGGGCCCCGGGTGCTGGTCGTGCTGTACCTAAATTAGTTGAACCTCTCGGTCATTTTTGCTCTCAATACAAGCAACATGTGTCACATCGTTCTCCAAAAATATTGAGTACTTAACATCGATAAGATCCCTCTGTGAAGCGCAAACAGAGATGCACCGTTAGCTCTCTTTTGACCCGCATCCCCAACAACCTCCCAAGACTTCAGTGCGTCGCTTGACCACTGACCCTCTGCTCTGCTCAGAGATGGCCGACGGCTGTGCTTTGATTCAAAGTCATGGTCCACATAGCTGGCGTCGGTATTGTTCATCGTAATCGTCGAGTCGTAAAAGCTGTAACTCAACACTTATCATCCAAGTCAGGAACTCCACTAAATTGCCACGAATATTTCTCATGGTGGTATGGAATACACAATGAGCTCAAGCATGAAAAGACCAGCCGCCTGAGGTTGAGTTAGTTAAGAGAGATGGAGAACTTGGAAGAAAAGAAGACGCCAGAAAGTGGCTAGGTTATAGTTACATAAAAATTGACACTCTTCGAAAGACCAGGCCTCAATATTTGTAACAGATGTTACTGCCGGACCCTCGGGCTAGACTTGTGAGATGGTGTTTAACAGCCCTTGATCACAGGCATTTTGTTTCACAATCGTAATGTCATTGTCCGATGACTGGGGTCGTTGTGACAGACTCTTGTTTAATTCAAGTTTTTATGTGAAAAAGAATGGAAAAAAAACAGATTAAGGAAAAGGTAAGTAAGAAATGTTAAGTCTAGACTAGTGATGGCCAGGTCCGGTTCTGAACCGCGGTTCGAACCTGAACCGTTTCGAACCTGACCGAAGTCCGGTTCAAGGTTCGGGCAATAGGGAGGACCGAACCGTTGGTCCGGTCCGCGGTTCAGGGACTTGCAGAATTGCAGAACCGGTTCTGAACAGGTTCGAACCTGTTTGAACCGATGGCAAGTCAGTATGTAGTTTTATCTTTGCGGTTCTGAGGAGTGGGAACGGCCTTGTGCAGAGGACTGAGAACAAAGAGGTCAAGAAAATGAAATTGAAGTGATAGTGATGACACACGTAAGCTGGTGAGACTCCATTGAAAAAACCATGGGGTACCTGGCGAGCAGGTGGACGTCGTTGGACCGGAGGTCGTGTATGTGTTTCAATATAATTTTTCTTGACGAAATTTTTATTAGTTTGGATGGTCCGGTTCTCGGTTCGAACCCTCACTGAACCAGAACCGGACCATTTTCGGACCGAACTGATGGTCCGGTCCACGGTTCTGCTTACTAGGAGAACCGAACCGATGGTCCAGTCCACAGTTCTCCTAATTTCCTGGAGAACCGGACCGAACCGGACTTTTCCATCACTAGTCTAGACACAGTAAACACCTCAGTCTCGATGGAACAGACTGAGATTAAGTACCTAGACACAGTAAACACTAGTACAGATATGTGTTAGTGTCTAGTTACTGTGGCGAGATAATAAAATGAACGTACCCTCAGTCTCGATGGAACAGACTGAGGGGAAAGACGATACAAAGACAAACGATAATATATGGTTCGGTTTGGAATCCTATCAATTGCACTCCGCATTGCGTCGTCACATGCACTCGTGCACCAATACTCCTCCTCGACGCGACTAGGGATCAGCAGGGGTAAACCCCTGGGTATCATAAGCCCAACCCACACCCCTACCCCTGGAGGGTCTTACCCCTCAGACCAAGGGTCAGGGGTAACCCAGGGGTATTATAAGGGTACAAGGGTATCACAAGGGTACAGGGGTATTATCACCATCTAGGCTAGAAGATATAGTAGGCTGACTTTAATTTATGCTTCTTGAGTCCTAGCCAAGTGTGTAGATGAGACTCAAACCATGGGCAAGTAAATCTTATACATTATGAACCATCTAAACTAACTTAAATGTTTCCTTTGATTGTATTTTACTTATATCATACTCAAATAAGAGCTAACTCACAATATAAGATCACAATAAGCCCAATAACCATTATATTGTTGAGAACTTCAAAATTTTATACTTATCAATCACTCCTATGGTAATCAATTTGGGGATGTATTATGCCTAGGCCCAGGGGTACTACCAATTGTCCAGGGGTACAGGGGTCTCCAAATCCAAACCCATACCCCTACCCTCAAGTACCCTTACCCCTGACCCCCAGGGGTTACCCATACCCCTGCTGATCCCTAGACGTGACAAGCACTCCTCCTCGAATGAATCACCGTAGGCCCAAACAATTGCGGAGACACTCATAATCTTTCCTTGGTAGAGCTTTAGTGAATATGTCTGCGATGTTATCTTTGGAGCAGACGTAGTGCAATTTGAGCTGGCGACATGATACGCGTTCCCGGATAGAATGATGTGCCAAGTCGATGTGTTTGACACGAGCGTGGAAAGAGGAGTCCTCGGTGAGGACAATCGCGCCATTGTTGTCGCACATCAGCGGGGATGCAGTTGCCTGTGGGAATTCGATCTCATTGAGCAGCATGCGTAACCAGGCTATTTCTTTGCCTGCCTCCGATGCTGCAACATATTCAGCCTCGCAGGTTGACAATGTGACTGTCTTTTGCTGACGTGCACTCCAGGTAACAAAGCCACTGCCAAGGGAACAACAGTAACCACTGACAGAACGGCGTGTGTCAATGCAGCTGCCGAGATCGCTGTCGGTGTATGCAATGAGGCGAGCAGTGTGTTCACCGCCAAGGACAAGACAGAAGTCACAGGTCCCCTTGAGATAACGGACAATGCGTTTTGCAGCCTCCCAATGAACTCGGCCATATGAGTCGAGGAATTTGCATAGTTGTTGGACTGCATAGGAGATATCTGGGCGAGTACCAATAGCCAGGTACATGAGAGATCCGACTAGGGAACGATAAGGCGTACGTTGCATGAGTTCGCGTTCAGTGTCATTGCGAGGGGAATGGTCTCGGCGGGATAGGTGGAGGCCTGGTTCCATAGGAACAGAGACGGGCACCGCATCCTTGAGGCCAAACTGGGAGACAATACGATCAATGAGAGCGGTCTGAGATAGAGAAATTGTGCGAAGGACTCGGTCACGAGTGATGCCGATACCTAGACAGAAGTGGGCGTCTCCGAGTTCAGAGACTTGCCACTTGGTCTTGATTTGAGTCTTAAAATCTGAGATAACACCCTTTGAGCTGCCTACGGTGAAGAAGTCGTCAACATGAACGGCAACGAGGAGTATGCCGGCGCTATTACGACGGTAGTAGATGCAGTGCTCGCTTTTAAGTCGGACAAAACCCCAAGCGAGCATAGCCTCATTAAGAGTGCGATTCCAGATGAGACCGCCTTGTTTCATCCCATATAGTCCTTTCTGTAGCTCCCAGACGTGGTTCTCATATCCCGGTTCCACGAAACCCTTGGGTTGTTCCATGTAGCAGACCTCATCGGAGTCTAGAAGACCGTAGAGAAAGGCCGTCTTGATGTCAAGTTGCTCGATTTCCCAATTGAGGGCAGCACCAATGTGCACTAAGATCCGGAAAGACTCCAGGCGGGCTGTAGGTGCAGACGTCTTCGTATAATCTTGTCCCCAGACTGCGGAATAGCCACGGCACACATAGCGTGCTTTAAAACGCACAGGATCCCCATTTTGGTCATGTTTGAGCTTGAAAACGGGGCAACCTTTCATGATCTTTCGGCTGGTGGGTACTGTAGAACGGGGTACGAGCTTGTAGACACCTAGATTGCGCAGGGAGTCAAACTCAGCACGCATCACCTGAGTCCATTCGGTTGCGTGTGCAGAGTTCATTGCCTCAGTGTAAGTGACAGGATCAGAAGGATGTTCGTTGTCGAAGTCATCTGGGATGGCTGCAAAGGCCTCAGTCAGATGAGCCAACTCAGCTTCCAGGTCGGCAATGTCCTCATGAGCAAGCGCCGCCAGTGCAGATTCGTCAGATTCATGCACTGTTGGTAGGGTACGAAGTCGATCAGCAGAGGCCAATGAGGACAGAGCATTGCGTTGAGTCGCATTAGTGTAAGGAATACCTTCTGCTGTGCAACGGCGCTCAGACAGCACGGGTGTTCGAGTGGACCGACGAGGTAAGTCAGTAGCAGGGGGATTGGGGGCTGGTCCTGGGTTAGGTGGGAGGATAGGTGACGCAGCAGAGGGAAGGATCTCCTCATCTGGGGTGTCAGTGATGGAGGCGCATTGCAAAAGAGCAAGCGGGACAGAAGCATTCTCAATAGTTACACCAGGGTGGAGTGGGGTATCAGCAGAATTGTGCGATTCAATAAATGATACATGATAAGAGACGAATACTTTGCGGGATTCCCGATGATAACAACGATAAGCCTTGGAGTTGAGGGAATAGCCGATAAGCACGCATTCAACTGATCATTCATAGACCTTCGGATTGTGTCGGTTCTGTATCAGAACAAAAGCACGGCAGCCGATTTCACGGAGATGGGTAAGGTCTGGTTTCTGATCGTACCATCATTCATAGGGGGTGTGGCCAGCTTGGGAGGAGACCGGGGTGCGATTAGACAGGTAACAAGCAGTTAAAACAAACTCGTCCCATCAATTCACAGGGACTCCACTAGCGATACACATGGCACGTGCTTTACCCATTAAGGTGCGATGCAAACATTCAACTCTACCATTTTGCGCCGAGGTATATGGCGCTGTGAACTGATGTTGAGTACCACGCGAGAGGAGCCACTCTCGCATGGCCTCAGACTTGAGCTCGCCATTGTCTGATCGGTATATACTGACCTTCAGGTTGGTTTCGAGCTCACGAGCCTTCTCCCAAGCATGAAGTGCAGGGAAGGCGTCAGATTTAGCCGAAAGAGGGATTGACCATGCGTAGGACGAAAAATTGTCAATGATGTCCATCATGTACTTATTGCCTGCTGCTGATACAGTGTCCGGATGCTCCATGAGATCCACATGTACAACTCCTAACCTTCTAGTAGCCTTTTCCCCAACGCGAACTTTTGGAACACTAGACTTGGTCTGCTTTCCAAGAATGCAAGCATCACAAATGGGAGGTTTGGTAGAAAGGGTAATAGGCATACCGGTGGCGTTACCAGAGCGCGCGAGGTCATAGACAGCACGGTAGTTTGTGTGACCAAGAC